TTGCTAATTAGGTGTCCATTTTCCTGAAGAGTGGGTGTTAGCTGGGATTTTTTTCCAAATGTGAGTAGGGACAGACCTGGTTATATGGATGGCCATACACTGCCCTGACCACTTGCCTTGGAGAGAGCCACTTGCTAAATCCTCTGGGAATCTGTGTGGTTTGCTTTCAAGGAGCAACGGCTCATTGTACCCCAAAGGTCATTGTTCTGCTTTGTCTGCCCAGCGCACAGAGCTGATTATACATTCACAGAGCTATTATAACCAAATAACAATGGGAAGTAAAAACCAGCCAGACTGGTCCGAGCATGTGCAATTAAAACTGCTACGGTCATGGCAACTGGCTCGCACTGAAACATCAGGCCGAGTGATTGTAATAGCTGGTTGAAGACGGAGGCAGAAACCAACCTCATTACAGGCTGAATGCATCATGTTCAAAGCGATGGAGATTAAAAGCAGGTCAAGAGAGCAGACCACGTGTTCTGCAAAAACATGGCAAACTTAAAAGGGATGGTATCATTACATTAGTATTGACGCCAACGTTAGCTAACAGGGATGTAATGGTTGATGTAAATCAAGTGCCTTTCACTCTGAATGAGAGCAGAAACATTCCTGCACATTCTGCGGCTGGTTTGAGTTTGAAACAGACACATTTAATGACTTTCTTGATTAAAGTCAGGAACACAGTACTAGATAAATGAACCTATTTCAGACCAGATTCTCTCCTTCAAACAAAAACCAGCACAGGCCAAATTATTGGATGGCTCAAAAGATTACTTTATGGTCTGAGGTGTATAAAAAGTGAATTTTCTTCCCTCTGATCTGCACAGAAGACAATTAGAGCCCCACAGACCTTGAATTGTAAATGTAAAACATGTTCAATATTTCCAATCAAAAATACTTGGGCTCTATTTTCGTGCCTCGCCGGCGACACAGCGCATGCGCAGCGTAAGTCAGGTCCGCCGCGCAGACAAGGCGTTCCCAAGCACAATTTGGTATTTTGGTGAGCAGCGCAGCCCGGCGTAAGTATCCTCCCTCCCTAACTCAGCTCCTCCCAGCGGCGTAAGTCTTAGGAAGGGAGGAGAGAGGGCGTGAAGTAGGTTTAACACAGCCGAGACCTGTTTTCACCAATCACATAAGCTCCTCTCCTCGCCTTTAAATCCCCCACTGGCGAGGCGTATTACAATTTTTGTGAAGTAGTCAAAGAGATCAAGAGATGTCTAAAGACAGCAATGCCACACGATGGCGACAGAGGGCAGCTCCTCAACAAGTGTCACTGTAAGCGCTGAATTGGGCGTCCTCCACACTCTCTCATATGAGCACAGATGGATTTGATGTATGTAATGTTGGACCCACTGGTAAGACAAACACCTCTTTTCCACAAATAAAGACACTCACATAAAGTTGCATATATTTAAACCTCACATGACAAAGGTGGGTTGAGCGCACAGATCACAACATAAACTCCAAAAATGGCATTAAAAATGTGTTGGTCTTAAAATGCTGTGTGGTCAAGTGCAAACATGGCGTAACTTGAGGTAGTAGAAAGCGTCTACAGTTTACACCAACAAAACCAGGTCTGAAGTCCTGACTTAGATAGCAGTGGTGGTGTCTTCACCTTTGGAGAGTACTACACCGCTGTTCTTATACCTGTTTTTCCTTGGCTGTCCAGGGAACAGGAACTACCTGAGAGCTGCCTGAGAACTTGCAGCCTTTGGTCTTGAATAATGAGCAGTTCCTTGAGTCTCTAGTTGAGGGGGGCTGCAAAAGCACTGCAAGCTACATGCACGTCCATCATACCTTATATATCGAGGTATATGAACAGCAGTGATAAATAAACAAATGCTTGTTAGATAAAAACTGGTAGCAAGACAAACAGAAAAGACTCTATAGGGGATATTATGAAGAAGTGCTGCAATATCACCATGTGTGTAATTGAGCAGCCAAAGCACGCTACATTAAAGCTGCACAAACTACTATTAAATCTTTTTTGAAGCACCCTGACCTTTAGACTGTGAAATATCAGCCAGCACTGCCAACACTTCAAAACAACAACCACTTCAGGAATCCACAAATAATGCAGCAGTCATGATCACTTTAGCACGACTCCATGCATTATACTGTTGTTGTAGCTCAGTCTTGACAAATAATCACTACGCTCAACAGTTTAATGTATTTTTAACTGATGTAGCTCATTCACAGTTACTCCCTTCATTGAGTTATATGCAACCAAATAAAAAACACAGACCAGCTGCCAGCAGACAAACAACAACAGAGGTACATAGAGAGTCAATATGTTTCTGTTGACTTTATGGATTATTAAACACATACAGATGAAACAGAGTCAGACTTTTTATCATAATGACACGAAATAGAACTGCATTTATTCTAATGTAGCTTGAAGGACTTTGCCTATATTTTAAGTTGCTGGCTCTACTTCCTGGGAAAATGAAGCAAAACATTATAATTTGTCTGACAAAATGCAACTCAAGCCAATCATATGATTTTATTGGTTAAAGTATTAGTACAAACAAAGTATAGACTTGATCAAGATATATATTTTTTTCCCAAAAATCAGATAAGCAGCACCTCAAAAGGGTGTGGATAAACGCCATAGATTTCCCGGATTTTCTCCATGTCCTGAAACCTCCACTTGCGCAGTAGCATTGTACGCATTCCATGGGAGAGACACTGTGATGAGGTCTGTGATGAGGCGTATCCCCCGGGTGAGCTACGCAATCTTCGTATGCCCATAGGCTGTATCAAGTGTCAATCATAGAAAACATAAACCCCCTAATAACTTTCAAGAATGGAGATGTACAGAAAAAAAAGAGGACTTGAGCATAAACCAGTCTTACTATAAGTACATGTTAATATTGCAACCAGGGGGGATCAAAATGTATAATCTGTGTGATTAATTTCAAAAGTTTTGTCCACAACTCCATAGGGATTGCTGGAGGGGTTGGGATTTATGACCTATACTGCAGCCCATCAACAAAGGGTGCTGTTCTCGTGGTGGCTTCAACCAGTGAGAAGGCAGATGGCGCCCATTCTACAGTCTATGATAAGTAAGAATAAGAATAACTTTATTGATCCCCAAAGGAAAATTCAATTGTCTATCCTCTCATTTGTCATGTCTAAAAAGTCATCTATTATCTATAAAAGAGTTGTAAAGTCTGATGACTGTTGGTACAAAAGATCTTCTGAATCTTTCTGTCCTGCGGTGAAGAGATAGGAGACGTCCACCACCATTGGCCCTTTGGTCCATTAAGGTGTTGTGAAGTGGGTGATCCATGTTCTTTGGAAAAGTCTCCACCTTCCTCAGTGTACATCACTCCACCACATCCTCCAGTAAATCCGACTTGAATCCAACCACAGAGCCAACCTTTCTCAACAGTTTGTTCAGACGTCTTGCATCTTTGTATTTGATACTGCCTCCCCAGCAGACTGCAGCGTAGAACAGAACACTTGCCACTGAGACACTAAACACTGAAATAATCATCGAGCTCCTATGCTATCACTGACTAGTGGAAATGTTTCAACCATCCCCAGTCTCCCTGCATTATCCTTTATGACATGGTGATTATTTGTGAATGATGGGTAGCAGAATATTATCACACAGCCTTGGTTGGCTGAAACATTCCATCATCATGAATACATACACAATCATAAATGCTGATGAATGATTTAATCCTTTATTATGAAGAGTTACCACATGTCCCGCTCCATTGTCAATCATCTTTGGGTTGGACTCAGTGAAAGATTTAAGGGCTCTTTGATGTTGAGTTTTAAAGTTCATATTTTCTTACGTTGATCACTGCAAACTTAATCCCATGGAGATGAAAAGTTTTGGGGGTGTTTTAAGCCTTACTTCAGAGAAGTTCAACACTACCCAGGGAGAGTATTATCTTTTTTTCCTGATTTGAGTAATCCTTGAAGTATTCTTCATTGATAGATGTGGTTTCAAATGGCTCTCTAGAGTCAGTCTGGCCTTTGTTGTGTGCAGACATATCACTGTCCAGATAGAGATACTTTCATGATGTAATCCAGAGTAATACAGAACCTGCATCATGTAACCTCTAGCTCTGCTGAGACACCTTTTTCACACTTGTTTATGGAGACTGCTCCTTTTTATGTCAAAGACTTACATATGAGGAAGAACGGAAAAATAGTAGAAACACTTGCATATAAAAAAAAACACTGAAATAAGGAAAAGCTAGAGTCTGTTTGTTTGGATTAGCTCTGTCAATTTTTTGCTTCATGGCTCAAGAGTTTTCCTGAGAGAGGTTTTCTGAAGGATAGTCTTCCTCACCTGCAAAAGAACTGTCGGGACACTGTGTCCATCAGGGAAAACTTCACCAAACAAACTTTGTGCATTTGGCAGAGAACTGCAAGAGCTGTAAATTGGCTTTGGCAGTCGTTCCCTCGATGGCAACACGTGCTGCTCTGCATCGTGGCTTCTTGCGACCCGTGCCTCTTCTCTACTGAGAGACATCTATCAAGATAAGAGCCTTCCTCCTTCAAATCAATATGCAATCAATGTGGTCCTGTGTGACTAAGCTGATGTGTCCTCAACAAGCCTGCAAGAAAAGAAGCTCTCTGCTCAGGAACAAAACAGCTGCAAATATGTGCGTGTTCAGGAAATAACCACACAGCATTTAAAGAAACGTTAGTTACCATATCCAAATGTAATCAAACTACAATACTGCCTCACCTTATATGATGCATACATTTATATTTTTGTTTTTGTTGATATTCTTCAACACAAAAGACAGAAATTACAACTTTTGGTCTTAAGAGTCAAAATAATTCTCTAAGTGTCTTTGCTGGAACATTTGAGCTTGAGCATCTCCACTCATTTGATAACCTGCACCACTGAGCAATCAAAAGTCAGAGAATAAATTTTACACTAGCACCCCCTACTGGACATTTTGCTCTAGATCTCAAATACTTCAAAAGTTCAGGTTTCTTTTTGTACAGTCAAAAATAAACAGCCGACTCGAGTTAAAAATGAAGAGTTGTCCATTTTATTTTCAGTCAAATTACTTTTCAAAAACACAAATAAATCATATAAATATGAATTTTACTCAAGAATGTCACTGAAGAGCTTCCTCCTCTTAGATTCTCCGGTTTGGATTTCCTGCCAGTGGGCTCTTCTGTGGATGAAGTGGGAGAGGGCAAATTTGGCCCACACGTGCCGGGCAAACTGATCTGACCTCAGCTGGCTCTCGCTCTGCACTGAAAGGAACATTGAGACAGGAGAAGTTTTCATTTGACCATATGCAGAGCCACCCCCTAGAGTCAGGATGATAGGAAGTTGTGGGTTGATCTGTTTTACCCAGTTCCTGTGCGATGCTCTGCCTGTGACTGACTGAAGCACTGTTCCATATGGCCTCCAGCACTCGACTGCCCAACCGGGAGCACGCCATCTGAACATACTGACCCTGAGGAGAGGGTGATGATTCATTTCATTTTTGTTTACAAAAACAAGAGAGACAGACTGGATAATGTCCCCCTTTTGAAAATATGCAGCACTTTCATTTCTTTACTCAGTGTCTCACAACTGAGTGTCAAATTCAGGGGGAAGACTTCACTAAAATCACATGGAAGAGATTTTTTTCTGACACTTAAAACATTTTCACCTGGAAAATCCAATAACTGAAGCACCACAAAGCAAAAGGATTCATATCTAATAAAGTTTTTGTACACACATGATGGTAATCTTACTGTATTCTTTAGATAGATAGATAGATAGATAGATAGATAGATAGATAGATAGATAGATAGATAGATAGATAGATAGATAGATAGATAGATAGATAGATAGATAGATAGATAGATAGATAGATAGATAGATAGATAGATAGATAGATAGATAGATAGATAGATAGATAGATAGATAGATACTTTAATTATCACAGAGGGAAATTCAAATTCATGTGTTATTAATTCAATTTCATTTGTTATTAATGTGCTTTAGCATCTTTTCAACCCAAATTAGCTTTTTATCGGTACATGTTTAGGCTTGTACAGCACTTTGGTTTAACAGCAGTTGTTTTTAAATGTGATAAAATATTTCTATATTCATAACGATGTTTTTAGTCTTTTTATTGTGCATGATATTACCATATTTTCTCACATTTAGCTCACAGCTCTTCAGGATTTTATCATACACTCAAGAAACTTTTGTTATACTTTATTTATATTCATCTGGTCTCCCTAAACCCACTGTTTGGGTTATTGTTTTCAGAGTTTTTATCAAGTATATATGTTCAGTCAGCAGTTGTACTGAGATATATTGAATTTCAAATACCCACAAGGTAATTTATGATAAAAAGGATACAGAAAGCCATCTCATTAAGCTCTTACACCTATGGAAGAGGATTAGGGCCACTGAAAAAAAAAAAAAAATCAGGTACAATTTTTTTAGACTTATCAGAATTCTGAGATTGAAGTCATTTTTTGTTCTCTCTCTAAAAGCCATTATTTGAATGAGATTAAAGTCAGAAGTCTGTCTTTTTTTAGAATTCTGACTTTAATCTTTAAACTCATACTTCTGAATTTAAACTTATAATAATAATAAAAATATATATATTGGACCTTTTTTTTTCCAGTGGCCCTAGTCCTCTTCTGTACATACTAATATTCATAATCTATGATAGGATATATAACCAAATACATGCCCCCTTGATGCCCTCTCCATCCAGGCATGGAGAAAGACGGGGATGGATAGGCAGTAACAGTCAGCTCATCATAAAGGTTATCACGGGGGCACCTCATTTCCCCGGTGTTTCAGCAGCTCAGGCCCATAACATCCCCACCATTGTCAACTTTATCAACATACAATGGGAACAGAAAGTACTCAGACCTCCTTAGGTGTTTCACTCTGTTAATTTGCAGCAATTTGCCAAAACTGTTTAAGTTGGTTATCTTTCTCAATAATGTACACACAGCAGCCCATTTTGACATAAACAAAAACAAAACACAAATTCTTGAATCAAACCTGCAGACACATTTGTCAATCAGACCAACAATCTGCAGGTACTTCAAATCTATACCAAAAACTAATGATCAAAATTATTGCTTCTTTGATTCTCTGGGAAATATTTTCAGCTTGTGAGAGTCGAGTATTACAAGAAAAAAAGAAAACAAGAGAAGGAGGAAGAGGAGATGCAGTCAAAAGAAGATGAGTAGAAGAGAAAACACAAGGAGGAGAGGAGTAGGGATAAAAAATAAGAAAATTAAAGAGAGAAAAGATGAAGGAGGAGGAGGACCAGGTGGAAGAAATGACTGAGACTGAAGAGAAACATGTCAAAGAAGAAAAGAGGATGAATGAAAAGAGAAAAATATGCCTGCTGAACCTCTTAACCCCCTCCCTATAGCCTTAACACCCCACCTTTTCTCCATCCTTTGACCCTTATATTCCCCACCCTCCTATGTTCTTACCCTCCTACCCTCCTATCCTTGTTCTCTTTCCTTTTTCCCTTAGCCCTCCCTTTCTATTCATATTGTCCAAATATAAAAAAGCATCACTTCAGTTCTGATGAACTGACTCATGTGTGTTTTAAAATCCTTTTTAGGACAAACTGAAAAGGGTAAAGGTGAAAATAATAATGATGGATGGATATTGAAAATAATATACATGAAAAACTGATATCTTAAAATTTTGCTACTACTTCTACTGCTAATAATTATAACATTGTTGTTGTTATTATGATCATTATTATATATATATATATATATATATATATATATATATATATATATATATATACACATATATACATATACATATACATATATATATATATATATATATATATATATATTCTGCATTCTGAGCCAGCTAGAGTCGAGAGAGGGATTTATGGATTAAACAGAAATCTAATCCAGAGAGGATGAGTGCATAAATAACTTTATCCAGGTTTGCTTGTGTAAATCTGGATCTTTATCCGTGTATCTGATGACACTCTCTAGGACTATCTGCTAAAATATCAACATGTGTTTACTATCGACATGTGAGCACCAGGTTAGTGAGTCCTCAGTGAAGACAGACATTGAAATTAAACTGGATGTAATAACTTCAACTCCATAGGAATTCCTGACAGAAATCAGAGCAGGACAGTGACTCTCACCATCAAATCCAGATCGGCTCCTCCTTTGGCTAAACTCTCCCCAAGTATTTCTCAGAAGAGTCTTTTCAGAAAACAATGACTCCACAGTGAAGTGAACTTTCACTGCACTTCATCATTTTTATTCCTGTAATCTTTTTCTGTGAAACTCAGACATATTTAGCCGATGAATTCTTGAGTTTGGGCCAGAAATGTTTTTTGACCTTTAACAAACTAAATCAAATCGCTGCACGCTTGAGTCCAAACGGACATTTGTGACAAACATGAAGATATCCCCTGCAGGACTTCCTGAGATATTGTGTTCATAGAAATGGGACGGACAGACAGATGACCCGGAAACATTCTGCTTTTGGCTGTGCCTGGCGCCGGCACAAGGGAATAACGAGATTTATTCCCCCAGAGAGCTGGTCAGTGTGGTTTGTGAAGTAATAAAGGAGGGTTATTTGTTGAAGATCATTTTCGTTTGTTTGGTGAAAAGCTGGTGCAGGATGAGGGATCAACTTTCAATAAAACAACACTGCCTGTGTCAGGGGCAGTAATGGCTGCAATGGGTGATTGACTTCAGAAAGGAAGACTTAATGTGCCATCTGGCATACTGATGTCAAATTCATTGATCCAAATAAACATCAAACACTTTGAGCTTGATAGTTTACAAACCAGTATGTCTTCTGTAGCCCCTAAAACAAACTTTTGTTGAATGTTTACTTGATATAAAAAATATATGTTTTCTGTAAGTATACAAATTGTTTTATCCCAATTTTATTCTTTAATCTGGAACTATAATCAGTGCTTTTACCTCTAATCTCTTAAGGATCTTGCCTCTCCCCTTGTCGCTGGATGTGGTGATGAGGGCCTGCAGCACATGGCTGCCTGAGGGGTCAGAGGCCATGGTCAGGAGGTCGGCGGAGGTCAGGGTGCGCAGGCTGCTGAGGAGGTGTGAGCGCTCTTTGAACCTGGACAGTGCCTGGACGAGACGGGAGCCGTGGTAACACATAGAGGAGAGTGGGATCTGAAAACCATTGAAAAAAGAAAAAAGAGGAGAGTTGTTGCTGAAACAGTTTCATCACAGAGGGAGAGATGCAATCATTTTTACTTCCTTGGTGCTTATGATTAACTAAAATGTCAGGACTGCAGTTTAAACCAGCCTCCAGTCATTCAATTTGACTCCATTAAGGGTGGTTACCTCTGTTTTAGTGCTGCCCTCTGCTGGATCAGAGTGGTAGTACACCTCATAGGTAAGCAGGGACATGAAGAGAGGGAGGCAGGTGACATGTCGAGAGCCCGGCTCAGCGCAATGAAAAGCCTGGAAGGCAAAACATTAGCAGGGCTTCTATTAGCCACATATGAAGTGTGAAGCAGCTTTAATGAGACGTTACACACTTTTGTCTCTAGTCATACAGAAACCAGGGTGTCAATCAAGTATTTATTTACTACACTTTAAAGAGACTCTTTGATACCTACATGGAGGAGACACTGCATCATGTCTTCCTGTTTTTCTTCGCTCTCTGCACAGCTCTCTGCCAGCTGGACAATCACACCCATGTGACCTGCAGCCAAGACGGCCTCCACGCCTTGGATCAGCTCATCAAACAACTTCAGGAACTACAGAGGAGGGGGAGAGCAGATGTGAAGTCTGTTTGTGAAATAATGAAATCCTGAATGTGGTCTTGCACGGTGTCAAATACAAACCAGTTTGTATTTCGCAGAAGCTGCAGTCAGCCTCTGAATGGGGAAGTTAGCAATAGGATGGAGGGCCAAGTCCACCAGGTGACCCCTCAGGTGGTTCTTATAGATCCCTTGAAGAAGGGACTTGTGGGAAAGTTGAATAATGGTCTCAATAAGGCGACTGGAGGCCTGGTCCTTAAGGAAGACCAGAAGTGGACTGAGAGGAGAGAATACAAACATGCAGCTGATTAATTCTCCTCATGGTGAATCATGTGACTTATTCCCACACAAACAGCAGTGCTGCTGTGTCTCCTCTCACCTGACTCCAGGAGCTGCGCTGCGACTTGTCAGGTACTCTGTGATGCGTTTGAGGAGCTGTTTGCAGAGTTTGGGCCGTTTTCTGTGACAAACTGTCAGCATGGTCTGAAAAACTGCACTGGCAGCAGCATCTGTCACACTTACTGGAGAGGAGAGACACAACAGGGGAGAGACACACTGTTACTTAAACTCCCAGCCATTTTGAAGATGCCCTGTGGAGAAATAAAAGTTACATTTACTTTCTCATCAAAAACCAGTGTGTGTTCTTGAGCTCTAAAAAACAATTTGGGAAGTTTTCCTCCCAGACCAATAAAAACTTCAAGCTCATATTGAAGGCACAGAGGAGATTTGATCCAAATCAGAATAAGTCTCACTCTTATATTTCTTTATAACAAAATGAGATTATGAGCTATGCGATTGGCAATTTCTCATCACTGAGTTTTAGTACCTGTGTTCTGGTTGGATTGTCACCTGGAGTCTCATTCACAAATGATTCATAAATGGCTTATATGCACAATTCAGGGCCCAAAAAATGGCACATGACAGTACTTCCCTGGCATGCAGAGCAGCAAAGAAATAAAATGCACATCTTTGTCAACAGGGGGCATCAAAATCAATAAAAGCTCCTAACTGCAGCTCTAAAAGACCCACATCACTAATATCAGCCTATTCTCTGCGCAACCCGGACCATATCCAAACATAATCGCTCTTTAGTAAAAACAAAAGTAGAATCCTAAAATAATTACAGATCACAGTCACAGAAATGTTTATCTGTATTTTCTTCCTTGAGTGAGATCTTCACTTTAATCATAGACTGCTGTGTGGTGCACACAGAGCGTACAGAGACACACTCCAATTATTCATTAAATGGCAACTGGACTTGTTTGAGGTTCTTGAAGAGGCTTTTTAGAAGAGGTGAAACGCCTTCAAGAACCTCAAAAATGTCCAGTTGCTCTTTCAATGAAAAACTGGATAACCATGACCTGGATGAATGAATGAAAACCTACACAGACATCGTACAGAGAAACACTGATGACTGCTTAGCACTCATCACATCTTTATCACTTTAAAGAATCTACTGTTATTAACTAGGGGTGGGAGAAAAAAATCGATACAGCATGGTATCACAATAGTTTGTCTGGTGATATATTATATCATTTAATTTATCAAGTTTAGATTCTTTCAAATTAATTGTTAATATGAAGTCAAATCTATGGCAATGGAAAAATAAAATCAACTGTTTGTCCAGTGAGGTTGCAAGAGGTGACATCATAGAGCAGGAAAAAGTTAGTGCAACAAATATAGCAGCACCTGGGGAAGGACATTAGGAATGCAAGCAGGGCATAAATGAGATGGACCTGACACATAAGGTTTGCAAGATGTGTAACATGAAAATAAAATACTAACATAAAGGAAAAACAAATTCTAAATTAGCTAAACAGTTGGAAAAATGTATAAACTACAATCTATGGTATCGCAAGACTCACTGTATTGCAAAATATTAAAAATCGCAATAATATCGTATTGTGGCCGAGGTATCGCAATAATATCGTATTGTGGGGCCACTGGTGATTGCTCACGGGCGGGAAAAAAAGCAAAAGGCAACTTTTACACAATTCATACCCAACAAATTTTCATTATTTAAGTGCAGGCCAAGCTGACATTGACAAAACCAGCACTTCAAAACTTTTATTCATGACTCAAAATTCTGTCAAATAACCTCAAAGAGAGAGAGATGGGTAGTTGACATTAGCACTTTTTTATGATTAAAAAAAAAGGAAGGGTCCTGTAAACATAAAAACAACTGAACTAATTTTAATTACGACAACAGTTTTGGCCCCTGATGATCAAGGATATCACAATTGAGATTAACAGAGGACTGCAGTATCTTCAACGTGTTATGCAACAGCAGTACAAACTATCTGGCAGCCACAAGTAGAGAGAGGTGAGCAGGGAGAGGCAGATGTGGGCTTATCTGTCATAGACTGTATATAGAATGGACAGAGTCTGCCTCCTCTCTGGGTGAGGCCACTCAGAGAACAGCACCCTCTGTTGACGGGCTGCAGTATAGGTCATAAATCCCGCCTCCGCCAGCAAAGCTTATGGAGCTGTGGACAAACTTTAGAAATGAATTACGCAGAACATACATTTTTCTCCCCCCTGCTTGCGATGTTGACATGTAGTTATTGTAAGACTGGTTTGGCTCAAGTCCTCATATTTTTCTATGAAGTTCCGTTTTTAAAAGTTATTAGGGGGTTTATGTTTTCTTTGATTGACACCTGATACAGCCTATTGGCATTCAGGGATTGCGTAGCTCACCCGGGGGATATGCTCTTTGAGCCGAGCGTCATCACAGAGACTCTCGGCGACTCTCCTGCTGAATGCGCACAACGCTACTGCACAATGCTGGTTTCAGGAAATGAAGAAAAATCCTGGAAATACCGAAAGCTTTTCGGCTTCAAATCCGTATGCAGGCGGGAGGCGGAACCAAGTTGTCCGTAGTATATACAGTCTATGGTATCTGTGTGTGACGAGAGAGGCTGAAGTAATCATGAGTGTACATATACTTAAAGGAGCTAACAACTGCTAAGCTAGAATAGTTATGGGCATCATACTGAATTATAATAAAACAAAAACCTGAGTCTCTGTGTTATAAAGGACATTATACTTTGGTAAACAAAAAACTGTTTTAAAGGGGGTTTAAGATACGTAAATGAGTGTGATGCAGATGTCAAATCACAATTTCTGTTTTTAATAATCTATCAATCAAAATTACAGTCATTATAATTTTTGCCATAATCCAGCACTCCTATCTTAAACCCTCCCAAGAGAACCAACAGTGACTCCAAAAGCCAGGAAAAAGCCCAAAGCTCAGAAAGTGGAAATGTTTGGTTTTCCTTCGCTGGGCTGCAGCAGAGGCTCAGTAATGCATGACAGCCTCCTTTAAAGAGACCCCCTCCATCTATGAACACAGTATCTTGAGCTCACTCTGAAGATGGGAGCTCTTTATATAATGTGATTATACATCAGTGAAAGTAATTGCAATCCTCTGTCTCATTCTCTGCAGCATCAATCCTCGACCTAAGGGAATAACAGGGATCAGGGCAAACTACTTACTCATGCAAACATGTTTCATTGATTATTTGGATCGGAGCTGATGCAGATTTTCAGTTCAGAGATGAATCACAGGTTTGTCATTCTGGACATAAACCGATAATGAATACTTAAGTAGATGTTTATGCTCATGGAATAGATGAATAGATCAATTATTTATTTCCGACGGATATTGTTACTGCTGATTCTAACTAACCACAGGCAGAAAAACATTTGTAGTCAAAATTTCCCCGCAGCCGTCATTTACTCTCAAACCAACAGAGCAGTTAGTCTGCTTATTGAACACAATTCACTTCATGATGCTTGTAAAACTGTTTCTTGTCATATTTAATTGGCCCTGCTCTGCCAGCCTTCATCAATTCTTAACCAAATTGAAAGAGCTACATAGACATCCCTCAACTCTCTCTCTTTCTTGTTACTCAGACAAACTGGAGCAAATTTACAGAAGGATCGTGACGCTGTTCTCCAGTTAAACCTGTGCAAATGAGACGAAAAGAAACCATTTAACTCTCAAAGCACTTGTAGAGAGTGAATCTATCCCCTACTGTGCAGCTAAAACAATGTCTGCCTGCTGATACTCCACTGCTGTTTTCAATCAGGCCTCTTTATCTTCAAATTATCCGCACTGTTGACAACATGAGTTTTAATAAATGTTATCTGTGTCTTTGAGGATTTTGAAGAGCATGTCCTACTCTGACTTTCAAGGGATCATGGGGGCAGTGCAACTCTTCTGTTATTTAAAAAAGTGATCTGTAAATACAACTTCAGAGATTGTGTCTCTTTGGTTTACCAATCTATTGAAATTTACTCTTTCAACCATTCTGTTAGCTGTTTTTCATAAGCTCTGTAACTTATGATCTACTAGAAGTAGCACACTTCAAAATAAAAGCATACTTTAACAATGGAGCAAATAAAGCAACAGAAACACAAGATAGAAAAATATCAAAATAAAAGCATTTGTAGAATTAGGCAAAGTCTTCTCCAATTAGGTTTTTGTTACAGAGTTGGTAATGTAGATAAACCATAAATTGGAAAATCATTATAAATCAATGATGACAAGTGTGTTACTTGCGTTAAGTGAAATTTATGAGGTAATGTGTTGCTCCACTCTTGTCTTACCATTTCTTAATTATCCCTCCTCTACAATAATTATGAGTTATGAATCTGATATCTTGATAGCTCTTATTCACACACACACACATATGTGGCAGTCCTCTAGTAGAGTCTCATATAAAGCAATCAAGATAATAGAGAGAGCAATGCAGTCATTGACTCTGTACAGAATTAACGTGTCTTTATTTTTGTAAACTGTGAGATGAGAAGCCAAAAAAGCTTTTTCAATAACGATGCTAATGCTAACACATTGCACTAATGACCTGGCTGGTAAAATTTACAGGACTTACGATAACTGATCAGCTCCACTAACAAAAATAAGTATTTGACTAATTGTTCAAAACAGGTCCCTCTGTCCACAGCAGAAGAGATTCTTGCATTTATTTGAGGTAGCCACCTGTGGTTATGGAAAGTTCTGGTTCAGATTCAAGTTACTTTATTGCACCTGTAAGTCAATTTTTTTGCAGCAAGCCAATGACACACAGTTTGACATTTGATTACAAAACAAACATAACATGACCCGTAACCCAAAACAACCAAATAAAAAAAAACCCACAGGCAGCTAACTTGTGTGAGTGTTCATTATGTTTTCCTTGGCCAATCCTCCTCTACTCTGCTGATCTAGTGAAGAACTCTGCTGGAGCCAGTATCAGAGCTGTCCATTCACTATCTTTATAAAATAACTTGAAGGGATATTCCGCCTTAAATTTAAGTTATGGTCAAACACTGTAACACTGAGTTAGACACCCTCTTGTAAACAAAACAGAAAGTATCACAGTTAACTCTGGCATTTAGACTTTATGAAAGATGTGAATCTGACCTCTAAGAAAAAAACTTAAAGCCCATGCTGAAGATTGTGGAAATAAGGTTATGTAGAAGTCCATCAGAAAATGAACAGTTGGTGCTTAAAGATAGGGACATTGGCACTAGAGTTTTAATGCAGTTACCAGGGGTGTGAAGAACCACTGATATAAAGTGGTTTCAGATCTGAATATAAAAGATCTGTTTACATTTAACAGGTTGAACATCACCTGTCTATTGAAGGGGGATTGGTATTTTATTCCTGTCTATTCATGCTCCACTTTGGCCTGCAGAATTATTGTTTGATTTGTTTTACTTCTGCCACTAAGATCTGCACTTGTGGCAGCTCCATCTAGGCTTGCACCCAAGCTTCCCTGCTCACTGTGGTGGCCTGGGTAAAGTCTTGACACACAAAGGTCATTTATTTTCAGGGTTAGATGATTCAGTTACTTGTTACCATAAACTATATAGAAAACATTACAAAAATTCACTCCACGTGGGTGTGATGAGATCCCTGAGCTATTAAGACCCAAAGCAATTTTAAACCAGGCTGTGAAAGTGTTTATTTTGGCTCTAGATTTGGCTTCTTTTGCCCGGTGTGTACATGGTTTCTGGTGCATCTGCAGACAGCCTCAAGTGGGCATGAACAGAAATGCAGATTTAAAGAGAAATTCCGGCGTAAAATTAATTTGCAGGATAGCAATACACAGCAGTCTGAGGAGCCACGTGCAAACCTCAACCAAACGCCATTCTATAGCCACAAATAATGCTCAGAACAGCACCTAACTTCATTAACAGTTCATATAGGGTTCCAGCCATAGTACTAGTAGCCACCAAAGATCTTTTTAGCTTTGCCTGGTTTCTTTAGCAAAGAGACTAAACACAACTCACCTACTCTCTTCCAGAAGCTGCTTGTTTGTGGGGGGAGCCCTGACGAGTTGTTCACCGAGCGCAGCGGAGAATCGCAGCTCAAGGAAGAACATTTATGATCATTACAGTAAGGAAATGTAATCAGACTGAGACGCTAAGGCAGAAGAACTACCGCATCTGCAGTGCAAAATGATTATTACATCATGGAAATGATCCGATGCACTTGGTGATCTACTCATCAGGTCTAAGAACTACCACATCTGCAGTGCAAAATGATTATTACATCACTGAAATGATCCGACGCACCTGGTGATCTACTTATCGGGTCTAACTTGGTGTTATGGTGTGTCTGACCATAACTTAAATTTACGCCCCTTTAACTAATGAACACTTAAATAAGACCAAGAACAAAAATTACAGATTGCAAAAGGATGAATATCCGCATTAATGCAGGTGTAAAGGGAGATCATAAATAGGGTTGTGTTATGAATCAGACCCTAATACAGGTCAACCTGGCTTTATCACTCCAAGTCAATTCATCTCTTTATGTTCGTTGTGTTCGTACAAGTTGTGGACTTAAACCAAGTTTCCCTTTGTCCTTTTGCGGGAGAGCTCTGTTAAAAGCCACTTAGCTTTCACTGCAGCATATGCACTTAGCCCGAGGTTATTTATTGACATTTCATTTAGTCTGAAATAAAAACTGCAAGGTTGAATTTATCATATAAATTATAACCTCAATCTAGGCTGCATTCTATTCAAAACATTCTGCCCCTGAGCACTTCCTTTCTACTTCTTCTATAAGTCCTCACTTGCATTTAGCATGCTTAATCGTTTTTCTGATTTCCGGAAGAAATGTCAGAGCCATCAGCAGAGAGCGAGAGAGAGCGAGCGAGCGAGAGAGAGAGAGAGAGAGAGAGAGAGAGAGAGAGAGATATTACCAACAGATAGTGTAGATGGATTTCTGGATGTCTGACAGATTATTTAAATGCTACCTTACAGAGGATCATAGGTTATTTACACTTGACCCAATTTTCTCCTTTTTTACCAAAAATAACAGCTCACAATGAAAAAGTGTACAATAACTACAAAAAATAAGAAAATATGATGAGCAGTGTGATTTTTAAGTGATGAAACTAAAGTGGAGAGTCAACGTCTGTGGCCGGTTTGTTTTCTGCTCTTAGCATGAAGATATGTGTTGATAGAGAACAGTAATGTTGTTAAATGACAGATCAAGAACTACAGACATGTGTTAACTACACCACCAAATCCCCAAAAATCTTCCCATACAAATTTAAGAACCACAGTGTTCCACTTACAGTCTGATTTATTGGGACGTTTTAGAAGCATTTGCCCTGGTACAATGATCTGGTAGAACTGATACTCTACGAGAGGTTAAGTCTGGACTTCTGTAGAGGAAAATTATTCTTGTTGTTATTATTATTATTATTATTATTATTATTATTATTATTATTACTGTTATTCAACAAGCTGAGCCTATTCTGGCAGCCTATGCACACCTCAGTTTGTCCTCAGCTATTAAGTATAATTCCCAAAGATAATCTACAGTCTGCATTTCAATGCCGGTTTATGGGCTCTTCTGATACCAACATGTTGTTTTAGCTCATATCAGTTGGCTTTAGCCTGTACTTATGAGTTTATTATCATAAAACTTGAACTTTATTATCTTAGACTGTATCCCGTAAATGTAAGATTTCCTTCTTGTAAATATAGACTTGACAGCTTTACTATTAGAAATTAACAACTTTTTTCATGTAAATGTAAGAATTTGTTCTGATAAATTCATGACTTTTTCCCGTAAAGGTATGGCTCTTCACACATAATGTTATCACTTTTTTCTCATGGATTCATGGTTTTATTCTCAAGAGCTTTATTTTCTTGAGGCAACCTTGATCCTCCACAATAATGTTTAAAATATGTCGAAATCATAAAAAAAAAAGACACACATCTTAAAATTGGGAAGAGCTGTTTTAAATGTCTGATGTTTTTTTTTAATCCTTTTTTATCATGCTGTGTTATGTCTGCTTCACAAGAGTTATAACTGATTTCAGCAAAGACTTACAGTTAACGTTGTCCATCAGGGTCTGTGTGAGGCTTTTCAGCTCGTACCAAAATGAGGTGGGAATCTCAAAGTCTGTCAGCTGAGGAGCAACATTTCGTTCTTTGACTCCTGGAGGAACAGAGGAAGAGACAAAGGTACTGAGTGACAGGGAGAGACAGGTGCATGCTGTTGTTCTGAGAACAAAAGGATTTTAATTACTGGCTACCCACCAACACAATAAGCAGGTACAGCTGCAGCAGCGGCTCTGACACAAAACTATTCAGGCTCTGACACATGGATATTCAAGCTTTAGATGTGCTAAATCTCAAGTACCACAGATGACAAAAGATTATTCTCTATCTCAGGGTCATTACTAACTCCAAACTGAGTTTATACGAGGGAAAATGGGAAATGGATTGCACTTAAATAGCCCTATTCTAGTCCCTGATCACTCAAAGTACTTTTACATAACATGTCTCATTCACCCACTTGCACCACATTCATTTACTGATAGCAGAGGCTGTTAAGTTCCCATCATCACTTACTTATCCCATTCACATGAATCCACAGGCTTGAGTAATTCGGGTCATGAACATCAATAAATGTGCTTTGGAAATTTAAAAAATGTATAACTTCTTCAGAAGATTTCAAAAACATCTTTAATTACAGCGTTTTAAAATTGCAAACCCAATTCAAAAAAGTTGGAATGTTTGTGTAAAATGTTGATAAAACCGTTCACAAATCATTTAAACCCTACATTCAATAGGAAATAGGGAAATTCAATGGGAAATTTAGTGTTGTGTAATGCAATAAAAAAAACACATGAAGGAACGTCTTCCAACTAGTTACATTCATTTGCTAGAAGTTAGTAAGATGACTGAGTTTGAATGGGGCACTCCAGCCAGGGCGAGCCTCTCAGAAGCAAAGATAGGAAGAGGTTCATTACTTTATAAGAGGCTGTGCGAACAAATAGTTCCAAGTTTTCAAAGTAAAATTGTAAAGATTATTTCATCATATACAGCACAAAATGTTTGAAATGATTCAGAGGGTCTTAAGAAATCTCAGTACTAAAAGAACAAGGCTGAAAACCAACACTGGATGCTTGGGATCTTTTGGCACTCAGGTGGCACTGCATCAAAAACAGACCTGACTGGAGTGGAAATCAGTGCAAGGGCCTAAAATCACTTCAAAAACCATCATCTGTGGACAAAGTTTACTACACAAATGTAGGTTTTAACTGCACCATTCAAACAGGACACAGAATGTTAACGAGATACAGAAATGCTGGCGACCTTTCAGGACATCAGCTCATTTAAGGGTAAAGGGTTTAGGTTAAGGGTTAATTTATTCTGTCTCCCTCAGGGGAAATTTGTCTTGGACATATGGGTAGGCAGCATACATATAATATCGTACATACAGTACAATACAATACAGCACAGGACAACAGAGGCAATAACAATATAGTAAAGTGCACAGTGACGCAAAAAAGCTAAAGTAAACCTCTAGATCACCCTCCAATATAATAAATAGTAACAACCCCCACTGCATTCCTAGTGCACCAGGAAACACATTAAATTACATTGGCCCTACCTCAAAACCTTCTACCCCGTCTGTCCTCCGCAAGCAGCCCATTAAGTAGAGTGATCAACAGAGGGACGAAGGAATATTTATACCTATTAAAGACAGACTGAGGCAAATGGGAATCGTCCTATGGTGTGACCACTGAAAATCTGACATTCTTTTTGGGGATCATGGACATCATGTCCTCTGCTCTAAAAAGGAGAGAGACCACCAGAATTTTTATCAGCGTACAGTTCAAAAGCCAATTATAATTGTGAGGATGCATAATAACTAGATTATATACCACTGTTGATGCAGGACATTATAAACATGTTTTAGATCAACATATGCTGCTATCTATGCATTACTTCTTTCAGGGGGGACCTTGCAGAACACACCAAGAACAAACCAAAGTACATTCTAATCCCTGCAGTCTCCACTCAATCATAAAACAGAAAATATGACAAAGTAGACTGAACTCCTCAGCAGCTGAAACCCTTCATCCGGCAAAAGTAGTACAACATTTTGCTACTAAAGCTCCTGAAACTGCTCTCCTTGGTTTAGAAATCTTTAAAGCAAGTTGTTGTGATGTAACACAAGAGGGAAACATGTTCCTGTCTCTACTTTTTCTTAACCATGTTGCAGGCATCAGATTCAAAATGAGTGAATATTTGCAAAAAAACAACAAAGTTTAACAGTTTGAACATTAAATATCTTGTCTTTGTTGTGTATTCAATTGAATGCTGGTAGAAAAGGATTTGAACATCATTGCATTCTGTTTTTATTCACTTTTCACACAGCATCCAAACTTTACTGGATTCAGGGTTTTGTATGTGTGAGTACATGTGATTGTGTTTGGTGTGTGTACACGGACCTGGTCGAGATTCGGTGCGTGGCGGTCCGAGGCAGCCAGCCAGCACGTGTAAAAGCGTGCGGACCACATGTGAGCCATGAACATGTTTGATGAACTCTGCGCTGTTTCCTCTCACCACTTGGCTGACAGACAACACTTGAGCCTCCAACAGTCCAAACTCCTCCTCCTCTTCTTCTTCTTCTTCTGTGGTGGCAGACGGCTCCTTCTGTGGTGACTCTGAAAATAACGAACACAGAGATGATCCCGAGCGCTGGTCTCATAGTATCATTTCATCAGACTAACAATGATTAGTCTCACCTGTCCACCTGGACATCTGTCTGACTGCACTCTCCATGACATGACCCCCACAGCGATCACAAGCCACCGCCTTGAACTCCGACCCTGATTCTCCGCCCAGTTCAGCCAGAACCTCCCCCACCTGGTTAGGACTGGAGAGCGGAAACAACCGCTGCAGAGTGATGCTTCCTGTTTGGTCCATTGCCACCAGGGTCGCTTTACCTTTAACTTCAGAGAGGACGTTCTCCACAAACATCACTACAGAGAGAATACAGTGAGACACAGTAAGAGGTCACCCAGTCAGGAACAGAGTACTGAATATACGGTGACAAATACAGTATCTCTAATGGTAAATGACAGGTCATATTTAGAAATATTCAAAGGTTAAACACAGAAATAAAAGCAGCTGTCACACAACTATGCCAAAAAAAGAAAAAGATACATGGACTGAGTTGGCATTCACTTAGCAGTCATCAATTTATAAACAACTTAAGTTAATTAGAGGTACGGTGAGACATTTGATGCTAAATTTTATCGCAGCCACACAGAAGCCTAAATTAAAACAACAACAAAGATGTGACAACAAAACTTAGTATGCAGAGGGCAACTTTTGATTATGTTGTAAATGCACAATGAGGCTGTTCACAGATATGTCATACTAAATCAATCTGAAGAAAACTTTGCCACCACATTTCACCTCTGCCTGTCAACACTGTGGCAAAAACATTAGTGCTCTTTAGTATTCTAAATTGATAAATCTTGCTACCTTCTATCTTGGGCTCAAGAGTCGGTGACAAACAGCATAAATGTAAGAGCAGCCTGAGGAGTTACTGGGTCTCTGATTGGAAAAACAGTTTCCTCTTAACCTGATCAGAGAAACAATTTAGACAATAACAGCAGAGCTGGAAAGAAGGAGTAACTAACTGAAACCAAGGTCTTATTAAGTCTTTTTGACATCTGTAATGAGGCCTCCATTAAGACCTTATTACCCACATACCGAAGGCTTTATCACACCCATGAGAAGCCTTTTTTCAGCCTTCACTACATCAGTAATAAAGCCTTCATCATGCAATCCTTCATTATAGCCCTGATCTGACCTCTCATTAGCCTCCATTACTGCCATTATAAAGCTTTTACAACACTCTTATCAAAGCCTTTATTTACCTTTTATTAACCCAGTAATAAACCTTCTATCAAGTCTTCATTACACCTCTAGCAAAGACTTTATTACACCTGTAATGAAGCCTCTCTAAGCCTATAAACTTGAGACGAAGCCTCTATAACCCTGGGTAGGAAAGAGCTGGAGACAGCCGAGTCACTCTCCAGTTGTAATAACAATAATAATAATAATGATAATAATAATAATGACAGTAATAGAATTAGATGTACTTGTTGTTGTCATTAGCAATATCTTGCCTGGTGGATACTGCACATTTTACAAATACTATTTTATTTCTTCAATATTTTGTGTTTTACATATTATCGTCTTTATTTATATTTTTCATGATTTTATTTTATTCTAATTTCTTTTCATTACCACAGTTTCCACAGTCTTTCTTATCCTGATGAAAGTAATCTCTGTTTCTGACTTCTTTGAAACTGAGAAGACTGCTTCAGATGACAGTTTTCATGATCAACCAACAAGGATTTTTCTATCGTTCAATTTTGTCATCTCTGTCATCTTGGTTGCATACTCTGCCAAAAGATCACTTTAAAAGCAAATATTTCTTTTGAAAGATGATGAAGGTGTATTGCTGTATTTTCTGCAGCCTGCTTCTCAATCTTAATCAAAGGCCAGCTCTTTTCTTTCACAGATCTGCAGAGCAGTAATCTTTCTCACCTCTCTCCTCATCATCTTCAAAGCCTTCACTGAGCCTTTCCCCGACTCGACGGAAATATCCAACACTCAGGGCGTCCAGGCGCTTCCTGCCACCATCTCCTTGAACCTTTTCTCCTTCTTTACCTCCCCTCTTCTTCTTCACTCCAGTATCTCCATCACCTCCAGGGTGTCTTCTTTTCTTTCCTTCTCCTTTTTGTGGCTGCCTCTTCTCTGGTTTTGCCAGCATGGTCCTGACCAGAAAATCAGCAGGTTACAAGTAAAGTCTGTTGATCGTTGCTTAGTTTTTCTCTTTAGGCTAAAGTTGGGAAGAGACGATGGGAAAACATGAGGTAATTATAGTCAGGTTTGTGTTTGCCTGGTTCCCCAAGAAGTTTATTTTTGAGCTCTTTTTACCTGTCCAATACTGTTTCTAAAACTTCAGAATTTGAGCAATGGCAAGTTCTTACAGGCATAAAACTGATGTGATAAAAAAATGCAGGGACTGAAAAAAATCAGGGCTGAAATAGGTTCTAAAATTAAAAACAAGCATTGATTTGCGAAATTGATTTTGTTGCTTTCCCTGTATCCTTGCTTCATTTAATTTTGACCAAACCAGGCTGAGGGCCTAACATTAGATTAAAAATATCCAGGCTTGAATAAAACATACAAAGCACGTGCAATCTTAAAAATACGCAGATATATAAAAATGTGATTTCAGTTGCAAAAAGAACACACTTTAATTTCACCTTCTTTCTTATTACCTTTTTTTTTTTACATATATGGTGCTAACTTCTTAAGTAATTCAATCAAAAACTCAGTAAAATGTATTATCAGTACTAACACAAGGTGGATGCTTTAAGTACAATAAAACTGAATGCACAGTAACACAAAATACTTTAAAATTGACATGAAATATAATGAAGTTTATATATTTTTTTACTTTTTCTATTCATTTTATGCAGTTGACAAAAATAGAGTCTGTCTGGCTTGAAACCATTAAAATGATGCAATAAAACAGATTTATCTATTCTTATCTTCAACAATGCTACACTAGTCACAAAATATTTACCAGTACTTAGCAATATTTCAGTGAATCTCTATGTATGACATTAGGGCTTTGAGTGACAAGTGCAAAACACTACAGCGTTGTATGTTTATTATAGATAACTCAATGTCACAGGTCATTCTGTTATTGTCAACACGGATAACTGCTTACAAGCTCTGTAACTTTACTATATAATAACCATGTTTGAAATCAACAGGAGTAAAGCTAATAAATAAGACTTTAAAAAGGGAGTGTGATTATCTCAGACACGGTTGTTGTGTTTTCAATATGTCGAGTCCTCATATGTGTGGTGGTCGTAAATTGAGACATATCTCAATAAAAAAAAGTCTGTTAACTTCGAGTATTCGGTTGTTGGGGGACAAAAGATCACGCCGAATTTACCTTTAGACTTTATTGATAATAGAAAAGGAAAAAATTGTGCATCACGAGAACAAAACCATTGCCTGTGAAGAGTGACCAGTCAGTGATGAAATTTTGAAACCGAGTTTGGTTCTCGATACGAGGCAAGGAGGCTGACATGCTAACTTCCTGAGAACTTGAGATTTTACGTAAAAGCGAACACTTAAAGGGGAACACAACTCTTAAATAAAATTCTTCGTTTAATTCATGCGAAATACTGGTAAATAGAAACAATAAAGGACGTCAACAAAATGTAGATAGACTCACGTGTAAGAAATGTAGATCGGGGCAGTGTGTTGTGGGCGCGTAGTGATGACGCAAAACTGGGCGGTGACTGTTGACTTTTTTTTTTCAGCTCGTTTGAGAAATTTGACTTCGCTGTCCCCTTTTTTGTTTGTTTTTACCATACTGTCTACAGTCTATAGTTTTAATCAAATGGGAAGAGAGCTAAAATATTAGCCTTGCAAAAGCATTGTTACCCCTCTGAAATTGTACTTGTTAAACTACCGAGTTTATTGATCCTCTAAAGTAGGCTAAACTGCTATCCACAAATTCACAATTTCAGATACAAATATACAGACACATATGAAATTTACTCTGTCTAGATAAATGAGTTCAATAAAAATTGGGGGGAAATTTATTTATTTAAAAAGGCTTTATTTTTCTGAAGTATCAGTAACTAACCTATCTAAGAATTACGAGGAATTTCTGCCTTGTTTTTCTAATTAACAAGATGTGTTAACAAGGTGTGTCCAATAATCCAATAATAATATTGACAGAGATGAACAATGCTGAGCTTTTGTTTGTCTCAATTTTTTTTTGTGCATAAAACACAACTGGTCTTTCAGAATGTTCCCAAATTTTTTATCTTTTTCATTTAATTTCATTAATTTATTTAGTTAGTTTGTGTGTGTGTGTCTGTGTGTGTGTGTGTGTGTGTGTGTGTGTGTGTGTGTGTGTGTGTGCTGGGGGGGGGGGGGGGTACCCAATACAAAAATCACCACTGATTTTATGTACTGTATATTTGTTCAATGCACTGAGATAAGGTTTTACCCAGTAGAGGGCAGTGTGGTTTCTCCCCTGGCTGAATGCTTTAACTACACACTCAACACAACCCTCTGTTGGTGGTAACGATCAGAGGTGTGGACTGGAGCCCAGGCATGTGACTCAGTCAAATAAAAAGGATCTTCATCCTACTTCAGCTCCAGTGACTCAGGACTTTATCTGAACTTTTGACATGAAAGACTCCCCCCAAGCACAAAGAACAAAAAAAGAAATGAGCATTAATGCTGTTGGTTGGATTTTACAACAATGAGCTTATAATCGAACTCAAAAATAGTTTTGAAACATTGAAACATGCTTCATTATTGGCAGGTACAGATGGTGTATAATACAGAATATTCCAGTAAGTTCACAAAGAGTCCAAATACCTTCATTCCAGTCTGAATCTCCTCTTGGCTTTGTTTAGGCATAATGTTGTTGTTTTTCCTGCACTTCCTTATAATGGATGGGCTGTATTCCCTCGTCAGTTTTCACTTCCTGAGGATTTTTATTGCCATGGTCTGAGACACATACCTGTATAAAATGACCAAACAGCCTAATATTTCAGTTTTTGTACTTTTTAATGTCAAACTTAAGCATCTCTGTCAGGTTTGAAAAGTAAAAGCTTAAAAATATACATATTTTTAGAAAAAGACATCAGTAGATTTCTGAATTAGAAGATGAGAAGTACTTTATTGATCCCCAAAGAGAAATTCAATTAAAAAATAATAGTATAAGCAGTGTTGGATCTTGGATAGGATAGACAATTCTTTGTGACTTTATAAATAATGGCTTTACCATACACTCCCTGTGGCAACAATGATGGCATTATGTTTCCTTTTAAGTGACAAACTCTGGTAAAAGTCCATGTTTGGGCTTGTATTCCAATGAATCAGAGATGAGGTGAGGTGTGATGTCATATCTGATCGGAATGGAAACAAAGCTTATGAAATACTTTTCACAGGCAAACCAAGAAAACCTGAGACAATGAAAATTTGCTGACAGTTATCTGGTAATAAGATCATGACAAGTGCCTTACTGTTGCTTTCTCAGCTTTTTAAAAATAGTTTTAAAGTTTTCAGCTGCTGCTTGGTCGGTTTGCCACTTCAGTCAGGATTAAAATACTTACAAAAACTTTGCAGCATACTCAATAAATTTTTATGCACACAAAAATCAATAATAATACAAAAAATAAAGACAAGGCAGTTAAGATACAGAACAGGTCCAGATTGTGTGTATTGCATTAAAAAAAAAAAAAAACCTTCCAGAAACCTCAAGCAGGACCAGTATTTTTGAATAGCCATTTACTGCAACTCCAAGCCAAACATGAGAATGGGGGAAATAGAGTGAGTGTAAGTTATTTTAAGCTTTAAGAACCACTTCAACAAGATTTGGTTTTTACACTCTCATCCTTTTCAAGATCCCCTGTAAAACTGTGTTGACCTCTGGGTGACCCCTGAACAATTTTGCTGGCATCACCATCAGATGATTTTACTCCACATTGCACTGGCTTTTAGCGTTTTGTATGTAACGCAAATGAGCTAATTTACCATGCTAAAATACTAAACTAAGATGATGACCTTTAGAATTATGGTCAAAATTTGGACAAGAAATTTGAATTTTGACTTCCAGGTCTGTTGACTTAGATTTAGATTTCTGACAAAAAAGCCAAAATCTTGCTTTTAAGTTCGATTTTGAGGAAAAAGTCAGAATACTGATTCAATTTTAGAATTCTAAGCAAAAATCTAAAGTAAGATGTTTATTTTTTAATGACTGTAAGTATGTGTCATTTGACAACCTGGTGGTTGGATTGAGGCTGATTACTGTAGGCATAGAAGTGCTCAGGATTTGCAGTACACTATTGGGAAAAAAAGCACAATTTGTGGGCCAGACCTGTTCTTTGGTTTTATGTGTTATCAAGAGTGATTTCAGTTAGACTTGGTAGGAATAGAGTATTAAAAGCACAGTGTTAAGTATTTTGTGGGAATATTCAAACAGACGGTAAAAATTGACTATCACAAGTATGTTTACATTTGTGTATAATCACTTGGATAAAGAAATAATTTTGTGTTTGTTGACTTAGTGCGAGTCATTTGTGTCTACATAAGAAGCAGATGTCATTCTGTGGAAGCCGCCGTCTTGCATCACCATGTTTCTATAGTAGCATAAGACAAACTTGTAGCATGAACAGTCTTGTATTTAATGAGTGGCTAGTTGAAGTGCACCAGCAGGAAGACAAAGAAGAAAATATTCCCATTTCTACATACTGTACTTTTATATGCCTCTTTGCTTATGAAATCCTGGCTTTTCTTACCCTCAGGTGTGCATTGAGTATACCTTTGAAAACACAAAAATGTGATAAAAACTATCATATCATTATCTGCCTTAGGATCACGTTATTATTTGTAGTTGTTGTATGCTCATTAAACAAATTCCATATTGTGCATCTCTGTGAGCTCCTGAGGGCTAACTCTGCACTTAGGTTCAAAACACTAGAGCATGATAGAAACTTGTAATACAGTTTCAGTGGAAAAATAACATCTCAGTGTAGCTGTAACTGTCAAAATTCAAAGGAAACTGAAGTGCCTTTAGATTTGGGGTGTGGGTTTAAAAAGAATGACATCAGTAGGCTTCAGGCTATAGGTGGGTGATTTTAACATAAAACTTATAACTAACAGTGAACATTTGACCCAAGGAGAAAAAAAAGGCAAAGAACACAAACCCTTTATAAAAATGTTGTTAATTTGTCATATTCAAAGAAGTTTTGAGCTTAGAGGGATACACAGTATGAGCAAGACATAATACTTCAAAATAAAAAGGGTTTAATGAATTAATCAAAAATTCTGGTTGAATTCTTGGTGAATTATTCAGTCCTTCTCAGAAGAGAATGTATTATATGTTAGGGAAATGCATCGCCTGCATTAATACCCAGAGGAGCAACTGACTCTTACATTCTCAGGATTTCTTTAGGAAGCCGGATCATGAGGTTTAAACATGGAGGCAGAGTAACAGATAAATCATTTGTTCAGCAGCGGCGCTCCTGTCTGTTTGTGTTCATCTCCAGAGCAACTGCAGCGCATGAATCAGCCTCAGCACAGCAAACTGTGAATGAACACTGCAAATGCAATTGATTAAGACTTTAACAGGCACATAGTCATACGCAGACACATTTCATCACACCATTGTTAAACACACACACACACACGGCTGCTGATGTCATATGCTGAAGAGTGTAATGAATCACACAAGGCAGAGACTCAGCTGTTGATATAGGAATGAACAATTGATTATACATAATCAAGTTGGTATAAATTCTTCATCGCACAAAACGTGGTGTGTTTCTCATCTTTTGCTTATGTTTTGACTCCATGTGAAAATGTTATTATTTTCTGCGCTGGGAAAAGGGTGAGGGGTTACATTAGTGCAATATTCGAAACAATTTTGCAAAGTCTTTAACCACAGTAATATCCAAATAATAGCCTACACTGTTAAAACTCAAAATGATCAAGTGTTTCGTGACACATTTCACCTGAAAAAGGATGTATTTTGCTTAATTTTAGCAATATTCACCTGACAAGTCCAGAAAAATGTCTTATTTTAAGACATAAAATGCTAGAATATCTGCTAAATTGCTTGAGATAGGTAAATGGCAGATTTTTTGTGGTTTATGTGGTTTAAATTAAGACTAATAGGACACTTTTTTGCAAGAAACAAGGAAAAAACACCAGCTAAGATTTGAGGTTTTTTGAGGAAGTTTTGCATTATGTATATTGTTTTTTAGGTTTGAGGTTACTTTATTTGTAACAACCCATAGGTAGATTTGGTCAATCAAAGCCTCAAAACATAAGCTTTTTAAAAAATATTTCTTTATGCTAAACTTGGCTTATTCAATTCTCTGCTGCAACCCATCATGACTTCTCATGTAAGCTCCTGTGAGGACCTTTTTGCATGTAAGCCCTTTTCACATTGTAAGTTTGCAAAAGCCGTGAAAACAGCTTTACCAACATCACGCTTCACTATTTTCATACTAATCCTGGAATATCTGTGATATTTGTGTTCCAGTGTGTGGTTTCACATTGCCTTAAAGGTTAACACATAAAAAGGGTTTGACTGAGCACACTTCGACATGGACACACACTGCTGTTCTGCCTGTTTGCAGTGATCCTGTCTGACCTCTTTTATACCCCTGTTACTGTCTCTGATGCGTGCACAGAAGAGTTTATCTCTAATGTTGTGTCACTCCAAACAAGAGTGAAATCATTCGTGCCAGTGAAATACATGTAAAGTCAATGCAAGGATGCGATTAGACATGCAATCTACTTGAGTGATGTGGATGACACAAATGAGACAGCACAAATTGAGCGGATCATTCACGTTATGTCCTATGAACTACTCGCTTCATATGCTTATCTGAACTCAAGCAAATGTTTGTGATGTGATAACCAATCAGTTTGGAGATACTTTGGTGATGTATGTCAACAACAGACTGGCAGAGATTCATCCATGTGGAAAATGGAGAATCAACTGATCGTGTCAGTATGAGACCACCTGAGCTGTGGGATACAACTTGTCTGTGACACCAAGACAGGAGTAAAAAAGAGCTCAGCGGGAGGAAAGTGAGTGAGGAGGTCTGGTTATCTGGTGAGTTATTTAAACACAACAGTCCTCACAGTGTGGTCAACCTTTCTATGTTTGATGTAAACAGAATGACTTGACATGCAGAAACCCCTCCCTTCTTTCTCTCTCCTCTTTCAATCACATAAGTGTTTGGACACTGCAGATGTGGTATAAACATACAACCGATCGAGTCATTTGCAAAAACTGAGTGAGTTAAGACACAGTATTTGGATGTCCAAATATGCATACATGAAGCAAGTAGTAATCCTATTCGAGCTTGGTGTGAACACAACATGACACTTTACACTTGAAGGCGAAGTGTTACAGGGTGTAAATAATGTGTCTTGAACTGGCAATGTGAAAAGGGCTGACATGTTTCCTCTTGTCTCCTTATTGATCTGTTTTTGGTACTTGCATAGATGGTGTTATCCGACAAAAGTCTAACTGCTTCAGCGTGTATTTATTTTTTGTGAATACTTGGTGTGTGAAATGTACAAAAGACAGTTTCTTTAGCGGGTTTTCAATAAGCTATTGTGACGCCTACCTTGTGGCAAAGTTTTCAGCATAAAAAGAGCTATTTAGAAAATATCTTTGTTGTTGGTGATGTTTTTGATTGCATTGTACATCATGAAGAGGCATCACTTTCAATTTATGTCACTGTTATTACAAGCTTATCCTCACAGAGCCTTGAGAAATAATAATATTGAAAAAGTACAATCAAAGCTATTTTTTTATACTTCAAAAAAGATATGATACATGAAACATGCAAAGATTTGTGAACTTTATTTGTCACATACACTTGGGTCTAGGAATAAAATAATATATGCTGCATTTATGTGTTTTTCCATGTATGTATGTGTGTGTGAGATGACAGGTAGGCTGATACATAATGGAGGGAACCCTGGTGAGATGAGTGTTCACATGCCTCATGGCCTGAGGTAAGAGTCTTTCAGTCTGTCAGTCTCTGCTCGGTGTGTGCAGAAGTGCTTGCATGACTGAAAGAGCTTTAACAATCCACTGTTGGGGTGCTGAAGTTTCCCCATGATCCCACAGGCTCTGTTTATGCACCTTTGTTGGAGAGGACTTGAATGTAGCTCCAGTAGAGTGCTAAGTGGATTTTTTTGCCCCCAAAAATAAAAAAAATAAGTCCTGATGCTTCCTGTCAGGATCGTGCTGATAGCCATGTGTGTTTGTCTTTAGATAAATCCCACAAGCTATTTTCCACAGCTCCCAATCTAAATGCAGAGTTATAGGCTCTTAACTTTCTTGAAAATTTTCTAATATTTTTTTATCCAACTCTTGTCAAGAAAGTGAATAAGGACATTGTGCACAATGTCAAATGATTCAATAAACACTACATAGACTTTAGTTATTGCTCAAAAAAGCCACGAAGTTCTTCTTATTCAAACAGTTATTTTTGTATTTTAAATTTTTGTATGTCAAATAGTAAAATAGTTGGTTTGTTAGTGGTGTCTTTTTTGTTCTCCACAGGAAAGCTCAGAGTTACACAGTTAACATTTAACAGAGTCATGTCAATACGGCACATACCAAAAATACTCTCACTGACACTCCTTGGCACAGGGACAATGCTACTGTACTCTATGTTTGCAGGGGAATTGTCCCCCCCCCCCCCCATTTCTTCCACATACAATGAATAACTTCAATTGATTTCTGTTATTAAATTTTCCATTCGCTCTCAGTGAAACTTATAAAATATAAAGGGCGCATTTCTCTCCAATCCCCTCATCCCAAAAGTCAGGAAGTTTCCTTTGGCCTGCCGCTGGCTCTTTGGTTTCCCACGAACAGCAAGAGAGCCAGGATCCAGTCCCATCTGTTATACTCAGATACTCAGCGAACCCGAGTCACCTTTGTGTTTCCTCTCACGCCCACCGCTCTGCAGAAGCTGCAAACGTTGTCCGGGCCATTTATCACGCTGCTGTCAAGCCAGCAGCATCAACAATCAGATCAGTAAATGGGAAGCATTTTTCAAGATACAAATAGTTGTGACAAAAAGGTAATGTATAGCTCCGAGCTACAACTCATACAGACAAGAAAAAACGTGTTTACAAAAAATACCAGAGCAAATTTAGAACAGTGGAGAATTTATATTCTATTATTGTTTCTCTTATCAGCCTGTTTGCCCTGTGTTGAAGGTTTCAACCCAGGTTGTTAAACCCCCTATAACCTGAGGTGTAACAAGAAATAAAGTACAACACCAGGTGCTATTCTTCAAGCTTCAAAGACTCCGAAACAAATGTCCAAGTCATAGGAATAAAACACCTTACAAACAAAGAGCAAATACTATCACTTTGTAATCGATTTATTGTTATATTTTGCATGTTTATGTGTCATATACTTCAGAGTTTCTAACAGTGCCAAAGATGGAGATGCCACATATGGTCAAACTGAAATATTCAATTGTTGGCATGTTTTTTGTGCAACCAATTTCAATTCGATTTGATTGTATTTAATCCATTCCAATCCAAAATGGTTGAATCCTAAACAATTAAATCGGGTTTATCCATCCATCCATTTTCTACTGCTTATCCCATTGAGGGGTTGCAGGGGCTGGAGCCTATCCCAGCATCTTGGGGCAAAGGCAGGGGACACACTGGACAAGTCACCAGTTTCTCGCAGTTTCTTGCTGTGAGGCAACAGTGCTAATGACTACACAACTGTGCCCCCCTTAATGGGTTTTCACTGAAATTGAATAGACTGAATTTAGTTCGTTTTTATGGCATATTTCATTCAAATTCATAGACTTTATTTCTTGGGATATAAACAAACAGACTAAAGAAATGATCTGTTAAGAAACAATAAAAAAATGGCTGAGATAAATCTATCAAACAAACACACTCATGAAAGACACAAAACACAACAAAGTTCAGGTCTTATGGTCCCTTACCTATTCCTACAAGGCCACACAAACAAAGCCTGTCTAACAGGTGAAAAGTGATATTTTAAGACCACTTTCAAAAAATCTATGAAAAGAGCGCTGACCCCAGGCCAGTGGGCAGCTTCGTCCACAAAACCACAATGGCACCAAAGTGACTAGATGTACCTCTTCCTGTTTTATTTTGACTCAAGTTTCAGGCTTATAACTGACGATCTCAGGGTTCTCACTGCGTTATAGGCAGAGTGCAGACCAAACAGATATTGGGTTGCTATCCTACTAGGAGCTCTGTAAACTAGAAGTAATGTTTGAAATAAATAAAGTGCAGGTCTGGAAACCAAAGGTAATGTTTAACTTCTGGTGTAATGTCTTCTGTTCTTCTGGTCCCTGTCAACACTCTGGCAGCAGTATTTTGGATAAGCTAAAGTATACTTACTGACTTTTCCTGAAGTCTAGGCACAGATGATGTTACAGTAGTCTAATTTGCTGGAGACAAATCCATGAACCAGTTCCTCTGAGTTGGAATTATTATTATTGTTATTATTATTATTATTATTATTATTATTATTATTATTATTATTATTATTTTGGGGGGGTGAATTTTGCCTCTTTTATTGATAGTTCAGGCTGAAATTTGGGGAGATAGAGAAAGAGGGGGGAGGACATGCAGCTATGGTCGGAGGCCAGACTGGAGCCCCCAACTGCTGCAAGGACCCTGGTCATGATACAGACTGGTCCATCTGCGTGCCCCCTGAGTTAGACTATTGTGTTTTTTATTAAGAATATTATGTTTGATCATATCAAAAGCAAAAATCAACCAAAGTCAGAGTCAGTTTGAGGTCACATAGGCTCTTACATCCAAATCTGGCCTATGGTTCCTGCATTTTTGAGCCAAACCTGATGATTCGTCTATAATGAACAAATGTTTATATCCTAACAGGCTAGGATAAGATGGCTAGTGTCAGCATGTAGGCATGCTCTGTGACCACGACTCTGACTACTACCATCAGTTTCAGCAAGCTTTAAATCCAATAAATGAATAAAACTGAAGGGATTGTTTTTGTTTGTTTGTTTGTTTTTTAAACCTGGTGTTATTTGTAGTTGTCATGATGCAACCATATGACTCTGACTGACAGAAGGCAGGTTTGGATTTGTATCAGTGCTTAAGTTCATCACCTCTGACTTCATTGTGAACTCCAGCCAAGCCAAACAGTTACTCCAGCACTTTAGTCAATCACTCTGCTTGCTCTCATTGGCTCCAGACTCTCTGAAATACTTTGAATCAATGAGAAATCACCTGGTGTAAACATTTCATCCCAATGGGTTTTACTCTCGAGCTGAAATCAGTAATGTGCAATAAGGAGCACATGCTCGTGCAATCTTCCAGATGGCTTCCTGTGATTTTAGGTCAGCTGTTTTAGCATGTGATAAGATGCTTTAACTTTGGACTTGGCTGCATTTGAAGAGGTCTGAAAGGGTGTACCCTCTGAGTTTTTTTTCTCTAAGTTCAACAACAGAAAGAGGAGAACTGAAAATGGCTGGGGAAGTGACATTTCCTGTCATGTTTGCTACAGTGTGACTCCTATGACAGTGACACAATGGTTTTTTTTCTTACAGAGGAGTTGCAGCCTTGACTCATCACCACATCATTTAGACTGTGGCTTTGGGCTTTTGTGGTTACGATTACAGTAATGTCTGCCTCTTTGGGCTGAAATATACACCTTCTTACACAGAAATGCAGGGGAATATTCAGAAAACAGTTCGGGTCTCTTTTTCTCCTTTCAAAATAACTTTGTTTTATACTATTAGTGTTCGGCTGTTTTTGTTTTTGTATACATGCCACAAGTTAGGGCTTCAAAATTACTGCTTTGACTGGATAAGCACATTCTCTCATTAAAACCCTTTACTCTCCTGCCATCCACTGTTGGCCTGCTTCCACTCCCTCCTTGTAATGGAAAAAAAGTTTGGCCAAATTGCGTAATAAACGTATCTCATAAGACCTGTGGTGTGTGTGCCACTCATCATGTAGTAAGACACTACGTGCGCTCTTTACGCATAATCACTCGCAGCGGAGCTGAACCTTCTAGTGGGAGTGAGAAAATTCAACCCATATAGAGGGTGGGGTGTGGTGGGCCGATCCGCGCGGAAGAAGTGGGTGGGTGTGTGTAAGCTTAAAGTAGCGTGCAGAAAGCTACATACCAGAACAGGCGTATAAATATTTCTGATCCAAGAGCGCAGCGAGCGAGAAGAGAAAACTTCCCAAAAGTTTCACGCTAAGGAGAAAGTTGCTCAGGGCGAAGCGGAGGATTCATCGCTGATCCAGAGGAGAAGCCACGAAGATAAAGTAAGATTCTCAGTCACTTCTCCAAGTTATGATTTCATGTGAAGGAGAGGATAAGTGAACTTGAAGCGGTACGCGCATGACATAACGGTTTCTGCAAATAAGGGGAGGTCTCTCAGAAAATTCATCAAAGCTCTATATGGTTATCGATCAGCGATCCTCTGGTCAAACAGATAAAGAAGTAAGAGAGTTTTGGTTTTTAAGTTTGAAGACTTAAGCGGGGGGAAGTTTCACTGACCTGGCCAGAGCGTCAGAGCATTTATTGATCAGCAAATAGAGAATGCGCAAAACAACAAATGAGTGATTTAAACACCAAGGATCAAGGGTATAAATGCTCAAAATTTTTGGGAAAAAATCCGTCTCGCAATACAAATTAGCAAAAAAAAAAAAAGTTTAACTTAATAATAATTTGGAACATCATCCTGCCTCTATTTAATGGTCTTGTAGAACTTGTGCCTACCACACGGACTTTATTAATTCTCCTGATTGGTGTCTTCTGATAGAAAGGGAGGCCTTCCTCCTCTCAAAACAGAAATCTGTTTTTCAGTGTGTTTTGTTTCCTTGCATTTTCCACCTTTGTTAGAAAAAAAATGAACTGGTTTATTTTCATGCTCCCAGCTGTGTTGGTTGAGGTCCAGTCAGCTGCAGCTTATTTATTTTTGCATGTGATGGCATTCATGGCTTTGTTTGTGCTTTAACGACTAATTTCTTTTCTTTTTTTTTCTCATTTTACCAGTTTATTGTTTCTCTTACTACAATCAGGGCACAAACAGGTCCTGCATTGTTGTTTGGGTACACTGTCTTGAACTTGCTTATCTCAGAGGCCAGTGGGCATACCAGCCGAGAGGACATGCCAACACAAACTGAGGGAGGAGAAGTGCAGAGAGGGCAAGGCGTGATGGAAGATGTGATACATGTGAAAGTGATAGGAAGGAGGGAGGGAAGAGAGAAGGAAGGGATGAAGGAGAAGCTCCTGTTTTCAAGCTCGAGTGATGGCTGTATTAAAAATCCATTTAAGTTTATGCATCAAAGTGTGGGGGGAGAGTGAGGCTGCCAGAAATTAATCTTGGGGAATGGCTTTTCAAGGTTTTATTTGAGGTTGAGTGGATGAGTCTAATTGGGCAATTTTGGGACACTAAAGGTGCAAAAGAGAGATACCATGTTTTTTAAAGGCTGTAAGTGGGAAAATACAAAGAAATACAGTCCTGAGAGCTTTTCTTTGGCTGTGATTTTGGAAGAGGCTCCATGTGCGCAGTATGCTCCATGTTTGGCCACCCCAAACATCATGTTACCCATGTGTGTGTTAGAAGAGAGTATAGTTACCTTCATTTTCCTGGATGAGTCTGAGTCATCCTAACAAGCCCTTATTATTTCAATTCACTTGCAACCCTTGACTGAAAATAGAGCTGGAGATAAGGCTGGAGATGAAGGGTATGAAAGGATATGACCTGAGCTTTGGGTGGAGATCATGTCATGACATGAACAGCTGCTCCATCTATTGTTCACACTACAATGATTATTAATTTTTTGCTAAATATTTGGATGATTTGGAAACAATTGAAGGGAGGGGGATGTTATCTGACCAGGAGATGAACTCTGGAGGACAAAGAGTTGCAAAATCAAAAGTGTACTGAATGTCTGACTCATTCATTACACTTACTCTTGTTTATATTTACACATATGGATTTTCAGTGTCTGATACTATGAGGCGCCCCTCCCTGCCACCTCTCCCTCAGCTGCTGTGCCCTTTGACCTGTACTGCATAACTTCACTATCACTGCCTTTCTTCTAAAACCAGAGACTCAGGCTGATTGAGACACATGGTCTGTGCAGTTATTTAAGAATGGAATCAATAGAAAGTTAAAAACAGCTCTTCATACAGCACTCTTACAACTGTGAGTAGGTTCAATGATTCCCTTTTGTTAACACTTTGATGACCAGTTCAGCCTCAGACTTAGCTTTATTTAACAAAGCTGAACTCAAGGGTTAAAGAAGGACACATAAAGTTACACACTGAGTAATGGTCCAGTAATGTGATGCAGGCGTGTACTGTTTGGCCGTATTCTAATAGTGATTTAGCAATCCCAGCTCCACCACTTGACTAAGAAAGGGAGTTGTTTTCCTGCATCTACTTTTTCTGTGAACCTTATCTTGGCTGTGATTTTGTCATTTCTAGGTGAAGTCATGCCGTCATCAGTTTTCTGGTATTTCATGTTGAGAGGACAGGACATTGCAACACTGATTTAAGCCTTTATGTGACACAAAAGAAGGTAATAGACTCGGCACATTAGTGAATCGAAGTCATTGTGTAAAACTGTTTCATTAAGGTTGAGGTTGTGGGATAAATAGTGACAGTGGTTTAAAAGGAGGTTAGTTTGAATAGAGTCCTGGATGTGTGGGTGCAGCTCTGGCTCTGAGATGATGGTGTCATTGGTCAAGATACTGGACCTCAAATCGCAGTCTGTGGTAGAGCTTGTGGCGTTTGTATGGATTAGTTAAAAGTGATGAGAACTTCATAAAGCAAATTCTGCAACCAGTGTGTGAGTGTGGTGTGAATGTGATTAGAGATAGACGGACTAATTGGTCTGACTGATGATGTTTTGACGTTAAATTGGCCTTGGCCCTCACAAGGCCGTTATCGCTATTACCTTTTCTCAAGAAATCATTACTTATCCCATCACCAAAGACAGCATATCAAATCTAAACGTGACTTTCTTTTTTAATTTTTTTCATTTTAACCTAAATCTTTACTTGAATTTTTTAGTTCTCAATAATAATTCCCCAAACCCCTTTTTTAATGGTACGTCTGGCTTTTTCTGTCCACATTTATCTGTAACGAGAAATTACTCAAGTGTTGGTTTCAATAAATTGTTTTTGGTCAAATGCAAACAACAACAACAACAACAACAACAATGTGATACCAGCATTATATATCAGCCATCTCTCTGCTCGCACATTGTTGGTATCCTTATCGTCCGTTGAAAAACTGATCCCGTGAACTACTAAATAATGTCAGGTGAAAGCTTTTTAAGCAGGCAAAAGTAATTTTTAAAGTACAGTCTATTTAAGGTGTAAAGAAAAAACTACACTGAAAAACTAAATCCACAAATCCATCTGTTTGTATATTATCTATACTGTGTGTTCCATTTAGGGTCGCAGAGGCCTATCGCAATGGTCATAGAGTGAAAAACAGGGTATACACAGGGTATATACAGGTTGTCAGTCTATCGTGTAGAGACAAACAAACAGTCATTCACAAACCCACATTGAAAATTTTCACTGTTAGGCAAAAGTGTCGACTACTTCACCGTGCCAACCCTTGAAGTACAACAAGAAACCGAATAAATATAGATGACAGGTTAAGGTAAGGCCAGAAAGCACATGGCGATAGCACTGATTTGAACTTGACACTCACATAAAAAAGCAGCAGAGCTCAAATACCTTCATACATACTGCAGAAAACATGCATTTTGATTAGCAGATATAAACAGCATTTTCAGTCTTGATATCTGGAGGGCGAGGCCAACCAAAACTGGTTCAGCGGCCAATGCAGATGTTCGTAATTAGCAGCTTGGCCAGTGTTTGATATTTCAAGCTGACATCAGATTTAATGTGTGTTTTTTGCATTTGATAAAAACAACAACAATTTCTTAGTGATAGCAAATGAAAAATACATCCCCTGATTTTGAATGAACGTTTTATGATTATTGGCTCAGTATATTGGCTCAAATATCAGCACAAAAGACTTTCTGGATTTCTGTCCAGCCATCTGTAAAAGCTGTTATTACAATAATTTGCCTTGTGAGTGCAGACATCAGCTGGTGGTGATTATTGCACAACACTATTAATCAGCCTATTAACCTCTACTTCTATGAAAGAGATCTGATGAGTAACTTTCTGCACAATTACACTTCTCTTGTTTGGGTATTGTTCTGAAAGGTTATCACCAGAAAGTTTCTAATGTTTTGTACTCTCCCTTACTCTACGCCATCTTCTCCCACAAAAGCCTCTGTCTTCAGTAGGTCCATTAACAATCTGGCATCAGTGATAGACAGATATGACTTCAGTTAGGTCACTTTGTGAGTAGGATTACAATTCTGCATTTTCTGCATCTGTTGTTTAATGAAGTAATAGTCATCTGGATTTGTTGACATGCAATGTAAGAATACTCCCTCTTTGTTGAGATGTGTCCAAAGAACATTGGACTTTTAAGGAAAATAGTACTTTGTCTGAAACAAACAGATGTAAGAAGCCATTAAGTACAGATACTTTTACAGAAGTTTTGTTCAAAAAATGTTCATTTATTTTAAATTTAAGGTGGGGTCTATGAGCCTTCACTCTCTATTGTTGTAGCGTTGAAAGACAGACAAAGGCAATTTCTAAACGATGGGCTTGAAGAAGAGTGTTTTCTATTACATTAACCACCACATAAACTCAGCATCCTCTTAACAACCCTGTGATTCCCCTGACTCTGTGAATTACAACTGCTCATTAGAGTTTATGCACCATTTACAAGAGCTAACATAACTCTGAGGCTGCTTTAATGTTGGTGATATAGATTTATCTTTTGTAGCGAGGGCTGCTAAAAACATCAGACATGCAGGACCAGGGATTTAAAAAGAGCATATGGGGAGAACATGAGGGAAACAGGATCAAAGAGAAATGCCTCTTATTCTTGTAAAGAATTCACTTTCTTAATGTTGACATTTGGCGTTTGACTTTTGACCCCAGGTTTTAAATCTGAGGATGTGCAGGATGAACAGGATTATCTTTGCTGTGACAAATGATCTAATTTCACTGTGATTACTGGTGCAATGTGTGAGGGTGGGGATGTGACAGTGAGATAAATCATAGGATTTACTGTACTGGACACCTACACACAGTAGTATATGTGCACGGAGAGTTATATACACACAAACTACATCATTCCAACAGCTGGGGTGAGGCAGATGGAGTCCAGCTGCTTGTAGGAGGTATGTGAGATTGCACAAGAAGCAAAGTCGACAAGGACAGAGGTCTAAACACCCCAGTATGCTTTGGGAAATCCTCCAGACCAAAGAGGGTGCATTTCTGGAACGTGGTAATGGTGGGAAAAAGTTAAAGAAAAAAGTACTTTGGCTGTTTTTGTTTTAAGATGAAAGGGAGGGAGAAATGAGGCTGGATGAATGTTTTGTTAATCAAATTGTTGTGAATTCAGTCTTGTTGGGATGAAATGTACTGTGACCTCTACAGCATGCATGCTATTTCAAGTTCCCAAATTTCCATCTTTTCTTTCTGCTACATTTGCACACACACTTAGATCTTTTTCCCACATTTGAGCTTTTGCTGCAGGTTTGCTTTTATTTTCCTTTTTCCGAGCTCTTTTTCATGTTTTTCTTGTTTTGTTCATGGAAACAACAACAACAATGGTTATATCTATTTCCTGAGACAGAGTACCTATTCTTCTGAATAGACCACCATGCATTTATTCAAGACCATAATGGGGACTGTTTATTTTGGAGAGAGCAGAGCCAGCAAAAGTTGTGTTGTTAAAAGTAAGGTGTTATTCAGAGGAAAAGAGATGGAAACATGGCCAAAAAGTACCAAACTGTTATAACTGATAATTGCCACGAACCAAAAGGTCACAACTTTCACTAGTGATTGTGGAGGTTACAGATTGGTCACAAGGATTTCCCCAAACTGTTTTCATGTCACATGTTCAGTGTGGTTTACTTTGTTCCTTAAAGCACAAGAATTAAAAAAAGTAAATTCAATTTGAGGAAAGCGGCTGGGACCTCCTGCAATCAGATCACACTTGTCAAACCTATCAATGGAAAGGAGCTGCAGCACATCCAGTGTTTGTGTTTCATCTCTTCCTGTTGACAAAAAAGTTACTCTCCAATGGCAGACAATATGGAGGGGAATTTTAATGGTACTCTTAATTTAGTTGGAGAGCCCATAACTTTAGATAACTAGTTATTTACTGACGAGTGAATAAAGAAGTGGGAAAACTAAAGCTGGAAGAAGTGAGAGGTGTCAAAACACGGAGCGGGGCGAAAATGACATCAGTCAAATTGAAGAAAACAGACATAAAGCAACCTCAAACCATGATACAGTAAGAGCTTTGGTAGTTTCAAAGGACTGGTTGAAGGAGAAGAAAATACCAATTGAAAAAAAAATAACAGGGAAGGGGGCCCTGTAGAGGTGCTACTGTTTATTTCTGCATCTGATCAAAACACCAACAGAAAAACTAAAATGTTTTGACTTCACTGTGAGTGGAAATGTCCACAGTAATAAAGCTGATAGGAATACTGTTGTCATGGGGACTACCTTTTTGGGTATATTGATGAATCATTTCTAAATCAATAAAATCATCTCCGAATGATACTTAGAGTCAACTTGTTTGTGTGTATTTTTAGAAGGGCAACTAATTCCACACTTGTGAACTGACCCTTCAAACGGTATGGCTATTTTTAAACATGGATCTCCATCTTAACAAGAAAGTACATAAACTTGACAGCAGTCCTTCTCTTTTACTGTGGGACACTTTATGAGTAGGGAACTCAATAAAAAGTAGTTTGAAATGTAAGTCACATTAGACACCAAAAGTCAGTATATTTCATCAGTGCATGATTTCTCAAAGTTTCTGGTTTCCTTTTAGACCTTTCAGTTTATTATCTTTTAAAGCTTCTGCAAAGACTTTTTTGACAGTTTTATTAATAAGGATTTTTATATTGTAAATTTTAATGCCTGAAAGTGGTGTGAGGCGGTAGACGTCAGCAGAGCAGCAGCTGAAAAAACTACTTTTTTTTTTTCTTTTGCATTTTAAACTCAAAATAGTCCCAATAGAAGATACATTTGAATGTCAAAAGTCAGCAGGATGAGATTTTCTGTCCAAAGTCACCACTTAAACATGTAGAGATAAGCAAAGATTGTTTTGTCCTCAAGGGGTGCCAAGGTTAAAAAAAAAAAAAAAAAAAAAAACAGCAATATTTACCTTAATATTCCTCACAGAAACTTTTATGTAATCAATTACAGTTTACAGTTGAATACTGAAATTAAATTGCAATTTTCCCCTTTTTCCCCAGAATGCCAGGTGAACGGCTGACAGTACGAAGTGGAGCAGATGTTGGGCGTTTCCCCGGAGCTGCCCCACCCACCAGGGTGGAGCTGAGCATTCAGAAGGATGGGGAAAAGGACCAGAACGAGGGGGGCTGTCGCAGCTGGTTCAGGAAGATTTGTCCTTGCTGCTGTAAGCGCCAGAACAGCACCTCCTATGATGTCACTGACAAGGTGGAACTGGTCAAAGTCCCGACCCCGACCCCGACCCCCACCCCAGCTGCAGTGATTGGCCCAGAGCCCACCAAACCAAAGGCCGAGAATGGGGAAGCAAAAGAGATGGAAGGTAATGTTACTGAGAGCTGAAGTTGTTTAAAGTTAAACCAGATCCAAAACATCAAATTTTACATTCATATTTTACCCCAGAAATGAAGCTGCTGGTGAACTCTGTGGACCTGCTGAGCTCCAAGAAAGGTCAAAACAGAGTGGAACACCACACCGACATGTTCCATGGGGAGAACCTGATCATTCGTAGAGGACAGACCTTCCAGATTGAGCTGGAGCTCAATAGACCCTTCAATTCTGACACTCATAAGCTGCATCTGGACCTGAGAACAGGTAGGAGATGAATGAACTTTATCTGCATGCCTTCTACAAAAGTTCTATCTTTTGTAGCATCAAACCATAGACTGTATATAGAATAGATGTCATTTGCCTCCTCGCTGGGTGAAGCCACTGTGAGAACAGCACCCTCTGGTGACTAGTTGCAGTGAAGGTCATAAACCCCGCCTCCTCCAGCGAACTGGATGGTGCTGTGGACAAACTTTAAAGATTAAATACAAGTCAGATAAATTTTTCTTCCCCCTGGTTGGGATGTTGAATGTATTTTTCGCTAGACTGCTTTGTGCTCAAGTCCTTTTTTCTCTGCAGCTTCATTTTAAAAGTTATTAGGGGTTTATTTCGATTGTTTTCTCAACATTCTCTTAATGAACTTTATAGCACAGATTGGGGTTTCAAGAAATGGAGAAAATTTAGTTTTTGATTTCAAGTATGTTAAGATCTGACATCTCATACTGAAACAAAGACAAAAACAGTTCCTCAATTTTGAATTTTTGCAGCAACATGACATAAAATGACGTAAAAGGATTGGGATGGGTAGCTTAAAATAAATGGATGATTATACTGTAGTTTAAATGGTGAGCTCAAAGGCGTCACCTCTTCATAGTTTCAGGTAGCTGAAAAATTGGACACAAATCAAGCTGCGTGGTAATGATTAAATGTTGATCCAACAGGGTTGTGAAGCACACCATGCAAACAAATACACAAATACACCATGCATGTGCACACTTAAAGGTAGTAATTCAATACAACAACATACTTAAATGTGCTGGATAAACCATCCAACCAACATTTGCTACAACCCTGTGAGAAATACAGAGCCAAGAGCAACAGATTCAAAACAAAGCATGAGAAATGTGGTCAGGATGCCACGCATAGCTCACACATTTAAATAGAGCAGCAGCTCAAAACCAGAACCACACCACAAGGTTTGGATTCCACCCAATACCCCACAGTGTTAACAGTTTCCAGACTGCAGGACACCGGACACCTCGCCCTGGTATTTACAGGCCTCATACAGCACTGATCCACTATGCACTTGAGAATAAATCACCATGACATCACTGTGGATAGTGATTTGCTATTACCTGCTACTTGTATTTAAATTGTAAGGAAGACTAAGAAAAGTATGGACAGACTGTCATTATCACGCTCTCACTGACTCGTTGGCTTTGAAGAGGTTTAAAGTGTGGCACTTTGGGTCATTGTCACTTCCTAAGCTGTTATTTTTGGTCAACTAGGAAGTCAATTTGAGGAGAGTTTTTTTTTTTTTCCCAGCAGAAAAGAGAGCATTTTTTTCATTGATTTCCTTTTACACAGGCAGAGATGAGAGAGGAAGTCCTGGCTGTGGTCAGATGGAGAACAATGGTTTCTTGATGAACTCTATGTACGCTTCGGCAAAAGGCAGCTACAGCCCAGCAGGGTGTCACAAAGCAAATAGCTGAGAGGAAAGCAACCAATAAGTCTTAAACCAACCAATGGGCTACAATTTAAGTTTTTTACAAACTCGTCTTAGCTTTTCATATTTTGTTAGCCTTTAGCAAAACACCACGTCATTTCGAAAGGCAAACTTGTAGGATAAAACTCTCACGAATGGGTGTTTCTACAGAGATGTGTGTGTGTGTGTGTGTGTGTGTGTGTGTGTGTGTGTGTGTGTGTGTGTGTGTGTGTGTGTGTGTGTGTGTGTGAGACTTGGGAGGTTTCACAGCTCAGAAATGTTGTTTGCTCAGACAGACTATGCACAGCCAGATAAAGGGCTGTGATGCATGTGGCTTCCTTGTTTGATATGGGTGTGTGGGAACAGACTTACAATTACAGTGATTAAAAAAAGTTGTTTTTGCTGTTTCTAAGTAGATGTTGATGTGAATCCCACTGCTGTGATTTCTTTGTTTAATCCAGTTTTCGACGTTATCTTAAAATAAGTATGAGGACAGCATCTAAATGCACTTTGAGTCGGTACATGACATGACTTTTAAAAAATTACACATTAAAAAATGTGATCCAAAGATGCTAAATTGAAGTTCCATGTATGTATACATTCATATGCACTCTCGTAAAACATATGCTTGTGGTTGCAGTGTTCTGTAAAAGGGTTAAATTTTTTGTATTTTGTACATTATTTTGTTTCCAGTGAATTTATTTTCTATCATTTCTCAATAATATCTGCCAAGTTTTTATCAACTAGATACATAGATATCTATAGTTGAATAGGTTACAATAACTTCCTTTTAATTCGAATGAAGGCTTATGGGAAAAGTTTCCTTACCAAGATGTAAAGTTGAGGATCTGACTGTTTTGACCATAGACTGTATATACTGTGGACAATTTGGCTCCGCCTTTCGTTATTACAGGAATTTGAAGCAGAATTGCTCTCGGTGTTTGCAGGATTTTTCCACTTCCTGGAACCACCACTTACGCAGTTGCATTGTACGCATTCGGGCTGAGAGTCACTGTGATGACACTCGGCTCAAACAGTGTATCCCCCGGATGAGCTACACAATCTTTGTACGCCCAAAGGCAGTATCAATTGTCAATCATAGAAAACATGAACCCCCTAATAACTTTTAAAAATAGAGCTGAAAAGAAAAAAAGAGGACTTGAGCACAAACCAGTCTTACAGTAACTGCGTGTCAACATTGCAACTTGGGGGGAGAAAAATGTATATTCTGTGTAATTAATTTCTAAAATTTGTCCACAACTCCATAAGGAGGGGGTGGGATTTAAGACCTATACTGCAGCTCATCACCAGAGGGTGCTGTTCTCGTGGTGGCTTCACCCAGCGAGGAGGTAGATGGTGTCCATTCTATATACAGTCTATGGTTTTGACTCACTGGATTGTATATCCACATTGACGCCATATTTCAAGGAACATTCTGGAAACATGCACAAACCTATGTATGTAGCCCACTAGCTATTGCTTCATGACCATCAAAAGCAGATTAGAGCTCCTGTGAGTAACTTCAAGTCTACATCAATTTTGGCGCTCCATTTTGACTAAGCAGTCTTTGAAGTCTCAGCAAAATTAATTTCAGTCCATTTCCTAAATATTTAAAAACTATTCACAGAAGCTTAAATAAAAAAGAAAGTACACCAAAACAGAAAACAAAGCCACTGTAGTTCACATGATTTATGCTAAGCTAGGCAAAAGTCTGAAGACTGGATTTTGCCATTTACCAGACAAGTATGAGCAGTTACAATATTGTTTTTAAGTTTATTTGGGGGATTTGATGCCTTTATTGAAAGGAAAGGAAAGTGGAGCAGAAAACTGGGAAGAGAGAATGTGCAATGTCATGCAGCAAAGGGCCACAGGTTGCCAGGCTGCCCACTTGGAGGACTGTAGCCTCGACATATTGGCTGCACAATTTAACTGCCGGGCCAAACTGGCTCCAGCAACCCCCTTTTTCTAAACTCCCCACAAGTGAATAAGCATGCGGAAAGAAGATGCCAAAATTTTACCTTTTGTTGGGTAGAATTTTGAATGTTGATCTCAAGAGCCTGAAGTACAATAGCAGCTAAACATATGGCAGGCACAATGCTACATCTGGTTTTGGTTCTTGCCATTTCTGTTGCATTGTCTGTGTTGTGTCTTCTTTGTTGGTTCAATTTGGTACAACATGATTCACATGTTCCCTGTCTTGTTTAGGTCCCCTGCCCATGGTGTCCAAAGGCACCCATGTCATCATTCCCCTGGTGGATCACCTGGAGGATGAACGCTGGGAGGCCAAGATTGTTGAACATAACGGCAACAAGATCAAGCTGTCCGTCAACTCACCGGCCACTTCTGTGATTGGCTTGTATGGGCTCACTGTGACAACCAGCTCTACGAAGGGTGATGCAGCAGCTACTTATAACTCCAGCAAGAACATCGTCATTCTCTTCAACCCTTGGTGTGAAGGTAAGATTGACAGTGGGTGCGAGCAGGGCCGAGGGTTTACAAGATTGAGGGCAGGAATGTGGAGGAGAGGAAGGAAAGAAGACGAGCCAAATGTGATAAGAGGAGGAAAATGAAGGAAGAGGAGACAGCTTCACATAACATCTAAAGAATTAATAACAACCTATCTGTATAACTCTCAAGTTTTGAGTGGACTGTCTTTCAAAAGTTCAGATTTTACTTGAGGCAAAACTGTCTGTTGAAGCCTAATTGGGACAGAAAATGGGACATGGCAGCTTATGAACAGCATCATTTTTCTGTCAGTGGATGTGGGAACAAAGTAGCTCCACATCCGTATTGTGGTTGAACCTCAGAGAGGAATCGTGGTATAAGGTTACACGAGAGTGAAAGAGGCCAAGTCCATCTGTAAGCATGTTGCTGTCCGTCAAAGTGCTTCAGCATGACCCTGTGTGTAACTGCGGTGTTATGTAACTCCACTGGCTGAGATTCAAAACTTCTGGCACTCTTCGTTATCCCATTTATGCACTACTGTGCCATCTGTGGTCCAAACAGATTGTGCACAAGATGTAATACATCTTCTGTGACATAAGCCCGAAAAAATGTTTGGACATATGGGTGGGATTTTTCACATTTGTTCAGCATAAATCAAACATTGAAAACTTTTTTTCTCGAAGTGTTCAGACATGAAACAGATGTGTATTTTTTTTTTTTTTTTTTTTGATCACTTATATTTTTGGCCACTTGTGGGGAACCTAAAACAGCCTGACATAATACCACCTTTTAAGATTGTAAAGCCTACTGTTCTTGCCCTGATAGACTATTTAGAAAGACTTCAGCTGTAGGCTGCCTAAAACTTATAATCAGACATATTAGATGTGTTAATCCATGCATTACACAAACTGATTCTTGTCTAGAGCAGAGCCAAGGTTAAAAATAGTTTCTTGAGTTTTGATGTATTTTGTTTTATTTTGACTTTTGATTTTAGTTAAAGCTCATGTGAGGAAATGCCAATTTATGCCAAGTTTGGCACCCCCTATAAACAGTCTTTGCTTATTTTTTCTTCTTTGTGCATAAGCAAAGGTTTTTGACCAGAAATCTCTCTTCTAACTCCTGACAGTCAAACCCCCCCTTTTTTTTTTTTTGTAAATGACACATATGGGAAATGTAAAATACAGGGCAGTTTCTCACACTGCTCTGCTGACACCTGTCTTCTCACATCAGTTTCTGTCATTGAAAGTGAAAGAAAGAATCGCTAGCTGTGTCACTGATGATCTTGTTTGCTTCAAGATACCATGTCAAGGCATCAGTATGGATTTTTAGCTTATTTCAGAGAAACTCCTTAAAGGAGCTTTGATTTGAGCTTTTTTTGTACACGACTCCTGTCATGAGGCCAAAAAGGGCCAGAAAGATTTTTTGTAAAACAAGCCTAAAGACCTTCATCCCATTAGTGGGTGGGGCTTAGCTGGGGACAAAGTAAAAAAAACTGTTAGCTAGCAAGTGGTTTTTGTTATCATGTTAGCTTTTGGTGCAAAATTTAAGACTTATCCATTTAGTCTTTCTGAAACACTTACATGCACCAATGCCGTGATTTTCTTTCCAAAATGTCTGCATCCAAAGAGCAGGTATGTCCCATTTTTAAAATATTTTTATACTTATTACACAACCAATAAAACATCAGGAAATGAAGTCCATTGTTTATTCCACGTACTGTAGTTTCTTCTTTTTGCTGAGCACTGCAAACAATCCACACAGGATATTTCAGCAAAAGTAGTTTATTTGCAACACAACTATATATATATATATATATATATATATATATATATATATATATATATTATAAAACAGCAGGTCTGGAATTGATAAAGAGAAATTCTGTCTTTCATTAAGGCATTGCTGCTTTTGGCAGCCAGCCCACGCTCCTCTTCCCTTCTTCAATCTCCTTTTCCTGGGACCAATCTCTGCCTCATGCTCATAAAAGTAAAAATCCCACAATTACTGTATAAAAACGCCACAGGCCAAGCTCACAGTAATCCTGCAGCTGGTGACAACCTGTCCTCTCCCTCGCTTTTACTGCATCCATGTGTATTTCCTGACTTTATACACCCCTCCCATCTAACCCTGTGCCTTTTTTTTGCCGTCTTTTGACCTGATCCTCTCTCATAGCCCGGTCACTCTGTGTTTTTCTTGACTCCCCCTCTCCCTCCTGCTCCCCCTTCTTGTTGTGTCCTTGTGTTTGTGTGTGACTGCCTCACCCTATATTGCAAAAATCTTCACTAAGTAGTGAAAACCACAATTATCACAGATGCCAGATGCTATCAGCCTCACTTCCTTCTATGTTTTGCTCCACAACCTAAAGACACCCTCATTATTCTTCACTCTCCCTCCACCCATTGCCTCCCAAGCACAACTTCCCCTCTTCCTCTCAGCCATCCCTCGTGATTTTGTTAGACCCCCTCCTTTCACCGCCTTCCCCTCATGGCCATCTTAAATACTCTAATACTCATATTGCTTTACCTTTCCTTTCCTTTCCTTGTGTCTTTTCTTCACTCTCTGGTTATTGCAGTTGCAACATCGGGAGATCAAGGAGATTTTAAAACAGAGAGAGATTTGTGAAGCTTATGTCAGTGGATCACACCCAAGTCTACAGAGCTGATGTCACTCAAAACAGACTGTTTCCTATAATGAGTCTGGGCCCCTCTGCAAGGTCCATGGACTCATTGTGTTTCTTAACTGTTTCCTGGCCTTTGGGACTCTTTCACGTAATTTGTGAAAAGAGGGCACATTCTTAAGCGCCATAGTCACAGAAGAGCTGAATAAAGCATGGAGCCGGGGTTTGTCTCAGAGACATGAAAGAAGCCAAAACCTTGACCAGAGTCTAAGTAATTAAAGTACAACCTACTGTTCTGCAAAAGAAGGATTCAAAGTCACAGTTAGTTTAATACTGGTCCAATAGTCTGGTCCAAAGTAATAAAAAGTGATGGGTGCACAATGTAAGGAGACTCTGTAACTCTTCTCTCAATATAACACTACCAAAAACAAGTTATAGCATGTGGACACTGTATAATATTGCTTTGTCTTTCCAGAGGACACAGTGTTCATGGATAATGATGAAGAGAGGAAGGAGTATGTCCTGAATGACATCGGGAGGCTTTACTACGGCACAGAGAAACAAATAGGTGCTCGCACATGGAACTACGGGCAGGTATGAACCATCAAGACAAGATCTGTAATGAAAACAGGGTTTGCTCACTCACATTGTTGTCTGTGGGACTCCAGCTGTTTGTTCAAAACCTTGAAAATGTGTCTTGTTATGGAAAAATGTGTCTATTTTCAAAAAGGGGTGGGCAATGTTATGTATATAAAAATGTTAATGTATAATGAACAGGTGATTATGGGAATTACAGTCCCGACAGGGGGAGTAGAATGATAGGGATTCAACTTTACATAATCACCTGCTTACTGTACATTTCTATTCTGCTAACACCCAACTCTAACTGAAGCTTTGGACAAGCTGACACCAAATATTAATTTAAAGATGATTTTAATTATTTAAAAATAACTGACATGGATAGTTTGATAGATAGTCCCTCATAGGACTCATTTATGCCCTGTACCAAAGCTTGTGAGGCAGTGTCTGATAGTGCAGCCAGTCATTCAAACCATAGACTGTGTAAACCCTACGTCATAACTAAATTATCAGTCTACATGTTGAGCCGTATTCAATAATCACACAGACCACCTCTATCTTGAACGCTGCCTCCGATTCGACCTCTTTCAACAGATACATTATTTGTATCGCCTCCATTATTGCCATGTTTGTTCTCATAAACCCCTGTGTCTTTTGGGATAAATTTTGACTCAGACTCCAACGTGAAGGATGCATCAAAAGAAGACGAGAGGAGTTAATTATGTTGTCTAAAATATAACTAATTAGTATGTAAGAGAACTATATTGCCTTGTGTCCATGTACACATGAAGGACAGTCAACCAGAACTCTAATCATTCTTGGGAATCTGTTTGATATTTGGCATTCAATAGTCCTGGGAACTGGGTTTTAGAGAAACTGTAGGACAAAATGCAAACAGCCAAGCAAACAGGCCACTAGCAGGCTAATGTGTTCTTCCTTCATTTCAGTTGTTCACTTGATTGTCCAGTGAGATCATATTTTGTAAATATAAAAGTGGAAAACACCTCTTTACCACTTATGGAGGCTATTTTTTTCATCTCAGTTGTTTTTATGTTGATTGTTGAATGAGTTCATTTGATTAAAGAAAAAAATTCCATTGTGTCACACGAACCAGAGAAATGTCACAATAGAATTATACATCATATACATCCAGATGATCATTATCAGTTTGGTATTAAATGCAGTCAGATTCATGAGTCATTAGATACAGTTTTCTCTGTGGATTGATATGAAATGATGTGTGTGTGATTTGGCTCTACCTGTTTGGAATTAAAAACCTTTGTCTAAGGGTTTTGACCAATCAAAATCAATTATTTTACACAGCATCATGAAAAAAAGGTCACCCTGACAGGATTAAGAGTGAATCTTTCCTATTTTTAAGCATATATAGTGGCAGAATCTACAAATTTAGTTGTTATTCAAAGTTTGTTCAGTTATTTTTAAGTGACTGTTATCATGGATTACCAACATTTTAAAAGTTAGAGTGCAACTTAAAATCGAACTATCTAATCAGTTTTCCTGTTTGATTAAACTTTTCCCCTTTGTTCCTAATTTGTAGTTTCATGAGGGGATCCTGGAAGCGTGTCTGTTTATCTTGGAGAAGAGTGACATGCCTGCATCTGGCCGAGGGGATCCTGTCAATGTGGTCAGAGTCGTATCTGCAATGGTGAGTTTGAATTTATATTGACATCCCACCATCTCATTAGCATAAGCCAGGATATTAGAAATACCAAGGTCAAGAGTCGGAGTGTACATATTTCATTCATACATTTACAATTTTTTAACCCTTTTTTAAAGATTTTTTCCAGCATGAAATTTTAAAGCTTTCTCAACTCTGTCAGGAGTAAAATTTAAACAAAATATCCTCCATATGTTTTTTTTAATAACAAAATATACATGAACTTGGGTTGCTTACATTTATTGCTGTGATTTAATGTTTCACGCTTTTTCCAGATAAATGCTCAGGATGACTTGGGGGTCCTGGTAGGGAACTGGTCTGGGGATTACTCTGATGGAGTCTCTCCTGCAGCATGGAGCAGCAGTGTGGAGATCCTGAGAAAATACCATGCTACAGATGGGACTCCTGTGTCATATGGACAATGCTGGGTCTTTTCTGGGATCACCACAACAGGTGACTATGAAGAGAAACACACAAAAAGCATGTGATGGTGTTTGTATGTGCAGAAACCTAGAGTGTTGCATTCCCTAGTGTTTTTGTGGATTTGATTAACGGTCAAATGATCATGATCATGGCTCCAGGCCTTGTCTATTAGCCCTCACTGCTCTGCTACTGAATGCTGCATTCATTGTACGTGCAGGCAGGGTCCCTCACATGATAGCTAGCTGACCTTAGCACATAACTTTGCAGCTGATAGCTCGTATACACCCTAAATACATTGCACTAGCATTCCTGTCATACCTCCTACTTTTGTCACTGATAGAGCCACATGTGTTGCTTTCATTCATCAAGGATAATAAAGTCTGCATGCAACCATTCAAATGCCATCTTAGCTGAAATGCCTGAAGTAGTCGTGCTCTTTTGTTAACATGTGTTAACATAACTCAGGCTCATTATTTTCTCTGTCCATGTATTTTTTTTCTTCTAGTGCTACGTTGTCTTGGCGTTCCTGCCCGCAGTGTGACCAACTTCCAGTCTGCTCATGACACTGATGTGTCCCTCACCACTGATGTTTATTTTGATGAGAATATGGAGCCAATCGACTACCTCAATAGCGACTCTGTCTGGTGAGATGTGTTACTTGACATAACCATGCTTAGAAGAATGCCTGAAGCTAAATCTATATCTCAGGAATGTGCCATATATTAAGATCTGCTCTTAGTGCAGCTCCCTCTAACTTGAAACCCATGTAGACGTCACGCTCTTTCAATTATTTGCACCTCCTGTCAGGCTGCAGAGGTTAATCTGGTATCCATCTGCTTGCATGTTCTTAAAATGTCTTCAGAATAATTGATGCCCCTTTTTCCTCTTTTACTTAAAAACTAAAGTCTGTCAGGGACTTGATGCTGTGTTGCTGTGACGCAATGCTGGCCAGCTTGGATAATGTCCCTGACTCCTATTAAATCAGGAATCCTCATATTAAGACTTGATAGCACTAACTTTATCTTTTAGTAGTAATAAGTGAAAACTCCAGCTCTGCATCCAAGTGCGGGATTAGCAGCAAATTTATTAAAGAAAATGTGACTAAAGACACTTCCTGTATACACTTATTAACATGTTTGACTATTTTCAATTGATTCAAAAAAGGCAAAGACAAAACAGCTAAGACAGTTTTCCGTTTTAATTCCGGTTGTCATGCTAAGTTAACTTTATGCTCGGACAACATTTAGCAAAATATCATGTTATTCTCTTCAATGGTACTCGAGGAGGTTGGATACTAATATAGTGTAATCTTAATCAGGAACTTTCACGTATGGAATGACTGCTGGATGGCGAGACCTGACCTCCCCGCTGGTAATGGAGGCTGGCAGGCTGTTGACTCTACTCCTCAGGAAACTAGCCAGGGCACCTTCCGCTGTGGCCCCGCCTCTGTCAACGCCATCCGCTCCGGCCAGGTCTACCACAAACACGACACGCCATTCGTCTTTGCTGAGGTGAGTGCTGGGTTTTATGAAGTGATGATCTTTGTTGTTGAATTTTTGCAAATCCTGAAAAGAGGAGGAGTATTATTAAACAAAATTACAAGTTTATCTTTGAAAAATAGATGTAATTTAGGGGGCTTCACACCTACGTCATTTGGTCTCGACTTTCAGACCTTTCTGTTTAGTACCAACCAAAATGATAGGTGTGAATCCTTCCCAGGACCTTGGTCCAGACCAAACAGCAGGACCTTGGTCCAACCAAAAGAAGGGGTCTTGGTCCAGACCAAACTGAACCATGGTCTGGTTCATGCCCAGTGTGAAAGCGTTATTTTGCAAAGTTCGGACTTTCATACCAAAGACAAGAAATGACACGAGGAGTACAAGTGTCCGTTATTAGGTATGATGGAGATTGTCCAATAACAGGAAATTTTATGATATTGTAAAAAAAAGTTAGACCTCACTATTGACAGCTCATCTTTTCAAGAGTTTTACTACACATACTTTTCTCCTGACACAGTGTTGCAATGTCTCGCAGGATTGCATACTTTCTTTTCCTTTCCTGTCGATGTCAATAAAGTTGTTGTCTAATTATCGAATTTATGAGATTTCCTCGGACAAGCCTCATGTACAGCTCTTCAAGTTGTTGCTGTTAGAGGTAGAAAATCAAAAATAGTAGGATGGTGGGAATGACGATTTTATTCATATTAACAACATTCAAGACCCGCATTTTTAAACCTGTTGATGTGAGACGCCCGCCGGCCTAATGACCATCAATGTAAATTACAGAAACACACGAAGCACGTAGTTGATGACTATATCACATAGATTCTTCCATTTGCAATAATGACAGTGTGAAACCTAAACAGACCGAACCAAATGTAAACAATGTAACAAAAACATGGACCTTGGTCCGGACTTGCAGTTGTGAAAACATCCTTGGTTTTGTAGCATACACCTTCTCTTGCAGCAAGCAAAACAAAATTCCCTTGTATTCTTCATTAGATACCAAATGACACATTTGTTCTCTCTCTCTGCTTGACTAAAGAAGGTTTGGGTGACAGTAATGGGGAAAAAAAAACTTATATATTGTGATATATGGGTCTTTTTTCTTTCAGGTCAATAGTGATAAGATCTACTGGCAGAGGAACCTAGACACTACTTTCAGTCAGATCTACAGTGAGAAGAAGGCTGTGGGTCACTGCATCAGCACTAAAGCAGTAGGCTCAGACGAGCGGGCAGATATCACGCACCTGTACAAACACCATGAAGGTACTGGGAGTACATCAGTCACATTAACTGCGTTTCTTCCAAGATAAATGTACCATAATCAGATCGGGTTATGAGCGCACTTCCTGGATCTGTCTTAAAAAGGGTTGATTAAATCAAATTTGCTGCATGGATCATTCCACTGTCTACAGGCCATTTGCTTATTTTGGACAAATATGAATCATATCTCAATAAATCTGTCAGTAAGTCCAAAGACACCAGACAGATGAGCTTCCCTCACCTTCTTCCCCTTCTCCACCAGGCTCAGAGGAGGAACGTATTGCTGTGGAGACTGCCAGTCGTTATGGCAGCAAACCTGATGTTTACTCCTCACCCATGGCGGAGGATGTGAGTGTGGAAGTGAAGATGGATGGTGAGGGACCCAAGATGGGTGCTGACGCCAAGCTGAAGATTGTGGTGAAGAACCAGAGCTCGCAGCCTCGTCGCGCCACCCTGCACAGCCAGGTGGCTGTCATGTACTACACTGGTGTGCTGAAGGGCACCATCAAGAAGGAGCAGATGCCTGTGGAGCTGTCCCCCCATGAAGGTTAGCTTAGAGCTGTCGTTAGCAGTACGTTTATATGAAATTAGGTTAAATTTGCTAAACAAAGTGAAGCTCATCTGTTTTGTACTTCTTCACACAGAGAAAGTCATCGAGTTGGTACTGCCCTACCAGCAGTACCAAAACGAGCTGGTGGATCAGGCTGCACTGATGTTAACCCTGTCTGGAAGAGTCTCTGAGACCCAGCAAGTGCTAGCTAACCAGACCAGCTTCAGGCTGCGTACACCTGACCTCACCATTACGGTACGTTTGCATTTTAGCATGATTTTAATGATGACTGTAAGGAAATGAAGGAAAAGATCATATCACCCCTGCTGACACTATTTTACTTGCCGTCCTGCAGCCTTTGGGAGATGCTGTGGTTGGTAAAGAGATGGCAGCCAAGATTACCTTCACCAACCCCCTGCCTCGAATGCTGAAGGGGGTTGTATTCAGAGTGGAAGGTCTGGGTCTGCAAAGAGGCCATGAAGTAGTTGTCGGGTAAGAACATGTGACATCTTGCTCTCTTGCCTCCCTATCTCTGTTTTCCACACATTTCCTCTTCCAGCTAATATTCAAGCTTTATTTCCTCCACAGCGACGTTGGCGGTCTCTCCACTGTGACATTGACAGAGCACTTCATCCCCACCCAACCTGGGCCCAGGAAACTGGTGGCGTCTCTTGACTGTAAACAGCTGAGTCAAGTGCACGGCGTGGCTGATATTATTGTTCACGAGCATTGAGATGGCGTGAAAAACGATTAGCTTCCCATCCTGCTTCTCTGACACCAAATGCTCTTTTATGAAATTCAAACTGAGAGCCTCGGATTATATGAAGAGTATGCTCTGATCCTGTATCTTAAATATCGTTTTTGTGACTGCAGTCATTTTAAAAATTATTTTTACGTCTCTGATTAGCCATTTAGTCAGTGTAGCATTGTCAGTATTATTATTTTTTAACTTGAAATAATAACTAAAAGGAGAATTCATGCTTTTGCCTTGATGAATTTAAAAACTGTGGTCAAGTCTGAATGTGTGCACAGCGGGTAAAGCGCTTGGATTAACAAGCTTTCTTATACTGAGGTAACTAAACTGTCACTACACACACTGTCTGAACACTAGTATTTTTGAAGACCCTGAGCTCATGAAGTGAAGCGTCATGATCATTTAGAAATAATGTAAATATTGTACTTGATTCATTCGTTGAGCTTGTCATAAAATGAAAAGGATGTGAAATGCATTTTCAGACAGATTGAACCTGGATTATTTGAAGGAAGGGTACTGTGAGATGTTTTTGAAGGGAATGACGCCATAATTGGCATTGACATTTTGCAAAGGGCACATTATAATTCCCCCAGTTTTCTTTGTTACAATTGACCGGGGAAAAAAAATCATTTTGTTTCAAAGGATGTGGCTAGACGGCTGTTTCAGTCGTTGGGTGAAATGATAATTCTGCATCTTTGAAAATTTAATAAGCAACAACGCAAATGTCTCCTACTGCAGAGAGCAAATGTGTGTGTTCCCTTCGTAAGGATGTTCTGTATGCATTGTGTGTGTTTCTACATTATTTGTGTATCATACACTGATATCAGCTTTACAGTTTGCATCTTACCTGTAAAACTGGAAACCACTGCAGTGATTTCCAGCAAACCAGAGACCGCAGAGGCCTTATTAGTTCAGCAAAGATTTACCAGGTTCTAGTCTGTTTAACACAGAGTACAATGTGAAGGAAACTATTTCAGTAACATTACACTATTTATCTACCTTATTTACTTGAATGTTCTTTTTGTATCGTATGTTTTGCATTGGTAATAAAACTTACACGTCTATGAAGGTCTGACTCCTGAGTTATTTTATTCATGCACTCATGATTAGACAAGTCCTCACTGGAGAGAGGTGGAAAGGGGAAATTATGATGTGAATCCAGCAGGGTTTAAAGTGGGAGCAAGTGTCGACCTGCACTTTCCTGTCTCAGAGATTTAACCATTTTTTAACTGGAAAGAAATGTGTTGAATCATAGAGTATTACCGTGCACTGACTCAGTTTATGTGTGCTGCTACCAGGTGACGCACCCTGCTTCATTTCATCACCAAGGGAACGGATGAATGGCGTAGTTACGTGTATCAAACACAGGGTGATAGTGAGGTTTTACCTTTTACCTACAGTACACGGAAAGTTTTTAGATCCTCTCCCTGATGTAAGACGTAATGTACAATGCTAGATAGCAAACACCTTGCTGTAGTGGTTTGGAAGAGCTTTGGGAAGGTCTCCTGTGTTTTATCTTTTTGTAAAGTGTTTTTTGGCCCAACTGCATATAATATATTCACAGAAGTTTTTTGAGCTTGCCTTGGACAAAAATGATATGTATGTGTAATTATATGAGTATGTCGACTCAAACATTGTCACACCATTTTGAGCTCCATATATACCAACTCTGTCCATTTTAGAGGGAAATACCAAGATATGGGTTCACCGGTCTCATTCCACAACTGATTTAGATTAGATTAGATTACATTTAGATGAGATGAGATTAAATTAGATTAAATACTACTTTATATATCCTTTTGGTAAGGTTCTCTCAAGGAAATTAGAATTATGATATATTTGTAAGAATTATGACAAAGTCTTATCAGTGATACTAATGAAAGGATCTAAAATACAACGTAAATGGGGCTCAAAGTGCTGCCTGTGAGGTATTTCTTTCAGTGTTTTAAAGTCAGTTTGATTTGGGGCCTTTTGTGCAGCTGTGAAATTATTTTTTCTTGTAATTGTTTTCCATGACAAAAGATTGCGCCCACATTTAAGGCACTGTGAGGGTTTTTAACTGGAAGAGGATCAATCTCAAAAACTGATGCCTCTTTATGATATTCAGCTGCAAACAAGCCCATCAGCACCAGGAGATATGTCTACTTTGTTGTTATTTTTTAATGCCTGAAACTGTTGTGAGGGGGATAGGTTCACACCAGATGATTGACAGTCAGCTGAAGAAACATCCTTCTTATTTTTTCTATGGCAAATAGTCACAGTGAGAGAAATGTTCACTGTTAGACAACAGGGCAGGGTTTTTGTCTGAAGACACAACATTCACAAGAGATATCACAGAGCAGGAGTTTCTCACAATTGCATTAAGTAAGAAAAAAACAAAACTTCAAATAACAAGGATAAAGTCTTCAGAAAATAAAATCATAGAATCATGAGAGATCAAAGTTGTAATCATACAAGACTTAAGTTATAATTATAAGCTCAGGTTACTCCTTAATTGCAAGCTAAAATCACATGATAGAGTATATCAAAAGAGCTCAGGGAGAGTTTTAGGGTTAGGAATACAGGAGAGTAGAAAGCCAAAGCTTTTTTTCATCAAGCACTTTGAGAATAAATTTGGAATGTCCAGAATAGAGTAATGAATAAATGAGAAGTGTGATGAATTATTGTTTTCAGAAGAAAAAAAAAGTTAATGGTAAAGTGAAGGCATCACATTTCAACGTGTTGCTCTATAAATCACTTTAGAATATGAAGCTTCTATGAGGAACACTTGGTTGGTGTCAGTTTTGGCACCCCCCTGTGATGGTCTCATTTGTCATCAAAGGTCATGAAGAAGTGTCAGTATCAGTTTCAGACTGTTTTTCAACCAGTTTAAACCTTCTCATGAGCATTCACTGAGTAGAAGTCAGAAACATGCAGTATACCAAACTTGTTTCAATAAACTGTTTAGAAAATTTTAGAAGATAGTATGAATTTACTTTCCTTTAAATCCCTCTAAATTGAGGAGAGAAAAGATCCTTGTGTGAAACCAGAACTGCCTCTGCAGTTCACATTTATCTGTGTTTTACTCACATTGACAGTGCGACCAAGGACAGGATGTGGGATGAATTTTTGTATGTTGGATTTGAGAAAAACTTGATGATTTACCCTGAAAACAAAACAGTAAGACAGATTGATCAGGCCCTTGTACCACATCCATTTACAGGAGGGACATGATACCTGATAACCCCTGCAGAGCATTATGACAGTCTCCTCATGATGGCAGAGTGAACAGGTATGTGAGGATAGAGTGAAAGGAGGTCTTTGTCAAATAAAAGATATAGAAATAAACCAGATGCTTTCAAACTCCCTCCAGGCATATCTTACTCAAGATCACTGCATGAACATCAGGTCAGAGTGATCTCGACTTTTGACCTTCAGTATCAAATCATCTCATCCCAGTCCAGGTGGACAATCGCCAAGTTTGAGATTTTCTCTCCAGGGCTCTCTAAGATATTACATCCACAAGAATGAAACGGATTTAAAGGCCTGGAGATTGTTTTCATTTTTTTATTCATTATGTCATGGTGGAATTAACCTTTGACCCTTTAGGTCAGTGTATCAGTCTAATAGTATGTGAGGAATCAGTTAATAAAAATAAATTATTTTAAGTGTCTGTATATTGTTTTCATTATGTCAGTCAAAGACACCTATAAAATGTTAGAAATAATTTACTGCTTTTATTTCACATTCTTTGTATGTTTTTTTTTCATATTGTTTCATTTTGTTTAACTGTGTTTTCTGATCTGAGTGTACCTCATGTTATTTTCTTGTCGCGAGCACTGAACCTTTTTTTTGACCCTTGTTTACTGATCTGGATTTGTGTTATTGTGAATATCAATGGTGGACTAGCACCCTTGTATCTGAAGAGCAAGTGTTTGGGACAGTGTCCTTTCTATGTAAAATAAAGAAATATTGCTTTAGTAGCTGCTCTAGAGGATCAATCATGACAGATCTCCCTCTAAGTGTCCTTCTGATGGACAGAATTTGATAAGATGATAAGCCACCCTGCTCTTTGGCATATGTTTAGGTTTGACAGCTGAGGTTAAAACTCTGATCTTTTTAAATTTGTGGTTAAGGTGAAATTGTTGTTTCTTTTTTTCAATCACTGATGTAGGTCAACTTTATATGATTAGGTCACCAATAAGTGTTGCATATGCACTTTGCAAGTATTCACCAGAGATAGATGCTCAAACTTTCCCCAGACCCCCCTCTTCTTATTTGGGCTCTGATCTGTTTAAATGAACCCTGCACTGTGGCTATCAGGAGTTAGGGGAATAAATAAAAACATCAAAGGCTAGCTACTGTTTAGGGTTGTCAAAGAAGAGAACCTTTTTATTAGAGGCTCAAGCTGGTCCTTTTTTGTAAAACTGCCTTATGATCACAGAATAACAAAGTGGGTCAGGGTGATAAGCTATAAAAAGTTCTCGAAAATACTTCCAGAAACAGATCTTCATTCATCACATCTTTCTATAGGCTGATGCCCCATGGTGTAAAACAAGAGTCCTTTGTATGTTTTTCAGCCCCTGTCCTAAAAACAGCCTGAATATGCCACTAGCAAATTAATTTAAAGTCAATTAACTAAATGTGAGCATCATCAATTTTAATGTATTGTTAAAGAAGAAAGATAAAGACATAGCAAAGGTACCACTTTAACCCCATAAATACTATTTTTATTGTTGAATTGGAACTTTTTACTCAACAGTTCAGGACTTTGACTACAGGTCTTTTGGTCCATGTTCAAAGACAGAAGCATAAGCAAAATGACAGCCTTAAAAAATACTGAAATTAGTACTGCCCTCTACTGGTCGGGTCATTAAGTGCATCACATACAGCTGCAGACTGAAGTTAAGTTTGACAAATCAGTTTTTATTGTTTTAAATGTAAAAAATACAAACAGCTGTTTGATAGACTGGGACAGATGAGAGATAGAAATAGTGGTCAAAGAAAAAAAAAATCTCTTACAGTACTTAATGGTAAGTGTCAGGCACATGAATGAAGTGTCAAACAGACACAGTGTGGCTGCTCTGTAACACAAAAGCTCAGTGCATCCAGAGAGATGTGCGTATTTTCCCTTCAAAAATATGACACGAAGATAATAGCTTTGCTCTGAACAATCAGTTATTACTTCGAATGAATGAAAACACATGTATAAATACATCTTTTACTTAAAATGAAAGAAGCATACTTCAGCTGATAAATTAATGATAACAATAACCTGTTACTATGACGGCGGGATTTGTGCTAACATTTCATTCAAACTCATGATGTATGGACTGGCTCTGACGCAGATTCAGCCAGCATGCATCACATGCAGAGGTTACAGCGTTAACAACACTATGAAATGTCTGCATACTTTCTTTCCACACATATGCACACATATGCACACATACACGCACACACACACACACACACACACACACACACACACACACACACACACACACACACACACACACACACACACACACACACATACATACATACATACATATACCGTCAGTTTACAGAGTTACATATGTTCTCTACCACTCTGTTGAATGTCTCTGGTTGATCAGCATACACATGGTGAGAGGCGTCATGTATCAGCTACACAGAGGAAGACATGAAAAAAAGAGATAACACAAACAGTCAGTGATCATACAGTATATGACGAACCTCAAGAGGTTTCTCTACTTAAGAAAAAACGGAACCTTTAACCTTACAACAGTTTTAAGCTGCTCATCTCAGACTGTATAATTTTCCCTCTTGTGACTCTGAGTCGATTCACCTGCACTTTGGTGTAGGCCTTTTCTCTGATGTGGGCAACCATGTCTCCAGACGAGCTGTCCACCCAGGATCGAGCTCCGTACAGCATGGAGAGGGGCATGGAGGGGGGCAGAAGGTGAACCCTCTGCAGCATGGGCCTCTTTGCCCAGCCCAGAGATTCAGACATGGCACGGAAACCCACCTCACCACTGGAAAGGAGGAAATGGAGGGGTGTTCACAGGTTGGTTGGTTTTTAATTCTTGCTCTTTTACCTCCTTATTCACAAACTGTTTTATTCTTGTTTCTTTTTCCATGGCTACCCTCAAACCTTCTCTGACTATATATTTCAAACTGCCTGCTTATATTTGTGTGCATTTTTTGTGTATGTTTAAGTGAGTGAATGACTACTTGAATAAAGACCTGTGAGGACTTTTTGGTTTGTGTCAACTTTGGCGCCCCCCTGTGGGTAGAGCAGTCCTTGCTTATCTTATTCTTGACATGCTTCAGTAGTGTTTTCTATTTAAAATCATATCATGTTGACTCTTGACAGTCAAATTCATTATTAACTGTGACAAAAATATGATGTGGGAAATAAAGAAAACAGGGCTGTTTCTTCAGCTGCTTGGCTCGCACCTACCCTCTCACACCAGTATTAAGCATTAAAAATTACAATATAAAAATCATCAATCATGTTGCCACTGGTCTGATTTGTTTTTGAATATCAAGAAAAGGCATCATTATGAATTTGAGTTTGTTTCATATACATCAAAAAACAGGAGCTTTAAGGAATTATTTCAATATAGACGAGATGGCAATAGCTGTAACATTTTTGATCAGTTAGCGTCTGTACTCTGAAGTTTTTTAAAGCATAACTTCCCTTAAAGTGAGGACTTAATTTTATGTTTCAAACTGTAGAGATCCAACATTTCATGTTTTCAGGCCCTACAATTGCATTCTGAGCATGTAAGAAGCAAAACAAGCACTTTTTGTTGCTTAAAGCTTACTCTTTTTTGACAAATTTGGTGCCCCCAGTCGACATAGTGGTAATTCCTACATAATTGTTGATTTTATCTTGAGCAAGTTGAAGTACAATTTTCTGACAAAAACATCTCATCTTGCCATTTTTATCATCACCCAAGCGTATCACTCATTGTGAATATTTGCTGTGAAAAAGTTTAATAAAAAAGATTGTTTCTTTGACAGGGTGTAAATGATTGTTTCTGGCCCCTGCCTCCTCACAGTGGTCACAGATATTAAAAAAGCAACACAAAAACGGTCATCCTCGTCGCTGGTGCTGTAGTTTGATTTTAAAGGTCATAAAGGGGCTTCCCAGTTGACTCTAATCTTTTTTATAACCATAGCCATAACCATCCTATGAAAAGTTTTTTTTTTTTTTACTTTTATAAAATAGGCTGAAATTCACATTGGTGCCTTTTTTGTATACAAAAGCAAACAAGACCAAAAAAGAAAAGAGTGATGATTTTTATACAGTAATTTGTGAGGCCTAAAACTGGTTTGGTAAGATGAGATTTTTTAACATATGACACCACAACATCATGTACAGGACAAAATAAGCAAAAACTGTCAAGTCCACAGGAGACGCAAAAGTTGCATGCAGTGGAACTAGGGGTCAAATTGTTTGTCTCTGTACGCATACCTCGCCTCAAATAATCAGAATTTTTGAGTCATAAATACAGAGTCAATGATGAAAGTTACCAGAAGTCCTCTCTGTATGTTTTGGCTCACCTCGGGGTTTGTGCGTTACAGTGGTAAATGTACTGGGTCATAGTGTCGTCATCAAACAGATCTTCAAACTTTCTCTTAAAGTCAGGACGGAATCTGTTCACCAAACCTGGACCTAAAACAAAAACAAACTGTAAGAGGAGGGGAAGAGTTTTACTGCTCAGGACATTTAGACGATGAAGAGTAGTATTCCTTACCCCATGGGCCCGCTGCTCTGATGACAGCCAGAGGGTTGAATAGGGAGACCACTGCAGCGATAGCTTTAACCCAGCGAGGAGGGGGCGGCCTCTTCACCACGTTTGTCCCCTGATTCTCACCTTGGGTCTTTGGTTGCTCAGGGAAACCCCAGGGGTCGACGAGGATAAGATGTGACACTCTGCAAGAGAAGAGCAGCCAACACGTTGTGAAAAGGTCCTGCACTCAGCCAGTCAACACTTGTTACTTGTTGCTGACAGACTGTTCTGTACCACTACATGGAGGCCAAAAAAAAACAGGACTTCATATTTTTGACTGCAGCAGGAGAGCCACCGTAATACTTTGAATATTTACTTGCAATGCCTGTTTACTAACAACATGGTGGCACTATTTAAAGGGCGATCACCGAGTGCAGCAGAAAATTTCTGATTATTACTTCATGGAAATGATCTGCTGCACTCAGTGATTGACTTGTCAGGCCTCCCCAACAAATAAGCGGCTGCTGGAGGAGAGTAGGTGAGCTGTGTTTGGTCTCTTTGCTACAGAAACCAGGCAGGTTTGTTTATGGCTCCTCAGACCGCTGTGTATTGCTATCCTGCAGTCGTTACTAAAGTTGGTATAACTAGAGAAGCGAGCGCTCTGCAACATTCATCTCTCGAGGGGGTATCTAACTCGGTGTTACGGTGTGTTTGACCAGTGGCGATTGCTCTAAGACTGCAAGGGAAGCTCGGCTTCCCTTAAAATGTCACCCCCCAAAAAAAAGAAAAAGTGGTGAAATACGTACTGCTGTGTGTACATTTCATTAACTAAATACGCACTAGAAAGCCTTCATCTTTTGTTCAGACACTGTGATAAGAAGCTGATAATTATAGGTAACCGGCATAACTTCGTTCTCATTCATCCTCGCAGCGCCTCAGCGCTTTAAACAGCCGGACGCTGGGCTTCTGCTGACTTCAATGTGGAAGCTAAAAGTGGGTTGTTCCAGCAGCGAAACTAGACGCTCATTGGATAAATGCTGGGCTTTGTCCCGCCCAATGGAAGCTAAGCTTCACTGGAGTTCTATGGCGAGAGGGCGGTCCCGACTTTCTCCCGGACTGCAAGCTTCTGCATCCATGATTGGATGAGCTGTCTGAGGCGAAATCCTTTTTTGATTGACAGCTAAACAAGCGAATCAGCGATCTTGAAGAATAAAACATCTACCAGAGCATTTTCCAAGTCATTCATTCCGTTGTTCTTAACTGCTCCGGAGACTTTACCGATCCTCAGCGACTTCTGTCTTTATTAAAAACGACTGCCGTTGTGTTTGGTGACTCTGTTCTGTTACATACTAAATAAACAAATACAATTATGATGTAGGCCAGAAAAATGAGCTTCCCCTCATTGAAAGACCAGCAGCCGCCACTGTGTTTGACCATAACTTAAATTTATGCTGGAATATATTATAACACTTATTATAAAATAAGTGTAACAAACAGACAACAATGCTTATAAGGCACTACTGATATGAGGAAAAGCAAAACAACACTCCTCAAACACTGTCATTGATCAGCACCAAGAGTTTCTGGACAGTAAGAACAACAGAGGCCCATGACACTAGCAAAACCCTATCCTCAGTCAGTCAACGAAGCTATAGCAGCCACAATATTTTTGAATGTCTGTGTCTAATAGAGAACATTTAATTTATAGTTAAGTCAGGATTTGTTTCATATCTTTTTATAAAACACATTTACAATAAAAGTAAGGGGGGAATTCTTGTGAAGGAGAGACTTAACGGCACTATGAGGAGTTTTATAAGGAGTTAAATAAACAGTCTGAACCGATACTAATGCCTATTTATGACCTTCAGAAGCAAATGAGATCATCAGCAACAAGGATGATTATTTTTTTGATGTTATTTCTGAGGCTTTAGACCAGATAAGGGTCTAGGTTCAGCAGGCTGAAAAAATAAAAAAATAATAAATAAAGATAGAGGTGACACTTTATCCAGAGGGTGTGTCAAACCTGACATTGACCTAGTGTTCCTCTCAGCAGCTCTAATTTTCTTCAAAATGAAAAAAGGTGTGAGTACACCGCTATCAGTATTGACTAAAATGGGTTCAGAACCTGGACCTTGTGCATCCCTGATTAAAATTTTATCTCTGTGATGTTCCTGACTAAACTAAGGACTTCATTGTTCAATGCGAGAGAAATTATCTGCCAATGCAGCGAGAGAAATTTCTCAGCTACTTTCTTGACACAAGATGAACAACTTCTACCTCATCAAGAAGCTTTTGCTTGTAGCACTGGCCACTTTTTTCTCGCTGAAAACTATTTGTTCCTTATTTATGGCTTTCAATAACATGAACAGAGATTAGGTCAAGAATAATGAGATATTCTGCCGAGAAAAGTAACAGATACAATCAGTAAGAGTTTTGCAGGGGCAGCTTTTTAAACACTTTTTAAAGAAGGTGGAAAATAAGAGGACACTAAATGGAGATCTGATTGCACCATAACAAGTGGCTCTAATGAACTTGTTAGATCATATTCACCTCTTTATGACCTCCTTTCATCACCCAGACAGTGGACATGTGGTTTGCAATGGTCAATTCACTTATTGTTTGTTTTCTCGGCACAAAATCAAGAGTATGAAATGATTAAAGAGTGATATTTTCTGAGCATTTATTGGCAAGGCTCTGTCATATCATTGGGTCTTGTCAGCCGAGCAGTTTTACACTGTTTCTGGTGTTTGTGCAAAGCTAAGCTCACTGGCTGCTTTTTTTATATATATATATACAAACAAGCAAGTGGTATCTAACTGCTGGCTCATATCAAACTCTAACCAAAACAAAATCAGTTTTAAAAAATGTCTGCAACTGGGAAAACATAAACCACATAAAATTGTGCAGATTTACAGGCAGACTGCAAAAAAGAGTCGTTTCAAAAAAACATAACATCTGAGTCTGATGACAGTTTAAAATGAAATTAACTGATTTTTCTTTTCATTCCTCAGCTAAACACTTGATTGATATTCGACACAGTTATCAAATGATATTCTGATACAATCTCTTTCTCCACTTATCTCCCATCCAGCACCATTCATCCACAAGCACACAGTAAAACACCCCCGTGTGCATTAATCATGTGCTCTTAGTTTTTCCTCAGTCATGTGATTAGACAAAAAACAAATGTTGTTTCCCCAAGAAAATTTTCTCCCTGACATTTGCTCTACCTTCTAAGATGATATGAAACTCATCTTGTCTTGAAACAATTAAAAAAAAAAACTAAAAATAATCTTGATTATAAACCAAATTAGGGTTCATTCCTGTAATTCAGACTGTTTCCAAGATCTCTTCATTTTGATAAACTAAGCAGTTGCAAGAAGTATCAGTTGCTGCTCAACACCGCCAGCAGAATGTGACCCCATCCTTATAAGTAGCATTGATTTACCAAAGTGGAAAAAGTTACCAAGTTAGTATTGATAAAGTAAGCATTACTGGATTATACCTGTTTACCATTAGCTAGTGCCTATAATGGAGTATTGACCTTTAAGCTTGACTGTATGTATAGCCTGCTGAGAGACAGAAACAGTTTAAGGTTTTTGAATTAGTTTATATTGAATAGGGTATTATAACTGTTTCATTTGGAAATGAGAAATTAATTACACAGAATATAAATTTTTCTCCCCTCCTGGTTGCAATGTTGACATGTAGTTACTGAAAGACTGGTTTGTGCTCAAGCCCTCTTGTTTCTGTGCAGTTCCATTTTAAAAGTTATTAGGGGGTTCACTTTTACTATGATTGACACTTGATACAGCCTATGGGTGTTAGAAGATTGGGGATACGCTGTTTGAGCTGAGCGTCATCACAGCGACTCTCTTGCCAAATGCATAGAGTGCTACTGCGCAAGTGGTGGGTCCAGGAAATGGAGAAGATCCTGGAAATACTGAGAGCATTTTGGCTTCAAATTCGTACAATGATAGGAGGCTGAACCACGTTGTCCATACTATATACAAGCTATAGTCCAAGTATCTTCAACCTCATCCGGGAGGGTCTTTTCAGTGGCTGGAGATACAACCAGCCCTGAAGATCAAGGATCCTTCCTGAGAAAGTAGGTTTGCTTATACTTTTACACAAGAACTGATGAGTTTGTCTTAATATATATTTATTTACATCCGGAGATCTCGGATCAAGTGACTATGTGCAAAGATATTTAATCAATATTTTTTTTATTTACATCCAGAGATATCCAGATCCAGTGACCAATTTAATTTTTTTTTTTTTTTTTACTTATAAACTCAATAAAATGCTGCTGACACAGAAAACCTGTAAAGCCTACTTTTTGTGCACAGAAAATTCACAGGAGTTGAGAAGGAAATCGATACAGAATCCGATCGATAAGCGGAATTGATAATTGCATCAGTATCAATAAAATCTTATCAATACTCATCCCTATCATTTACCTACTTCATTCGCAGTATGTTGCTCTGTCTGATTCAAGGGTCACTTCTTTGGGTCAGAAAATCCCAAATCCTAGATAAATCAGGAAGAACCATATCCCTGTTTCCTGTTTTTATTAGGTATCAAATTATTACCTTGATGGGTACTGGATGGCGTAGGAGGTAGCCAGGTAACCCCCCAAACTGTGTCCTAGCAGAATCATGTTCTCCAGGCCCACAGACTGTCTCCACTGCTCAATAGAGTCAACAAACTGCTCCTCTGCTTTGGCAGCATCCGAAGAGAAGGACGGCCTGGAGCTCCGACCAAAGCCAAGAAGATCAAAGGCGTAAATGGGCCGGGACCGACTCAATGGCTCTAGATTCCTGATCCACAGACCTACCCCTCCTCCAAAACCGTGGACCATCACCAGGGGAGTCTTGGAGGCTACAAAAACAGGAAGGAGTTATGTAATGATGGGTGTCCTAATCTTTATAGCACTGATAAATTACAGCTGGTCCCTCCTTATAAACAAAGACAGGCAGACACGGAGGAGGGGGTTACCTTGTTGAGCAGGTTTCTGCACAGCTTTGTTGGTTACAGTCAAAGTCCAGATTCGATCCTGATTTGGTAGGGTAACAAATCTAGCCCATAAATCATTCTGAATACCTGTTGTGAGCAGACAAAAGACAGCTATGTTAAGTGTACGCTCTGTGTCAGCTTACAGTAGCAAAATAGGTGTCAGATTACACTTACAGATGCTCCATGTGGGAGGATAAATATTATCATAATATGAAGGATATGCAGCTTTGAGTATCATGATAATGATTGGGAACATTTGTTTGAGGTTATAAAATCAAAACACTCTTACATGCAAGGATCTTGGACTCTGCAGTCTTTAAAAGGGACATGGAGGTTGGACGCCAGGAAGGCCACCAGCTCCAGACTGAACTGGTCCTGTAAACAAAAACAAGGACATGAAGCAAATAAAGAAACACTAACACATATGCACATGGATGGATAATACAAAGGTTTCTGCTGCAGGACCAAGGTTACAGTCAGTGTTATCACTGTTTGCATAGAGTGTGTATGTTACACACACCCTGCAGTGTCAAGTTTCACAGGCATAAAGTCCATACTGAAAGCCATCGTAGCAACACTCTCGAATTTCACTGAATAACCTCTGACCTGAAAAATCACAATTTACATTTCATTTTCAAGCTGTTTAATGTGCACTGAAAGCTGTGTTTTCTTAAAAACAAAGAGATGAAATAAAAATGTTGAGTCAGCTGAGCTGATGTGTGTGTGCAGCCCCATCTCCTCTTTGATTAGAGGTAGAAAAAATGGAAAACCGTATGTTTCTACCTCCAACATCAACACACCAGGTACAGCTCATTGTCCTCTGACTCACACTTAAATTTGCTGAGTCATCCTGACTAATGATGTAATGTATGTGAAGGTTGAAGTAATAGTTTGTAAAAATCTAGTACTGCATTTAGACAATCTTAGTATATATATATATAAAAGTACCATAAACCTAATGTCACTGCTGAGGGGTATTTGTTAATAAATACCACTATTAAACCACAATAATATTAAACTGGGGAAGTTAGAATGAGCCTTGAGATCACTAAACCCTGCTTTTACTATATATGTTTTCCTAGTCTTTATCAAATTAGGCAACCAGAGACTTAAAAGACAATAAGGTGAGTCGTTGTGTTACAGAGTTATTTAACTACATTCATAAATACCACATATTTCTGGCAATGAATTGTAATATATACGTTAAATATCAAAACACTGATATCTAATATCTCAGCTGAAAAGGTGCTGTTGGAGCACAAATGCGCAGTAATATATAATTTCAACCAAAATTAACAACACACTGAACAGGTTTCGGTGATAAAAGTTGCGCTTATATGTGATCTAATCAGACCAGCTCTGTACTGAAGGTTGTTACTCACTCTATCTCACTGTCGTTCTGTACTGGAGATGCGGTCGTAGCAGGATCCATTGGTTATCATATTTCGGGGGCTACATTCAATTAAAATCACATGTAACCTTTACGGCTTCTGTCTCTATTTTGATGTAACAGTACTGTACGTTTGTTTGTAATGTTTTGTAACAAGTACATTCAGGAGTCAGCTGATCAAATTCAAAGATGTTCTATTATGAAGATGCACCGCCGCGTGAGACAAAGGTCCCTCGTCACTTAAGTGCGGCGCCTCATAGTACAAACCCGACAACCAACACCAGAGCAAAATTCAGGGGGTTCATCCAATCGGCAACAAATCCAAGTCAAGTAAAATGTTCTCAACCACGGGAAATGGGAGTATAACAGTTGACAAAGAAAGAAAGAAAGAAAGAAAGAAAGAAAAGACTGCCCCCCCCAAAAAAAATAATAAAATAAAATAAAATAATAATAATAAGAAGAAGAAGAATCCGCAAAATATGTTATTTTATTTTATTTTGGACACAGCTGAGTGTAAATTCCCTTTTTGCTTTTTGCCCCTATTTTATTTACATAATTAAACACTAAATAAAAGCAAAAGGGTGGAAAAAAAAGACATTAGATTTTAATTCTATAAGTACTGGAATATGATATAATACAGTATGGCCACATTGCTGATATTATTCTCTCAATGTTGCCTTCTTTCTGAATCTTTGAAATCCAGCTTTTAAAACAGTTACAAGTTTTCACAAACTTTTTGTTTTTTGCTTTTTCTGGCTCAGACTCTGCGTTTTTGTATGTTGCAGGGATTTTAAGGGACAAAGGGTTTTTAGAAATTCATTTTCAAACCTGAAATTCAAACTATTCAAATAAAAATACAATAAGTACTATGTTAAGTTATTTGGGCTCTGCTATACTGACAGAGTAAACCATCTGTATTTTAATATCGCTTTGTCACACGGTGGGCGGGGCTTAGGACCCCTTTAACCCCCTTTTTTCGTTCCGTTCAAGCCGGACTACATTATTTGCAACGCAATGTTCGCTTCCGGTTGATGAGGACACGTCACTCATTGGACTGAGGAAGAGGACCGGTGAAGTCGTTAGTGAACACATTTAGTGCAAACCATACATCAGAAACATGTCGAATTCTGTCATTTCTGTCATCTCTCGGTTTCTGGAGGAGTATACCACCACGACACCGAACAAGCTGAAGGTGGTGGACGCGTATCTGCTCTACATCCTACTGACTGGTGCTCTGCAGTTCCTCTACTGTCTGCTGGTCGGCACCTTCCCCTTCAACAGCTTTCTGTCGGGCTTCATCTCATGTGTGGGTGCTTTTATTCTCGCAGGTGAGAAATTTACATTCATACATTTTCCCCCCGTCAATTTTATAAAACAGTGCGCAAGTTTAATATTTTAGTCAACCACAGAGGCCCAAAGGTACATGTGTGTGCAGCCAGAGGCTAACATTAGCTAACCATACTAAGCGTTAGGAGCAAGTTAAGTGTATTTTTTATGAACATTAAACACCCTCAGCTCTAGAAAATGAAAACGCAATCTCTCTAGACACTTGACGTTTGCGCAGCCCATTGCTGATATAAAACCTTCTTGTAGTTTTTCTATAGGCACAACTACGGAAGCTCTGAACGGACACGCATCCATACAATTAATGCACTTTGTTGTCTGTTTTTTTTAGCAAACAGACTTAACACAACTTACCCACTCTCTTCATGGAAATGCAATCAGACTGAGATGCTAAGGCAGAAGAACTTCCGCATGCAAAATGATTAATATGGTGATTATTACTTTAAGGAAATTATAAAGAAATGATCATAAATGTTCTTCTTTGAGCTGCATTACCCTGCAGCCGTCTGTAATAGACTGGCCTGAGGTCACGCTACAAACAAGCGACTGCTGGAAGAGAGTAGGTGAGTTAGGACCCTATCAGTATCTCCTCAGACTGCTGTGTATTGCTATCGTGCAGTTGTTACTAAAGTTGGTATAACTCAAGAAGTAAGAGGTCAGCAACATTCATCTCTCGAGGGGGTGCCTAACTTGGTGTTACAGTGTGTTTGACCCTAAATTAATTTTATGCCTGACTATCCCTTTAAGAACCAGAGGCAATTTGCAAGGATTAGATGGAAAATGCTTCTGTTTCCTGGAAGATATGCTTATTTTAAATTTGACATGAGTAAGTAACACATTTCAGAAAAAAATGGTACAGGCATAACTGTCTAAAGCCTGAAAATCACACTTTGAGAAATGTTTCCCAACTAGTTAGTTTGATTTATAACAGGTTAGTAACATAACTGTCTATAAAGGCTACTTCAGAGAGGCTGAGTCCCTCAAAAGTAAAGAAGGAAAGGGATCCACCACTCTGAGAGACAGTCCAAATAGGTAGACAATTCCAGAATAATGCTCTTCAACGTAAAATCAGAAGAATTTGAAGGGTCTCATGGTCAGGGGTACATAATATCATTAAAAGAGAATATAGCAAAATCTCTAACTATGGGGACAAAACTGCAAACTAATAAGTGGGTGGCTGATTGCATGAAAAACAGACTCTGAGCCATTCCAAAAGTCATTGTCATTGAACACAGTTTATCACTGCATCCATGATTTTAGGCTTGATCTGAAGCTGAAAACAGGGAATCATTTAAACATGATACAGAAATGTTGGGGACTTCTCTAGGGCAGAGTCCATTTAAGATGGACTCAGGTTAGAAGTAAAACTGAACTGTGGTTTAATAAATCAAAATCAAACTCTCTTCTTTGGAAATCTTGGATGTTGCATCGAGGACAGTGACCATCCTGCTTATTATCAGTGCACAGTTCAAAAGCCTGGCTCAGTAACGGTATAAGGATGTACAAATACTCCTGTCATGGGTAGCTCACACATCTGGGAAGGCACCATGAAAGCTGAGCAGTATCCCATAAACTGTCACCCCAAAAATCTGCGTGTGATACTTTGCATATTTCATAAAGACAAAGCAAGTTCACATGTTACAGGTGTTACAACAGCATGACTCTGCAGTATAAGTGTCTAGTTTTAAACTTGCAAATGCAAAACAATTGATGCATTATGACAGCAAAAATGTGAGAACAGAGACCTGAACCATCAAGCAGCTGAAATCCTTTGAATCAATGCAAGAATGGGGCATTTCACATTTAATGCTCCAGAAACAGATCACTTTGGATGTCAAATGTTTAGAAAGTGCCAGTAAAAAAGGAGGTGATGCAACAGAGTGGTGGACATGTCCCTGTCATAGCTGAATTGGAGTAATAGCTCCAGTTGAAAGTGGAGGAAGAGAAGAGTTGATTTAAAAGCCGCTCAAGACTAAATGTAAAAGCCATTTTAAAGGAAACTGTTAAATAAAGACTGATGACCAAATAAAACATTACCTTCAGTGAATGTCAGTCGTGAACCTCAGATAAATGTGGTCCTCTTAGGTAGAGAGAGAGTAAAAGTCTCAATGTGACAGTAATAAAGGACTTCTGAGCTCCACTTTTGAACAGTAAGCTTGGTAAGATTTAGCAGTTGGGTTGAAATAATGCCATCTTTGTTTGCTGCATCCAGAGCATGATTAATTGCTTGGCTGTAAAATCATTACAAAAGGTGTTCTCAGTGAGTGAAAAAGGAGAATTACAGCAACAAATCACATTTTAAAAAAAAGGTCTGATTTAAGAGAGCATTTAACCAGGCTTTGATAAATTCTGAAAAAACGACTGCTTAATCTGACAGGTAATTTATCAAAATAGTTTTTAATGAAAATTTTTTTTGATCAATTAATAGACTAATCACTGCAGCCACACTGAGAGGTACCATCAAAATAGATTAAATTTCAAGAAAGCCATTTGAGCAAACCGTCAAATTTCTGAAACAGCTGATTGTGACTCTTTTTAGGCTGAGTATGACGTAATTTATAACTTTAAAAGACCAAAACAGGCCCCGTTATAATTAGTGATGCACGATATGAAAAATTTCAACCGATACCGATAACCGATAAATTCATATTTTTACATTTATTATAATCTTCATATAATCTGCAGTTTGTGCAGGATGCAGCGATTGAAAACTGATGTTTTTGTTGCTCTGGCCCATCTAGAACAACAAACAAAAGTTTTTGGCTCTTCAAATGTGGTCATTTGCTATAAATAACAATAACAGAGCAAAAAGCAGAACTTCATTTGATCCCCTGAACTGTTCAACAGAACTGTAAACTGTAAAGGAGCCATTATGAGACGTTAGGCTTAGCATGCTGACCGGACTAACATCTGACGTCCATATGTCTGTGGTAAAACTCACGTGTAGTCCGTTCTTGTCGATCAGGTTGTGAATATATGTGGCGACAATATCATAGAGTGCAGGAAGAGACACATCCGAGAAGAAGCGGCGGCTTGGGAGAGTGTAACGTGGCTCCAAGTGTGCTATTAACTTGCGAAAACCCGGGTTCTCAACGACGGAAAAAGGCTGGTCGTCGACCGCTATGAACTCCATCACTTTGTCGTTAATGGCTTTAGCCTTTTCGCTGTCTCTTGAGAAGCTTTTGCAGTTTTTAAACGTCCGCTGAATGGGGACATCGATCTTCCGTAGTGTTGTTGTCTTAGCTTTAGTACCGCTAGCAGCTTCGGCGGCTGTCTCATATTCTTTTACTACCGCTTCGCCGCGATGGCGACTTTTCAGATGAGCTATCAGATTCGTTGTGTTAATACTTGACGTCTTCTTTCCTCCTCTCGGAATCCTCGCTGAACAGGTTTTGCATATAGCAGCTGTTGTCATCTTCTGCCACTGAGAGAAACGACCATGCTGGTGAAGACATTTTATCTGTCGGGTAGTGACGGGGTCAGGCTTGGGACCTGCGAGTAAGGCGCGATAGATGACGTAACCAGCGCGTCTCGGACGGGCGGCTACTCCGCCTGCAAACGTTACTCGTAATTTCATTAATATATCGGATCTTTCTATCGGAAAAATGCACCTATCGGACCGATAAAAAATGACGTAATTTCCCCCCAAATCGGCCGATATTTTATCGGTCCGATAAATATCGTGCATCCCTAGTTATAATATAAGCAACAAATCAAGTCCCCTATACAGAGTTTTGTCAAGTTCAGTCCTACCAGAGACTTTGGACTCTGAGCCCGGAGTGTGTTTAAAAGTTGCTGCAGAGACAGAGTCTCAGGGCTGGGCGACAAAACGATAGCGGTATATATAAAACATTAATTTCCCTCAATATCAATGTAAAACATTGTCAGTATGCTTTTCGATAGGCATTCTGCCATGTTATGGTAGACTGTACTAGTGCTGGGCGATATGGAAAAAAATATTTATCACGATATGGATCATTTTATATCACGATAACGATATATATCACGATATAGCTATGGTATGCTTTCAGTTCTATGAAAAATTTAAGTGTATACAGCTGCACTAGTACAGTACCAGTACAAGACCAGCACTTAAAACTAGAAAAATGAATAAATAAATACGTGGCTGAAGTGCGTTCATGTCTGTGCTCACCCAAAGTTATGCAACACTCACAGAAAACGCCGATAGTGTGAGCCAAAGCACTCCATAATAATAATAATAATAATAATAATAAATTTAATTTGTAATGCACTTTACATTTACAAGAAATCTCAAAGTGCTACAGTACACAGTAAAAAAAGAGCAGCAACAATAAAAAAGCAATAGAATGACAGTCACAGATTGGCATAAAAGAAGTATTAAAAAAAATAAAAAATATAGAGTTGCAATGTAAGAGGCAAGGTAGTAAAAGCATAAAGCATAGAGGAAAACTAACCAAAGGCTTTATGAAAAAGGTAGGTCTTTAGGGCTCTTTTGAAGAGGTTGTTCCCCCGCTAGATGTTTCTCCTCCAAAGCTGCTCTCTGCCTCCATCATTGTTTACTTTATTCTTGAAGCACGTAGCAAGACCCGAGCATGAATCCGAGCGCTTTATTCGCCTATCAGGGGCAGACAGGTAAGGTGATTTGATTCGCCACGACTCCAGAAATGATTGAAAAACTACAGAATGTCACAAAATTACGTTTCCTCGCTGCTGGCTTGAAGGGTAGAAATGCGCAGCCGCGCTCCCAGAGATGACTACAAAAATGGACGCACCTGTTCATCTGGTTGTTTAACGCGGCTGAAAATGATCATCTATTAATGTTGTTCCCGCTCCTGCCCACTCCCGTTGCCTTTTTTCCCCGTCCCGTCCCGATCAAGTGATTAATTAAAAAAATGACTCCCATCCCGTGGGATTCCCGCGGGAATCACGTGACCCACGGGAATTCCCGAAAAATGTCATCCTCTATAGGGAAGGTCCCGGCGCAGATGAAACAGGTGCCGGAGCGGCTGAAATAGGTCCCGGATCCGATCAAAAGAGGTCCCGGATCGTGCTCCGACTTGCTCCGGCACAAATGATCATAGACATAATAAAGGGTAGACCCCGCTGGGGGTGCTGCGCAGCGAGAAATGCGGCCGCCATCTTGGTCAGGTCAAGCTTCCCATACGCTCCGGTCAATCATATTCATTCATTCAGCGATGCCGGAGCACTGTGCGGCGTATTCCTGTGCCAACAGGCGGACAGCAGAGAACAGGGCTCAAGAAATAACTTTTCACAGTTATGATTAAACGTTTTTTAAACATTACACTTGACTGTAGAGTCATTTGTAGGCCAAAGAGGAAGACTATCGGTCAACTCCAAAAAGGAAACAGCATTTGCGAACAGCTAGCTTATTCACAATAATAGCAACTTTGGTCGATTATCAACAGATTTGCATTAGATTGAAAAACTTTTGTTTGAGAGAGGTTCTAAGAAACGTTAAGAAATAAAATAGAAAGAAAAAGGAAGAAAGTGAGCTCTGTTTTATTATCTGTTTTATTAAAGATTTCTTTGTGGTGATCTCCTGTCTCATTTTGAAGATTTCCTAAGGACAAAAACTTGAGGAAGAAGTGGGAGATTGCTGTTAGAGGGAGAAATTCGCAGCAAGTGATTCATCTGTGCTGTGTAGCCAACAAGCAAATTGATATGTAGTTTAGATGCTGTCCTGTCATGCTGTTCTTGTGTTTAAATCTTTTTGATATGTAGGCTATATATTTGTGTGTATTTTCCAGTTATTAAAATAGTGCTTCTATATGACATTATTTGTGTGTGTCTACAAATGGATAAATAAAATTAAACTATATAAAAAATTATAATCAAATCAATATATATTGAATTGGCCTATTAATACCGCCAGTTATTAATAATTATTGAGACATAGCAGGAACCTAGCTCTAAACCTAAATATATCCTTGATTAATTGTTATACTATAATACAGCCACTGCTGCCATGTTCTAAAATATCATTTTATTCATTCTGAGTATTTGAAAACGCCAAAAAAAAATATGGCCTCTATCATGCCTCTTTGAATGGCGTTTGCAGAGAAGAAAATTACGTAGTATTGAGCGAACTATGATTCATTAATGCGCTCAGACTTCATTCCGCCGGTTAAACAGCGGTGCAGAGTGAGGCGGATGACCGGACCAAGATGGCGGCCGCATTTCTCGACAGCGCCCATTCGTGGTAGCGGCCGATGCGGGGTCTATCTTTTATTATGTCTATGCAAATGATCCCCTCACTTGTGTAACCCAGGTAACCCGCAACGGCGGAAGACGCTGGACACGAAGAGGGCACGTAAAGCGGCGTCATGTCGCAAAATCGAAAGAGAAATGCAAGCCTACATCCTTTTCTTTGTAAGAAAATATTGTTTTCTTTCCCGTTCGACACCAAATACACTTACTGAATGTGCAATTATTGTTGTTGTTACTATGAATCATCTGATGGCACAAGCCCTATGGATAAAATACAGCCTATCGCCCGAAACGATAAAAATAAAAATGGCACGATAGACATTTTCTATCGTGCCCACGATATCTATCGTCCTATCGCCCAGCACTAGACTGTACTAATAGCCAATAAAAAGTCCAAATCCGCACCGCGCCGAACCAATCATGTGCTGAATTAGAACCAAGTAGCAAACAACTGTGTACTAGCAGGCTGCAGCTACGTACATGCAACCATAGCACTTTAACACGTGAATACGACAGCACTGTCGGTGAGAAAAATAAGAAAATGAGTGCTACCCCTGTCAGGAATGCAGTTGGAGGCTTAACCAATGATGAAATCATTGACCAGACTGGCACAAGCAAGTGCGGAGCAGTCCACGATGACTGTGTAGTCGAAACAGCTGCCCATTCAGTGCAACGCCTTTCGACATAATGTTGAAGAGACACAAAGACCTCAGATGCAGTAGCTTATTGTATTGCAAAAGACATGCTACCAATAAGCACTGTTAAATTCCATTTAAGAGTAACAGGAAAGAGTACCTATAAGTTGAATGTGTGAACGACTGATTAAAAACCCACTGTCTTTTGCTTTCTCCTCAGTGTGTCTACGTATCCAGATCAACCCACAGAACAAAGGAGATTTCCTGTCCATCTCTCCAGAGAGAGCCTTCGCCGACTTCCTATTCGCTCACACCGTCCTCCATCTGGTTGTGATGAACTTCATTGGTTGAAACAAACGTGCATCTGATTCAGTGTCCCACTTTCAGAAGGCAAGTGATTTTAAATTTAAAAATATAGCGAGACAAAATGTTGATGTCAGCACTAGGGATTGGGATCAATACCCGGGTCCATTTAAAACCTTGTTCTGCATTTTTCAAAACTCCAAAGTCATTGAGGTTTGAGTTTATTGAGCCTGCTATCGAGTCCCAAAGGTCCCATGAAGTAATGTTACACTTTGATTTCAGTCTGCCCTGTAAATGCAGATCAGCAGTGCGCACACATTTGTAGACTGGCTAATAAAGTTTATTAAAAATTTAAATTGGCTGCCGACACGTATTAAACCTCACAAAGAGGACTCTCTCAACGATGGCTGAACAAGTAAGGAGGTCCAATGTGGGGCTACATTTTACCAAAGCTGAAGACCGAGAGGAAATGATATGCAGTATACGGTGCAAAAAAATTCCTTTGTCGAGGTGAACCACAACCTCTTTCTAAACTATGAAGCCACTACAAAAGAAAGCTGTCTCAGAAAGGAAATATTAATATCATGCTTGAAATAAGCACACAGTAATACCCTAAGTTTATAGAAGTAGTTCTTTTTGCTAGCTGTCACATACTATGAATCGTAGAGAGGAATAAGAAGAAGCTGCTGTTAGCAAAGTAGCTGTAACAGCTGTCTGATGGATGATTTTGCATTTTTAAAAAATAATTTTTCGAGATTTGTTGTGAATCCAAAACCAACATCAGAGCTTGTACTTCTCACTAATCAACTGATCATTGAAACTCTTGAACTATTTAACTGTTCTTTAAAGGGTTTTCATTTACTCTAGCAATTTCTGATCTATCAGAAATACTTGAGAATAAAAGCATAGTTTTACTGTGCAGGAAATAAAGAAACCTACACACAAGGCCAAAATTTATCAAAATGAAAGAATGACAGACTTTTGTTGTATGAGGTCATGTTTTCGCCAAAGCAGTTCCAGTTATAGGACCAGGAAGGTTATTGCATTTATTTGTCAAGTTTATCAGGTAACATGTCTCTTCGCCTCTGGTCTTGACTGATTGTGCTGCTGCATTTTCATATTTTCCCCAAATGTTGCAGTTGCATCACAATCATCATGAGGTGAGAATCACACACTGTGACGGCTCTATTACAAAGGTATCAGAGAGATACCTTTCAAGTTTAGGCTTTAAGGTCCTTTCACAATGGGACCGTTCATGTCGTGCGATTATTTCGGACGTCAACTTCGTGTGTCCACTTCTGACCAATCAGATTGCGTGTTGTTGTGACGTCAGATTCACCGGTATATCCAACATGCCCGACTGACTGATTGTTTGCGTGTCGGAGAACAGCGTGCTTTTTGATAAAAAACACAAATATTACAAAGATAATGACCTGAAGGACAACTTGTCAGATCTCTCATATGACAACAGTTTGTGTGCTTTAACAGTTTGCTAAACGTCTTTGTTTTAACTTTCATCTGTGCTAAGTAACTTTAGCTTGTAAGCTAACCTGTTCAGATACAACATACCATATGTAGTTTCTATGTCTCAAACTCAATCGCGTTGCTGTCACAGCACCATTAGGTCTCGGTTGTTACCTTATGTTTATTGATTATAGTTTAATGTGCTTATCTGGTACTGGCCCCGACTCAGTAAATGCTATTTATAGTCCAGCAGAATAGTGTGCTACATGCTACAGACAGCCATCTCAACACAAGTGTCTAATCAGAACTGAAAAACAGTCAGTCTGGTGTTGTGTCAGTCTTCTCGCTTCCACCCGGGACGCATCTTTTCCCCCTCAGAAAGTCGCAAAATCGCATCAGGCTTGATGTGTATAGTCAGACACATCAAAATTCTCCTCCGAATATTTCGCATTCTATATTCGCGTCGGCCCCGGCGTGTAAGGACCTTTTAAGCAGAGATCCCGCTCTTTTAAACATCTATTTGACGTATCCAACATGCCATTTTTAAGTACTTTATCTTTCAGCCTTTTTTAATTGTGTCTAAAATATGATAGTTCAGAAGTTATTGCATGAATTCCTTCATTTTCAAGTTTATTTCAACTTTCCAGACATCCTTGAAAGAACTTAGATTAATCTCTCTTTAACATTCCTCAGTACTGACTGAAACATTATGTTTGCAATAATGTAAAAGCAGATATGTCAAGGATAATGCATTCTTCCCAATGTCAGTATGAAATAAAATGTGACTATTTCTTTCAAGGATAATGAGTGTTTATGGTGTCATCTCTCCATGGACAATAACCAGGGGAATTTCATGGACTTGAGGGAGGATTTAAGTGGGGTTTCTGTACAGAAACAACATTACTGTAATGTTTGTACTTATAAAACAAGAAAATACCACCGTCCTCTGGGTGCACTCACTCACATTAACTGTTCTTGCCAGTTCATTTCTTCGCTCTCGGTGGAGCAGCTCCAGATAGTTAATGTGATAAGATGCACTTCCTTCCTGCTTCTCCTGGGAGATCCACATCAAACCGAATATTGCTTATGCCTCACTAGAAAACAGAGTTATTGAATTTCAGACTTGCAGGCGGGTCAGAAGACAGTTCTGCGTCCTCTTGTTTCTCTTTTGTCTCTAAATGACGTCTTTAATAACCCACACATCTCCTCTGTTTCTCTCATAGATCACGACATTTGGAGTCACCAAACACCCCCCTAGACGTGATGCTACATGAGTCCATGTGCCACTGAGTCGCAGAGTCCTTCTGTCCCCCTAGAGCCCACCAAAATAGATGCATCTTGTCTCATATGATGCAGTACAATTTTCTTACTGAAGACCTTTTTTTTTTCTTTTTTTTATGTTTAAATTTGTAAAGCATTCCCTTTTGCACTGAAGCAAAGAATAAAGAAAACAATGAAACTCAGTTTTCTATCACAGTATTTCATTTTTACAGTGAAAACATTTTATGTGGTTTGTCTGAAGACACTCAAAGGATGTACCTAACCCTTTGAGTGTGTTTTTGAAATAATCAGGGCGGGAAATGGAATAATTGTAAGAGTTTATATTTTATATTTCAAGTGAAAAAGACAAAGCTAGTGAGGTCAACGGGTCCAAATTTTTCATTTTCAAAGCCTCTGGGAGAAAATTTACTTTCATATTGATTTTGGCAGCCACAGGAGGATAAGCAAGGTGTCTTATCTGTTGATCCTGATCATAGACTGTATAAACATCAGGGGTGTGATTCTTTGGTCCTCATGTATTCTGAATTTTAGTGAAGTTGTAGTGCAGATTGAAATAAGAACAATTTTCGATCTTCTCTAGCCCACAATGTAATAATATTTTCCTTTTCTAGTTCTGTAAGCTGATACTTTTGCCAAGCATGAACTCACCCTGTTAAAAATTTATATTGGTTATTTTAGCCATTTTTCTTTATCAGCAAACTGTCTTTAAAGCTCCTGTGACAGTGTTTTTTTTTTTTTTTTTTTTTTTTTTTTTTAATTGATGTCTTTTTATGATATCCAAAAGCAAATAAGACCATCATTGATAAGACAGACATGATTTATACTGTAATTATGAATGCTTTCAACTGGTGTAGAGGAGTAGGTGTCAGAAGAGTAGGAATATCAAGCTTTATTATTTATTTTCCACAAGAAATGTATTTATTTTATCTGAAATGCCAGCAGGACGATTGTTTTTCCTGTGAGAAAACGCTACAAAAAATGCAGAGGACAAGATCAGCAAAGACTGCTTTGTCCACAGGGGGGCGGTAAAGTTGACACAAACTGAAAGTTCCACACAGGAGCTTTAAAAGAACAATATGAAGTGAGATGCCAGCTAAGGGGAAAGCAAATGACAATGTATTAATAAGGACAGATTTCTGTTTTGATAAGCACTTAGATTGCTAGGACAGTAGCTTGTTTGAATGTCACTGAGGTGCAGATTTATCCACATGGAGAAAGCCTGTGCTGTTCAACTGAAGACTGGCACTTTTTACAAGAAGCATGACAACTCAGCATCTCCCTCTCGACTTCTGCAGAACCTAGAAAAATCACTTCTGTATGGCCTGTGCTTGATTATTAAGTATGTTTTTTCTTATATTTTAGCTTACAGAATGAAAGTAAAAGTTCCAAATGTATGATACAGATCTGTATGTCATTGTTACATTGTGTTGCATTAAGCAGAAAAAGACAATCTACAATCTAACAGTGAGAAAAAATTCCATTTATAAAAAACTTTGAATTGTCCATAGTTGGCGTGTGCTGCCTATAGAAATTCTGCAGTGCTGAAAAACAACTGTAGCAGGTATGAAATATTAGCAGGTTCCATACTGACATTTAAAGTGTTTTGAAGAAGACATCATTTCCCTGAACTTACTGCTAAACATCATTGAATTTATACTGAAGTGTGCAGTATAGCTGACCTCTCACCAAGCAAACATCCAACTTACAGATAAAAATTTCACAGATCAGTCTTGTCACCACAGAACAGACTTTCTTAATGTCCCTAGCTAGACACTTGTGATTATGTTAAGTACAATGGTTCTTGTGTTGGTAACTCTCCACTCAAAAAATCAACTTACTGCATTAGTCTTGCTTAAATTGGACTTTAAAAATACATGTTAACATATTAGCCTGACAGAAATCACACTAAATCAAACTTCTCATAGTCTGACTAACATACCCAGATATTATCTTCTATTTATATGCCTCAGTTGAGCTCAAACTAGCATAAGCAGTCAGAATGCACTTTTACAAGCCAGGCTTTGACATGGAAATTAAAAAGTATAAATATCTTGTAAGAAGCCAAGTAGTTATCTAAACTCAAACAGAAGAGGAGGAGATGTAAAAAAGACAAAACTGCGGTTTTGTTTGAACAAAGGTTACAAAACTGTTCAGCTGTCAGTTTTTGACATATAACCTGTGAGCCTTTAACTGATGCATTTGTCGATTGTTTTGATACATGACATTATACAGCAACCAAGTTGTAAGAAGCTGAAAGCGGGTACATCACCATCAATGGTAGTGGGGCAGACACTGTAGTTAATAAATTAATTCTCATCTCGTGTTTATGGACTGAGCAACACCTGAATTGCCAGATTGAGTTGTAATTGTAGCTTGTCTTAACTGCATCTGTACATAGTGAGTTCTCTTACCATTTCTCTTTTACAGAGTGCTGTGGGTGCTGCACAGGGTCAGAACTGTAGACTGTATGGACAACTTGGTTCCACCTTCTGTCATTATACAAATTTGAAGCTGAATTGCTCTTGGTATTTCCTGGATTTTTCTACTTCCTGGAACCAACACCTGCGCAGTATTGTTGTGCTCATTTCACCACTTGCGCAGTAGCATTGTACGCATTTGGCAGAAGAGTCGCTGTGATGTTGCTCTACTCAAACAGCGAATCCCCCAGGTGAGTGACACAATCTTCATACGCCCATAGGCTCTATCAAGCGTTAATCATAGAAAACATGAACCCCCTAATAACTTTTAAAAATGGAGTTGAACAGAAAAAAGAGGACTTGAGCACAAACCAGTCTTACAGTAACTACATTTCAACATTGCAACCGAGGGGAGAAAAAATAATATTTTGTGTAATTAATTTCTAAAGTTTGTCCACAGCTCCATTAAGTTTGCTGGAGGAGGTTGGATTTATAACCTATACTGCAGCCCGTCACCAGAGGGTGCTGTTCTCGCGGTGGCTTCACCCAACGAGGAGGCAGATGGCGTCCATTCTATATGGTCAGAATTCACAGCTCTGACAAAAAGTATGTTTGAAAAAAAGTTACTTTACTTTTCTAAGTTTGACCCATTTTCCATCTGTTATAAAGATCGAGTTAAACTTTGTGACCTACACTGCAGCCAGTCACCAGGGGGAGTGCTAAAAGATTTGGCATCACTCCAGGGCAACTGTTGTGCTGCTCATGCTTTTGTGCAGACAATCATCAAGATCTGTAAATGTGAGTATTGTGCTTTATTTTAAAAACTCATCCTGACGCATCATCAAGGTTATTTTTCATCTGTGTGTTAACTCAAGACTATTGCCCTGTTACTGAACTTGAAACTAAATTAAAAAAAACACCATAAACTCTTTAACTTGATTACATAATGTTGATTTCTAAATGTTCTATTTATAGCCTCAAATACAAGGCTTTTGATGCCAGAGTTTGGAGCAGCTGCGTGCCACATCTTACATAAGAAAAAAATAAGAGTTGTCAAAGGTTGACGGTAAAAAAAAATAAGACTCAGAAAAACTTGCCAGAAAAGAACTCCATCCCATGAAAAACTTGTTTTCAATGCCAAAGATTGCATCATTTTTTAAAAGTTAGCAGAACTGAGCCTAGAGTAAATTCCTGAGCCAATAAGAGGGAGTGTGTGGGGTTCAATTTAAGCAGCAGGCCTCCTGCCTATCATGTAAAGAGGGAGGAAAGCAGGAACATTACACCCCGGAGCAATGGGAGGCTTTGCTTCTATTACTTGTTCTGAAATAACTGATAGAGTCAAACACAGTCCGGCTCGATCGCTTTAAACTGCACAGAGCCGTGGGGTGTGAATGTGTGGGCCAGTCTGAACAGGATATGAAACTGTCTTGCATACAGAAATCGAAAACAGGCTAAATCACATTGGCACCCCAGGTCTCGCCTGTAAAGGTCAGATATAAATCTCTTCCTGTGCTGATTTAATAGCAGACAAAGAGGTAGTCCATCTACCTACCTCTACATATTAAGTGAATAACGTTAGCAGCAGCACTTTGGAGAGAGGAGAAAGACTAAAGTAGTGAGGATGGGGATTCTGGGAACTGAAGGACCAGATAAGAACATAATTGACCTGAGAGAGTTTAAATAAGGAGTCTGGGTACCACATTTAAAGGAGCAGGCTGAGGCCTCTGATACTGTTATTATACCACTCATTACATGGCGTGTTCAGGAAAACAGTTAGTCAAGATAACCGGAGACTTTTTCTGTTACTGAAGGGAGTCCTTAAGTGTAAGAGCAGCAGAAATACCACTCTGTGTTTATACTCTATTAAAAGTATAAGGTTTTCAGAGTCAAACTGGTTGCTATTATCAGCATCTAACTGTGTGTTATGAGTCTGTAAGGGGAGTGGGGGCACACATTATAAAGAGTGGGATGATAGTGGGATAACATCAACAGCCTTAGCATTAAGAGGTTACCACATACAGACAATAAAGGTTTCCAGAAGAGGGCAAAAGAATGAAAAAATAACAGAAGGAAAAGGTAGACAACATTAGATCAGAATAAAAACATAAAAACAATAAGGGGGAAGTGAGAAACAAATAAACCAACCAATGATAAAATAAATAAATAAATAAGTAAATAAATGGAATAAACGTGATCAAAAACAGGATCAAATGAGGACATGAAAACAAGTGGTTTTAACACAAACATTAATGTATAAGAATTTTAAAATGAAATAAATGAATGAAGTTGAAATTGTAAAGTGGTTAAAAAAGTGAAATCCCATTGAAACAAGTCTGTAAAAGTGAATTTTGAGAAAAGATTAAAAAGATGTCACTGATTTTGCACAACTTATTACTTTAGGGAGATCATTCTAAAGTCAAGGGTTCATAATAGAAAAAGTCTGATCCCCTTTAGATTTTTAACTTTGGAGTGACCGGCAGGACACCACTTGAGGAGCTCAGGCTGTGAGGTGTAATGTCATAAGGCCAAAGCTGAATATTAGCAAAATTAAATTGAGCACAAATGAGCGTTGACAGGGAGCAAAAGTCAAGCTCAGCCCACAGGATCAGCTCATCTTAATGCCAGTATAACATTCCCACCATCCTAATGTCAAAATTAACATCCATTTAAACTGTCTCACATTCATAGATTTACTGAAAGTCCAAAAAGCTTGGGTCCCATGTCTCATTTATGATGTCGAACCATCCTTTAAATTGTTTTCATCTGATCCAGTAACTTTTGGTCTACAGGAAGTAGCTCATACTTAAAAATAAAAGCATAGTCTTACCATGTGGGAAACAAAACAACCTACATATAAGACAAAAAAAAATATCAAAGTGAAATCATGACAATCATTTATGAGATAATGTACAGTATTTTCCAAAGCAGTTTCAGTCACAGGACTGTGAAGATGTGGATCAATCATAAATTTGAAAATCATAAGAAATAGATGATGGCATTACAGTTAATATTGTTCATTGGTAAAGTTTATGGAGTGATGTATCGAATTGCCCCTGACTTGCCTTTCCTCAGTTTGAGTGATTGTTTTGTTTTATATTCAAGTTTTCCAACATATTCTAATAATATCATCAATGTGATATATTTTAAACAAATAGTGAGATGAACATTTGATACTGTGACTGTCCTATCCTGCACAAAGTATGATGAAAAATTATGATGGGCTGACGCTGCAGTTTCTAACTCTTACTGCTGCCATTATAAGATTTTAATCTCTGTTGTTGTCAAATTGGGGTTCACAAATGTTCATACTATTTGTTTTTTTATTAAGGAATATAAAAATAGATCTTATTTAGCTGTTTATTTATGTGTGTAATTTTCAAAAATTGAATAAGAAGTACTAATTTAAGCTGCAAAGTAAACAAAGCTTTACAAAAGAGCATTATTATTTCCTTTATCATGAGTAAACATCAAGTAAACAAATTTTTAAGTAGGGTACAATAGCTACATACACATATTTCTTGCAGCTGTTTCAGTTTTTCACCCTTACTTCACCTGGAAAATTTCCTGCCAGCCCCCTGGTATCATTTCAGGGTGGAGAGCCGGTGAGATTATGTGAAAGCGCAGCAGCAAATCTTCTGGATAATTCATGGCTAGAAGCGACGAGGAAAGCGGGCAGGCAGGCGGGGGGCTGATGTTTCTCGTGCAGCTGCTGCTCTGTGTTATTTTGCTACTTGGTTGAAAAAGATTGCCGTAGGGTCAGGCCATTTATTGATGTTTTTGGGTCAGAAACAGGAAGATTTTTGCTGTAGGAATAGGCAGCATGTTTTTGTTCATTAAAATGAAACTTTTATTTAAGAATGGAGGAGAAGTGTTTGTCAGTGGACCAGTATTCCCTATTGAATAATAGTCCAGAATCACTTTATATCACACCACTTGTATTGTCAGAGGTAGAAGGATGTGTTTTGGTCCTCCATGACACCATCCATCATTAAGATTTACAGAGACGCTGACCTCCATAGTCTGATGTCCTCTATCAACAATATTCCCATACATGTGCAGAGCTGCTTAGTGCATCTCGATAGGATGCACTATTCCCTAGAACACTGAATCCTGCAGAATGGCATGTAACAGGATAAAAATGATGTGAGAGGTCATGAGATGACCTTCATTTCACTTTTTTGTCGATATCTGCAAAACCCTAGTGATAAAAATCAAGATCAAGAGGCATTATGGCACCATTTTACTTATGACCTACAATGCAAAGTCAGTGTGTAACCGCTTAGCAAGCGTGGAGGCATCTTCAAGTAATAGCTTTCAAAAGAGTGTGGGTTGTCATGGTTTAGAAACTGTATTTCCTCCATGTGAGACTTCTGCAAGTCCATCCTGTTACTCTTAACTGTCTAACAAACAGAGTAGCTTCACAAAGTTGTGTGGAAAATCAGGATACTGGAATTTGTCATGGATCTGTTCTGGCTTAACATGATCAGTCCAGATGACATTAAGTTTCATTTCTCCTGTCCCTCCGACTGTTAGTTTCCTTTCTAAGCTCTGCCTCTATTTTCCAGGAAATGGATGACCATAAAAGGCTTTGGAGCTGGAGCAAAAACCCAAGCAGCTTCAGGGACATCCTGACACCCTTCACAGAGCAAATTGAGAGGCTTGGAATAATTGTTTGTTAATTCAGTGGCTGTGGGGGCAGCGTGTTGGAGCTTAATCCAACAAATGAAGACTGGACTAAATCCAAGTTTTCAGGCACCCAAATCAAATCATTTTATTGTAGCCTGCCAAATCATTTCTGCATTCATGGAGGGAATAAGGCACTTAGCATTTGGCTGCTTGGGAGAATGGGTTATCAAAAAGACAGCTAGCACTTAGGCTGCATAATAAAAGCAGCAGATGTAAAACTAACAATTATTCTTCAAAGGCCAACACCTTGGTTAAAAGATAAGTTTGAACTTTGATAAATAAATTTGCTTTTTTTTTCTCGCTGTAAATGCAGAAAACCATTGTTATATCTGTAGGCTAAATATGAAGCTACTGCTGGGAGACAATAAGCATAGCATGGCAAACCCTCTTTCTTGTGTTGTTTTTTTAAAGTGTTGAACTTTTTTAGATGGATACTTTGCCCTGAGCTAAACCAGCTGTTTACCTGAATCTGCAGTCTCCGTGCCAATGTAAGCAAACCAGCCGGTGGGGGTCATCCCTATTTTCCAGACTCATTTGCACTTAGAGGGCTACTAGATGCACTTTGAACAAAAGAAATCTGTTCAGCCTCTGTGTCAGTGACTTCAATCGGTCAGAAATTAGATGGCATCATCTTGATAAGCATACACCCTAACAGGTGGGCACAATGAACACAGAGACCCAGAGAGTCACCTAAAATGCAATGAACTTTAATTTTATCATGCACTAATCAGACAATATTAGATTGTGTAGGACATTATAGCATCAAGACTACCCTTTGTGTGATATTCACACATTACTCACAGTAAAACTTCCTTATCTGGTCCCAGGACACGGGATCATATAAGTCATATGAATTATTTTTTATGAACCAAGCATTCAGTAACATTAATCATAGTCAGTGAGTATTAGATCTGACTCTTTTACCAGCCAAAAGTATATGTTGGAACAAATAATCAGAAATCAGGAATTAAATGTTGTATGCATAGCACTCCAAGATTAAGTCTGTATCTCTTTTTTTTAATTTGCAATGTTATTTTTAAAATAGTTTTGACTGGCCATTGAGCCTCTTTTTCTTAGTTATCTGCGTTTTTTCAAAGTTGCCTCTGAACGTCACACGGCTGGCCAAAGTCATCCTGTAAGCCAAGGAGCATCCAAAGGATCCTAAAGGTGCTGCTGCTGCATTTAGGCCTGTATGATGTTACTCCTGGCTCATCTAACAGCTGACTTCAGTCCTCTGCTGAGCTGAACCTGTCAAACCACCAGTAGCTATCCTGGACCTTCTGAGAACCTGCTCCATCCTCTCTAAGGACCACTCTCACTTAAGTATACAAGTAATAGAGTAACCCTAAATAAATCCAAATTCATTTACTGTTAATTAAGATCGCTAATATAATCCAGAACCTCTCTTCCCTCCTCTGAGTGTCTTTTTTTTTTTTTTTTTTTTTTTTATGTAAATGAAATTGTCAGACCCTTCCTCCCAGAGTCTCTGGGCCATTGAAAAGTACCAGCACCTGAGCAAAAGCTGTTCAAGTAGTCGATTTCTTACCCTGGAACTAAAGTTGGACCCAGATTCTGTGGTCAAAATGCACAGGGTTTCTCCAAAGGTCCCTAGTTCTTGTAGTGAAAAAGCGCCTTTAGTCTAAAAAAGTAATTGGAAAAGGTTTAAATGATAATTTCATACCTATGGCAACCTTTCTTTACTGAACACAAACTTACAGATAGACAAAAAGCATAGCTGGAACTGAAACAGCTGGTGACTTCCATGCATCACATCCAGAGGAAGTAGAGTAGGAACACACAGAACCAGGGGGGCTGTGAACCCAGCAAACAGAGCCAATCAGAACATGCCTATAATGTCAAGCTGTTCCAGATGGCCTAGTTAAATTTTAAACTGTCCAAGAATGTAAACACCGCCACTGGGAGTAACAAAGAAAACAAAAGTTGTTATTAAATGGTATCACGTTACAACTGTATGTTTGCTGCTTTGTTCACAAGTTGTCATGCATTCTGCCTTCATGTTGGTGAATTCAGCAACACAAAAACAGAGCAAAAATCATTCCAGAAAAACTTTATTAGACATCTGGCACCCACATGGTTAAAAACTAGAAAATCTGAATCCAGTTTTTGGTCACATGACAGAGGGAAAACTTTGTGTGTGGAAACTGGAGTCCATTAACAGAAGAGAGTGGATTCACAGTGAAACATGCCGCAGCTCTGCAGAGGTGCCCTCAGCCTGTTATTATGGATCCCAGGTAATGTCTCTGCATACTGAGGTCATAGGATTATAACATTCGTATAAACAGGTGTTTATTTTAGAGAGACAGTCTTCCTAGGATGATTATGTGTGCTTTGCAGCCCCCCACTTTGCTGTTTTGCTTTTAGCAAATCCTTCTGCTGTAATGTGAAACTTTTCTTGTGTTAAACCTCTCATTATTAATTTATTTCAAAGTTTTGTGTGTACATTATTTGTTGTAAACCGACTTGAAAAGCTGTTAGAGCAACCCTTTTTGTCTGGGAGCGGTGGAGGGCTATTGTGTTTTTTTCTAAATAATCTTTTAAGCCTCTGTACTCTTTGCACCATTGGCAAGAGTTGGTTTGATGTTTATTTTTCTGTTCTCTGAAGGCCTGATTCATTTTTCGACCCTAAATCTCTTTTATAGCGGGATAATCCAATTTTGGAACGAGGGGCGCAGGGTGGGAAGTGGGGAGAGACGGTTTTGCTAGACAGGAAACTGAAATCATAAATGTGTTCACACTAAGTCCTCTTCACTCTCTCTCAGCCTTCCTGTGCGCTGTGACCACAGAGGGGGAGTATTCAGTCCTGGAGGGTCAAACTGTTGTGATCCCCTGCCATTACGAGCCTCAGTATGAACACTATGTCAAATACTGGTGTCGGGGTACGACAAGGGAGTTCTGCACCAGTTTGGCTCGAACAGATGACCTCAGTACAACTAAGGAGAGAGTGAGCATTTCTGACGACCTGGACCAGCTGGTGTTCACTGTGACCATGAAAAATGTGAAGAAGGCAGACAATGGGTGGTACATATGTGGCGTGGAGATAGGAAGCATATGGAGTGCTGATGTTGTCACTTTTTCTAATGTCAGGGTCCTTGATGGTGAGTAATGGACTGACTTGGCACCATCACACTAGAGTATATTATGGAGGAAAAGATGTCTGAGAATTTCAAGTGCAAGCTCTGAGAATTGTTGTATTCATTTCCTGCAGGTATGACAGTGGTAAACAGTCAAGTGACAGGGGAAGAAGGGAAAAGTGTCAAAGTTGAATGTTTATACAGCGAGAAATACAGGTATTTGAAAATGTACACCTCACAGCTGAACCACCAGAATCCTTTTACTTACAATCAGACCATGAATATTCTTCTCTGGTAGAAGACAGAGCTTATTTAGCATGAGTAAACCCAGGAGCAATAATTTATTTGTTTAAAATCTTCAACTCAAGCCAAACTGTGATCGACAGTCAGCCTGCACTGACTCCCTTGTGATTGCTTGCCAACAGAGAAAGCAGAAAGAAGTGGTGTCGGAGTGGAGACTGGAGCTCCTGTCTGCTGATAGATGCTGGGGGGAGCTACGAAGATGCTTCAGTGGCCATCAGTGATGACAGAACTAGGACTTACACTGTAACCCTAAAGAAGCTGCGGCTGAAAGATACCGGCTGGTACACGTGCTCTGCAGGAAAACACAAGATGTCCGTGCAAGTGCTTGTCACACCTCGACCTGCAGATAGTAGGTTGACAAACAACCCTTATACATCTTTACACAAACCCTTACAAATTATCTTTCCATATCAGATTTCCTCAATTTTTTTTACTTTGTGCTATATGTTTTAGAGTGTTTACATAGGGCCTGCAACCTTTTGTCTTTGGTTCTGGGAGACAAATCACATTCACTTCCATTATAGCTTTAGCACTGAAAGAAGCAGACTGTAATACTAATGAACAAAAACATTAACAGCAAATAGCTTTAGAGGCCATATTTAATTATTTAAAATGCATATTCTAAAATTTTGACCACATTTTGCTAGTTAAGCGGCACACAATCTGGGTGCTAGGTGAGGTGCAGGGTGCAAAGAGGTTGGATAAACCCTTGTTTGGTCAAATGTAGATCCTGGGTGCAACACTAATTAAAACCAATCAGTGTGTCCGGAAGAGCCAGGAGCAGGAGAAGCCGGGATGTTGCTATATATACACAGCAGATTTCAGCCTACACGTATATACACAGAGCCTGAGCTTGCACTTCTAACTTTCTCCTTCTGTGCTCCTTTAAAAATGCAGATCACTCACAGATCATTGTAAGACTCATTTTGATGCACGGATTGGTGTTATTCCACTGAAACAACACCTTAGCACAGCAGAAACAATCAGGGGTCACTTGTTAAGTGACCTACATGTTTATTTAAGGATGAGGCACAGCAGATGAACTTCACAGAATATTCAAACTCAGTACACTGTATCTGACCGTATTGGACAGAATGATGACTATCATCCTTAGCACTTAACACCACAGGAATGTGTGCTGCTCTCTACTTACTTTTGCCATTGGATCACAAAGTTGTATTCTGTATGGCATGCACAATGAACTGTTCAGTCCTAATTCTGTATGCACTGGGGTGAGTCCCACCAACAGTTGGCTTTGTTGATTAATGTCCATGAGTTTGAGAGAGTGTGCATGAGATAAGCGCTTGATCACATCCTTTTTGGCCCAGATGAATCAGGTGTATGAAGACATTGCACAGACAGTGTCCTCCATCTCTAGACCAGCCTAATACAGTTTCATGTTATATGGAGATCAGGAAAAAAAATCAATCAAGTCCTTAATGAAGAAATTTCACTGTATCAGCGGAAAGACAAATATTCCCTTATAAGTGGGGGGGCTGTCATGTTGTAGAAATGTACCTCACCACTGCCTTAGGATTTTTTGCTGATAAACAAGCAACAAAAAGGATTACACAAAGCTAAAGGGTCTCAAAGTTGAAAAACATTGCTAAGTATCTGGCTAATAACAGACACCTTAATGATAACATTTAAGCTAACATTTTGTAAGCAGTTAATTTACTTCTAAGAGTATTGAGTGATTATACCTCCCAGTTTGGTTATATTAGCTTTATTCACTTCCCAGCTGGCAGCAGTTGTCGTTATGCTCAAGAGAATTTGTATTGGTACATATTTTTGGTGGTAAAAACTTGTCAGATCATACTTATTATGCATCTCAAAGGAAACCAGACATCCTCTGAATTTTCACTGTACATATTTTAGTGTCTCAAGTAAAAATCAATGTAAAAGTGTTTTAATGAGAAAGTTTTTCCAAGGTTTCCTTAACCCTGTACATCCTTTTACCATAAACACAGTGGTAGGACATTCATCAGCAGCATCTCAGCCTTGCAACCTGAGTGTTATGTGAATGTGAAATGGAATACAATAATAACCTCCAATAACGTGAGAAGGAAGTAGTAAATGAGTAAAAGAATTAGGACACAGGCTTTGTTACATTACCACAGTATCAGAGTTCATTCACTGGTCATTACTACACTCTTTAAAATACCTGTTTTTTATTAGCCACAGGCATTTCAAAGCTGGTAAAAATCTCTGTTTTACTGACAGTATCTCTCATAAGCCTTTTCAAGCTTGAGTAAAATGGAGGGACTTTTCAGACATGATTAGATGGTGACCTGACATGCCAATTCAAACGCCAGTCTGCTATTGAGAACCAGTTAATCCAGGCATTGTGGGTGAAATGAGGCCAAATTCTACCCTTTTGCCACATCACTCAGCTGTATTGAGAGGTAGCCAAGTGCAGCTTAGAGATCAATAAGTGTTTGTGACAGATGGCAGAAGCTCTTTCAGCTTTCAAAGCTATACAAGGTATTGATTATTGTGTGGCACTTATCAAGAATATTGATGTTATGAACTCTGTGTGCTCTGCTGCTAGCACTATTTTGCTTTGACTTCTACTTTTTTACCTTTGTGTAAAATGTCTTTATCTTCTGCAGCAGCAGTAGTGACATCCACAGCTTCACCAAGTCAGTGTAACATCTACTTGCCTCCCAAACTCGCCACTAAGGAGTCAAGTCAACGGTAAGACTGAAGCACCTCTACAGTGTGGAATTAAAACTGCTGTTTATAGGATGCAGAGCATGATATTGATCTTTTTATTTAAATGTTCATCTGCTCCTCTGAAGCCCTTTAAGAAAAGTGATTAAGAAACCTTTCATAAAAACACATCATCCCGCTCTTCACATAGTCCACATTTTAACTCTCCATGTTTAATGGGATAGCTTCAAAGTCCCTGGGAAACCAAACCACCAAAGCCTTCTTTATATTTCTGTGAAATATGAGGTCTCATAAATAAAACTAAACCTTTTAAAAGCATTAAAAGTTGGCATAATTCAGTTATAAAAAATTGCTGTACAAGTTTCTATAAATGTTCTTGCTAATGCACTTGGATTGGACTTGGTCCCTGTAGGCCAGCCAACATGGTACAGAAAAAAAAGGGGGCAGACTGAAAAACTTTCAGATATGTGGATTAAATTTATTTTGGGTGAAGTCGAGTCAAGAAAAAAGAAAGTATTTCCATGCCATAGTCCTGTCTTCAACAGGCGTGGGCCCCGAGCCGATCTGGTACCTACACCAGTGTGCTCTGCAACAGTCTGAGTTGCTGTGTGGGCTTCATTGTAAGCCAGCTTCCATTGTGAGCAGTATGTCAGTGGGACTGTAAGGTTTGTCCTCAGTGGGTATCCCCTATTTTTAATGGATACATGGCTTGGACTCCATAAATAAAACATGTGTTTGGAGCCCATATGTGCTGAGTCAAGAAAAACAGACAAATGCAAATCTATGAGTATTGATTACAATCTGTGCATATGGTTTGTGAAAGCAGGCACATGGGTTTGCAAGTGGCTATTGTTTTTGTCTTGACCTGGCACTGTACATGTGAATCAATGTTCATTTCCCTCTGTGGACCGTTCACACACAAATTCCCTCTGCTAACGTTCAAATGAGACCCAATATTTATAGCATGGTAAAAGTTGCTGTGGAAAAGCTGAGGGTTTTATGTTTGGATGTTTACAACTGTGGGTCAGTTGCAGACAGCTGGGGGTGTTAAGTTTCAACTTTGTTTCTTTTTTTTTTTTTTTTCTGCTGCTGGAGCTCAGCGAAACTACTAATGATCTATTTTTCAGCAGAACAGGGACTTTAACTCTAAAACAATATCAAACATCTGGTGCCTTTATTGTTCCTAAGCCTTATGTGCTTTATCAGCCATGTTAAAATAAGCACAGAATATATCATATCTACTGTATATTATATGTTAGGTTTCTGTTACATTAGTGGTCATACTGCATAAGGAGCCTGTGTTCTGTGTGGTTGTGCAGTTCATGATGTTGTGATTGCATGCTCTGGTGTGGGCTTGAAAAGTCCAGTTTCTCTGAAGTTAAAACTGTTCACAGACTGTATGAATGTCTATGCTGCTATTTCAGGATCATAATTAGCTTGTTTACCAGGTATGAATGAGCATCCTGGATGTTTGTCTCCAGATTTTTATTTCTCATTTCTCTCAGTGTACAAAGGTCACACACACATTTCAATATTAGACTGTTATATAAAGATGTAAATGCATGCATGATTTGATAGAAATGCAAAGCTGGAGATATAACAGTGGTTTTTAACAGGTGCAAAAGTGCATGTGCAACAGATAAGAAAGATGAAGATTTAAAAAAAAAAACATTAAAAAAAACTTTTCTCCTGGATATAAACATGTAACTTCTTGTTTAGCCCAAGCTAATACTACACAGCTATCTCCTTGTATTTATAGTCTTGAGAACAAATGGGGTCACCTAAGCTGACTCATATGCTAACTGCTTGCTGTGATATGTATACTACGGCATGTTGATACTCACCATTTAGTGACCAACAAAACTAAAAATAATTCAGAAAATGAAGCTTCTGGTTCTTCCTCTGAATTTGCATTTTAGACAGGCATGTCTTAACATTTTGTCAGGGGTGGCACTGGCCCATCTTGAAATTTGGTCAGCTACCTCAAGATCCTATTCTTTGATTTGTTTATTTGTCTTGGGACGTCTTTACAAGGTGGAAGTGTTTTCTTCCTTTTTTTTTTTTATTAGATGTTGCACATTTTTTTTTTGTTAGTGTCATCAAATGTGATTTTGGACAAAAATCTGCCTCTTAAGTTGTTCAAGAATTGGGCTTAAAATATCCATGTGTTGCCATTCTGTTGTTTTTCTTCTGAAAGCAAAATTTTAAACACAGGATTATAACAACTGTATGATGTTTGATAGTAGCTGTTTGGGTAGATGGCGAAGACAAAGAGCATTAATGCTACTAATTTGAGTGTGCACTCAGTGGAAACTCTCTGAAATATTAGGCCAATAGCCCTGACTGACAGGCAGGTAGATCGTAGCTGTAGGTAAAGAAGCTAAAGGCCCATCTAACTCCACCCTTGCCTCTTGTCAAGTCGACCAAAAGTTAGGTTGAGCCACCTCTTCAGAAACCAGTGGTTTAAGTCTTAGACTACATCAATGTACCTACAGTCTATGATGTACACACATACCACAGCCAAAGTCTGGACACCTTCCTCTCTCCTTATCAGACAACTAAAACATAAGGTTTAGAGTTGAACTGCAATGATTGCAGCACAAACCTTTACTCTAAAGATGTTTGTTCAAGTGATAATTATAGTGAACAGGTGGCTTCATGTTAGGATCATGTTTTATGTGTCAGTATTTAATTTGCATTTGCTCCCATTCAGTATCCATCATCCTGTTTATTTCTTGGTTCTTAATCAAATACAAGGCGAGATGGTCTCTAATTCCACATCTGGCAATGGATTCTTTCCAGCCTTGTGAAACAAATTAACATTAGACTGGACATTTTTTATTCCTGGTCAAGTTAAAATATAAGCCAGCTATTTTATTAAATAATTTACATTAAACAGGACCTTTCAGTTTAAAGTAATATTAGACAATGTAAACAGGACTTAGAGAGGAAACTTATGCTGATATTTCTGTCCTCCTTCAGCTCTCCTTTTTTTAAAAGCCTTGCAGTTGCACCTTTAAACTTTAATGAGGCAAAAGCCACAGTTATGCGTTGTTGCTACCACGAGAAGTGGTGATCATAGCAACAACATGATCGGGGTGATCATGTGGGATTCTTTGTAGCGATCAAAGGCGTAGAAATGCTTTCACCGGCTTTGATGCTCTTGCCTGGATTGCAGGGTAGGATGTTGCTGTACTTATCCTGGGTCTAGGCCTCAGTAGCTCCTCAGGCTGCTTTCATATCTACGCCCACAAACTGTCACCTCTTGATTATCAGGACCAGCCTGAGATGGACACTTAATGTTCATCTGAGATCAGTCTATTATCACAATCATGCTGTTCCTGTAAATAGCCCAGATACAATGATGGCACTCTTAACCATGATATTCTGTATACATTTGTATGACTCAAAGCCAAGTTTACCCAGACTTAAATACTGTTCATCATGTGGATGGACGAGCTGTCATGATATTCCCTCAGGTTCAGCTCTTGGATAATGATCCAATTTACCAAAGTTCTGTCTGTCCCCCTGTCTCCATTATAGCAGTCGTGTCACTGCATAAAAGCAGTTGCAGTGCAAACCTATTCTTTCTGTTCAGTCCTCTCTCTGTCTCTGTCTATGTTGCAAGTCACCACCTGGAGTCCTGGCTGGTGTGCTCTGCTGTGGTGCTCCTTCTCGGGATAGCCATATTTGGGAGGAAAATGTGGAAAGTGCGCAGTAAGAAAACCCTTTTTTCCTTACATTTTTGGATATTAAATCTGGTCAGGACATTACCTCAGACCTCCTCTCTGGATCTATGAGGCATGTCACATATATTTTACACATTAGGTTAAGACATCTGCATCATTATCTGTGGCTCATAGATCCTTTCTATCGTTATATAGAGCAACAATCTGTGCAGGGACACCCGCAGGACATCAAGTCAAAGTTAAATGTAGGTTCTTTTTAAATTATCTTTCTTCATTTCTTTGAGTCCTTTAAATTTAACATAATTATGCATCTGGTTTTAGCATGCTTAATTTTCTTTTGTGTCTCTCTCAGAAATGTCCAACGCCGGATACAAGTGACCCGCAAGACACCACAGTCGTTTTCCTAACCAGGGATCACAAGAGGGACGACGCATTTCTTTACTGAGTTTACTCAGTTGGGTGTTAATTGATACTCTTTTTGATCGAATGTTATTTTTGTGTCAGGTATTGCATGTGACAGATACTCTACAGTATAACCAGTGCCTTTTGTATCATACATACTACCATATTTAAATTGTTTATAATGTCTCCTGCTTGCTGCTTTCAATATGTGAAAGATACAGACTGGATCTTAACAGGAAGCACTGTTGCTTCTTTCTGACAAAATCCAGACACGTAGTTCATCTTCTACATGTCTGATTGAGCTCTGTAAACAACTCTACAGACGCTGTAGTCCTACTGGATTAAAGAATTTGGGGATTTTAACTAATGGGTGGAGTTTACGGTCAAAAGGTAAGGTGAATGTTTCACTTGAACACATTATTTTGAAATAAATACATACATAAATCTCTATTTCTCCACTTGTATTATTTATGATGGAAAAGAAATGATAATTTGCAGGTCTGAAATCTGAAATCAGTATTTGCTGTACAAATGGGCTTTTTAAAAATGGGTCTGGATGTGCTTTTGCAGCCAGCCTAAAGTGAACTCTCAAAGAACTATAGTTTTTAGCGCCTCAGCACTGGCTTCATTTCTCAAGGTTGGACACTTACACTTGATTCAGTGACAAGGGCCGATACATGTAACTACCTGTTTACATTCACATGCAGTCTTATTGAACAGCAGTTTCTTTTAGGATGCCACAAATCTTTAATTTTGCTTCAAACTATTTTATGCTAAATTAAAAAAAGAACAGAACAGCATGTTGAACAAAGTGGAAAATAGTAATTAACTCAATCATTAACAACATCTTTCCAAGATACACCAAGGAAACTAATTAAGTTACTAAAGTAGACACACTTAGACCTTTTGGTCCGAACCGTTAGTAACAGTAATGTAAGCAACTTGAGAAGCCTGGTCACATGAGTCCCAGTACATGACTGGAGCTCCCAGTAAACGAATAAGAACATATAATTCTGTGAAAACAAAGCAGTTCATAAAGTCACATGACAATTCAAGGTCAAGTTTCAAAATGTACAAAGTAAGGACTCTTTAGATCACAAGGTTTGGCACTTCTCTGTAATTGGACCAGGCTTCTGTTCCTTTATTTCTAGAGTGGATTTCATGTCTGCATTTCTAGGACCCTAGATTTTTGAAACAGTGCCACCTAGCGGTTGGATGTCAATGAAAGAAAACCAATCAAGCTGTTTTTTTTTTCTATTTCTTTTTTTTTTATAGCCATAATGTTCTCTCTTTCCTTATACTATATCAAAAGCTTCTTTCAAGTCTTACTATTTTCAGAGGTTAATTTTAATTCAATTAAAAGTTTCTGATCAATTAAAGTAATCTGAACCATCTTTTTGACATCTTAGTGATTCACGCTATGTTGCATTTCATTGGAAGATGTGTTGAGTACTTATTTCTCAGTGAAATGTTTTATTCTCCTGTAAATTGTCCTGGCTTTACAGATGTGCTTTATATAATGTTTTCTCTAAAATGCTGTTGTGTTTGTGAAAGGTTTTGAACATTTCAGGTCTTGTAATCTTCAGTGCCACAGTAAAGGTGCCAGCTCTGTCCACGTGGAGCCTTTTCACTGAAATCATGTTGTAGCTGCAGCCAAAAGCATCGTTATGAAAGTCCCATCCAACCAAAGCACTTAGGCTGTGAGCTACAAAACCAGGTTTGTAAAGCTGAAAGTGCAGCGTTTGATGTGAAATTTGTTTTTTTCTCTGCTGCTCCATTTTCATTAACTATGCAGAAAACATCATTTGAGCACTAAAGCAATAAAGAAGATATCCAAAGAACAGAATATGAAAACCTTCTGAGACTTTCCCTTAGCTATCTCTGTGGTTGTATGGAGGATACTCAACCTCAGTATAACTGATATCCTGGATTGGGCCCTGTCAAATTACACTAAGTTATGAGATGTAGTCAATGCATTTGAGCATTAAACATGTCTACATACTGTACAGCTATGGTTGTCATATAAACTGACTATCCATTTTGTACTAATAACATTTGGCACTGATAAAGAAGAATTTGGACAAGAAGTAAGAATTGTTATCTGCTCCAAACTCCTGTTTGTTTCCTTGGTTTGAATATATAATTAGAAAGACAGCAAGTCTTATCTGCATGGGAAGCCCGTGGGACTGGCAGAGATGCATTTCCTTTATTCTTTACTATCTAAATAGGGCTGGATGCCAGTATTTATGTCATAACTAGTTAATGAAGCCACTAATTAATACACTTAGTCATGGATACCTTCTGTTAGACAGAAAACTTTGCAGCAAATTAAGGTGGCATGAACATTACAATGAGTTGTACTTACTCTGAAAGAGAAGTAAGTAAATGAAGGCAGAAACCATTAGAAGGAGTTTTCAAATGAACTCTGAGAGGAAGACACAGCCTTACATTTCATGCTTGGACTGTCTGTTCTCGTTGCGAGCCTCAAACGATGTGTTAGAATTGTAAATTGAAGAAGCTAATGAGACGGCCAAAAAGGCTGTGGAGCCAACAAAGGCTTGGAACACTTGATATTCTAACTTTGTCTAACATTTCTATGAGGAAAAGTTAGATAGTGTGTGATACCCAAAGTACAATTCAGTGTTATTATCATGTAATATTTGTCCCTACTGTGTTAGATATGAGATGTATGCTCAAGGTTACACCACCTCAGAGATCCAACAAATACTACACTCTTAGTGAGGTTGGAGTAAGTACGGAAAGACCCACTCTAATCATTATTTTTTTTTCTATTTAAAGTGTACTCAGTGGTCTTAAAATTGTGATTATGAAGTTTTTAGCCAAAATCATGTTACCTGTGTCATTTTCAAGGGCTTTCCTTCTGCAGAGCTCCAGTAGCTCATTAGCATTTCACCTCTGAGTCATGGGCAGAGACAGCACTGCTCTGGTGGGTGGAGACCCTAACCCTCCTCTTCACGCTAGCTTGTAGCCTAGCATTATGGCAGATATGATAGGAGCTATTCACCTCTCGGACACTAATGTCTTTGGGGGAATGATGAAAGTTAATATAATAAGCTTTCTCACAAGCATTGCAATCCACAAACGCACACACTTGTTCTGCCATCGTCTTCTCTACTTCTCGGGGTCTGGCCTGCAGAATGGGGCGCCAGGGGTGGAGCAAGGACTTGTGATGTAGAAAATCCCACTATGTCTGTACCTGTCGTTTGGGTCTGCCAAAGACTCACGGCGATTTGAATGCAGATATACTCAGAAATGCAGTTTTGCACTTAGTTTTCTCACGATATGTCCTGTAGCATCAGAAAAATTCCATATGAACATGTAGACAAAAAAACATGATTTTTGTCGGAGTGGGTCTTTAAAAGAGACTGGTAATACTCGTTTTCACCTTTCACCAAGTCAGTGACACCAACAGAGAAACTTTTATGGCTTGATAACTTATCCTGAGATACAAACTCAGACACGAACTGTAGGAGCTATTTTCACACTGTTTCGGTACATAATATTCTAGAATTTATGCATCCATTAAAAATGTCTGTTGATAGATGTTGGTGCCCACTTAGCTCCCTATTTAGTCACAGTAGCATATGTTAGTTATTGTTAGACTGCCAGCTGTTTGAATGTTACTCATAACTTCTAGTTTTGGACCTTCATGTCAGGTCCACTTACCTTGAGCAGCCTGAGGATTTAAGTAATAGGTGAGATGCAAATCCAGATCACACTGGCCTTTGTTGACAGATGAGTCATTGGTAAAGCAGCAATAACAAACAGCTAAGATGTGCCTTAAAAAAAAAAAAATATATATATATATATATATTTTTGTCATCTTTGCTTCTGGAAAAGGCAAAAGTTGATATTTTCCATCATAACCAAAAGAACACTTGATCAACTAAATTTAAAAAAATACTAAATAGACAACCAGCTTTGTTGTTGACAACTGACTGATTGTGTTGTAACAAAACAAAACAAAACAAACAAAAAAAAAAAAAACAGTTATGACTTTTTCACAATTATTTCGCTCTCCAGTTATCCCTATAGCAATTGTTATGTTAGGTCCTGGTTAATGTTACCTACAGCTTGTGGTTTTGGCCCTTATGAAAGCTGTTCATAGATGGAACAGACCCAGATTTTAGTATTGGCTGAGGTATAAATACAGCTCTTACTGCCCTTTGTTTACAAGAGAGAAACTTTCCCAGACAGTGCAGAGATGAAAGAAAAAGGCAAGCAGTTAACAGGCTTTCCAGCTCACCCAACAGAACTGCTGCATAGGATCATGTTGAAGCATTGTCCTAATAGGATGGCACAACATGACATCAGGGGACCTGTAAAACATGTCTGAGCATACCCTACAAGTTGTGCTTTTTATGTTATGGAGCGTTGGCAAAGTTTAGTGCGGACATCCAACCTATTTAAGTGGAGATCAGATTCATAGATCTGTTTTGAAATTGCATACTTTCACTTCGTGACCATACAGTAAACCTCTATGTTGATCCTTTTATCGATTTATCTATTGTGCAAGCATATCCATAGTATAAAATAAATGGACTGTACTTAAACAGCATTCTTTCCAGTCTTCTGACCACTCAATGTGCTTTACATCATATGTCTCATTTACCTGTACACAGCCGATTTAACCATGAGCCCCATGTGCATAATTTTTGAGTTAACAGTTAGGGGCGACTGGATCCATCAAAGATCCTTCACAGATATCATCCCTATAAGTTGTCTGTTCTGTATTCCTTTGAATGCACAGGTCGTATATCAAAGATCACAGATCTGATGCAATACATTGCAGGATTTTCCGACATTTGCATATATTGAGAGAAACAAAGACAAAAGATAACATTTTCACAGAGCTGTGATGTAAACCGCATAGGCCCTTTGTGAATAAGCTGCGACAGATATCTCAGCCAAGGAGAGCATAATGATTCGTCAGAGATTCTATCATGATATTGTTTTTTTTTCTCTTTTTGTAGCTTAACATTTAGAAAATACAAGAGTGAAACTTTTAGCTTAGACTGATATGAAACAATCTGAAATAAGATCTTTGATGCTTTTTATTTGAGGATATGTGTATTTCTCAGATGGGCAAATCAAAATATATTTCCTCAAAGACACAGTCTGTATCTTAACAAATATCATAGTTACCTGCAACAAAGTATTACGTTTTTTAATCTTCTACTTTTGATAAAATTGCTGTTGTTTGATTTGAAAGACTGCAAACACAGTTGCTTGAACCCCTTCGGATGACCACCTGAAATAAGATTCTGCCTATGAGCTTCTTGTCCATGCAGCTGATAGAGATGTCTGTGTGCATTTACTTATAACTCAACTCTGGCCAAACTTCCATCATAACCTGTAATAACAGAGTCAATCAGAGTCAAACTATTAAAGGAGAATGTGAATAAATGAGCAGAGAAAGAAAGATGCTATTC